ATATATATAAATAATAAATATATATAAATAATAAATATATATAAATAAATAATAGATAAATATAAATATTAAATAGAAATATATATATTTACTATATTACCCTTCTATCTTTAGCTAAGGCCTTCCCTTAAGCCTCCCTCTCTTTTTTAAAAAAAGGCTAACCCCATGAGTCAGTTTTCTATATAAAATACTAGTAAAAATGCTATAGGGGTTAGCCCTTAAAAAAAGTTTTAAGGTTTAGTTAAGGTAACCACCTCTCTACCTCTATATAAAAGATAAGTAGAGATATATATATTTATTATATTACTCTACCTAGAGCTTTACCTTAGAATCCCCTACCTTAAATTTTTTAAAAGGGATACTTTAACCCTTAATAACTTATTAAATAATAAAGCTATTAAAATAAGAAAAATACTACTAGACTCCTAATAAAAAATAGAATATAATAGACCCTCTAATGATTAGTCAGCTAATACTTTCTAAAAAGTTTCCCTTTTAGGTAATTCTAAGGCTATTTACTAGGTACTAGATAATAAAAATATATTCACTAGATTCCTAAAAAATCAGGCTATCTAGTGATACCACTCTTATCTCTATAGGTCTAGTAGTGGCTGAGTTATTAAGTAATAATTAAATAAAGTAAGTAGATACCTTACTTTTTAGGCACCTACTACTGCTAGAGAGGTGCCTTAGGCATTCCCTCTATATAGGTGGTGGCCTAATTAGGTATAGACTACCCGCAGGTCATTTTCTTGGCATACCCCAACAAAAAATATGGCCTACCCCTACCCCCCCTATATCTCCATGAATATTCAATATATTTAAATGAGAATATGACCAATAGAAAGCCCTTAATTTAGTGAATAAAATGGTATATTTATCAATTCAATATATACAGTATTCATAGAGATAGAAGGGGGACCAAATTGACCTTGGTCCCCCCCTTAACCCTAGCTATGCCAAGACTTTTTTACTACTGGTCCCCCTAGGGGGACCATCACGGAATAGGATCTAGTGCGCTTGTATCAAGTTGCCAGATGTATCGGTTAGGTTGGTGTTGGGGTAGAAGGTTGCTGCGTGGGTTGGGGTGGATAAGGATAGGATGTTTAGTGCCATGGCAGTCAGCCACAGCCGGGGCGATGGCATGGTGGCGCTTTATATGAGTTCTTAGTCCAAGGAGAGGAAATGGAGATACTGTAGAGTAACTGTCAAATTCCAATCTGAAGTTCGGAGATGTCTGTCTAAATATCTCAACGAGTTGCATGATGTGCCACCGGAGAACGTCGTCTTTCCCCACATCTTCTCCGAGAGATTGGTGGAAGATCTTCATAACATACAATCCTGGTTCGTCTCGAAATCATCAAAAACGAAAGTCTTCTGGGAAATAAACGGAATATCTGTTTTGTGTATCATGTTACTGTGATATTTATGGAGCTGATGATGTTTCGCACGATTCAAGCGCTGAAGAATATATAACCGCGGGAATAGCGCTTTGCAAACACTTTCAACAGAACTGTCAGTGCTACACCCCAGGAATAAGAGTCTACTACTACTAGAAGGATATGATACAGAAAAATTAAATTGATTGAAAAAGACAAGTGTCGAAAGTTTCAATAGACACGTTACCAAACCACTTTCCATCTAAATGTGCTCAGAGATATGTCTATGAGGATAGCATGCTATACTGATGATCATTCCCCCAAGACGTTGAGCAACTGTTTGAGCATGTGACTTACTCAGGGTTTGGTTTGAAGTTCCCAATTCAATCAACAGTTCTTGTCCACGTGGATAAGTCGAGATTGAAACATGGGAAGATGGTTTGTCTTGGTGGAACATTCTCATCGAAGGCTGAGCGCCGCCGACCGAGAATGGTTTGTCAACATTGATATTTTGGTGAGTCACGACGCTGCCAAACCCAGTGCCTTGAGGCCAGGGAGTGCTTTGGGAGACAATGTCACGGAGTTCCACTGACTCGAATGGGAGCGAATCGCTGTGCTGGTTTTGAACATAACGCAGCAAGTCAAGGAGGGTCCAGTGGGGGTTGTACTTGACTCGGACGGGGATGGCGTTGATACACAATCCGACCAGGTTTTCCGCATCGAAATTGCTGGACGATCGTCCACTGTTGGTCTGACCGAAGACAACATCTCTATCACCTGTCAATTGGGTTAGGACCACGGACCATGCTGCTTTGATAAGAGTCGCCATGGTAATGCCGTGCGGCGGATTCGGGAGAGGGATTTTAGATTCAACGTAAACCGGCGAGCTGATCGACGCATCCTTTTCTGCTAGGTCTTTATCCTTGATATGCGTCATACTGGATGCGCCAAGAAGGTTCCGCCAGAATCCATATGCCTCGGACGTCCCAGCCGAGAGCCACTTCTGAACGTGGGCCGAGTATTCGATGGGATCCGGCAGTTGCCTGCCCTCATACAGATCGACCAAGTCTCTCCACATGACGGACACTGACATGCCGTCATACTGGGCATGTGAGATGCGGAGAATGAGTGTGGTTCGGTCGTCAGATCCTTGAACCAAGGTCATCCGGGTAATGAGCTCACCCAGCATCGGTGCTCCGAACGAGTCTTTCTGGCAGAGTGATTCCGTAAAGGGCACCAAACAATCGTCCGATTTGACGATTTCAATGGGTACATTGGAACTGCGAAGAACGATCTGAGCAATCATGCCTTGGTAGGGAATGAAGACAGTGCGAAAGATGGTATGGCGCTGAAGGAGGCCACGGCACGCCTTTTCGAGGCGATCGCAGTCAATGGGGCGATCAAAGTCGAGCATGAAATAGTAACTTCCACGAATGAGTCGATCCTCTTGGCCTTGGGATGCAGGAAGTGCGTCATAGATATCCTGAGTGTTAAATGGAAGGTCAGTGCAGTCGATGCTTTCAATAAAGCTGCGCTGGGTGGTGAAGCCAAAGACGGCGCCTGGGACCACACTGGACACAGGTTGGTGTTGAGGATTCTGCGTATTGTAAAATCCTGCCAGGTCATATATCGTGGGATGGCTGAAAACATCAGCGACAGATATCGAGATGCCTTGTTTGCGTGCGGCCGTCACCATCTTCATGGCCGTGATGGAGTCGGCCCCGAGATGAAAGATGTTGTCTTTGACACCGATTTCGTCGATGCTCAGATCAGTGACAGAGACCAGGATGGCCTGCAACCTTTCTTCGAGTTCAGTGGATGGCTTTTCCTTTTGACTCCACGTAGCCATAAAGAGATCGAACTCTGTTCGGGGCAGCGATGATGCTCGGTCTCGCAGCTGTCGCCGATCTATCTTCCCGGATGTCGTTCTTGGGATGTGGCCCAGGGGAATGAAGAGCCCAGGCACCATATACCCTGGGATCATGCCTCTGAGCTGTGTTTGGGCGGCGAAAAAGATGGCACGAAGCTCTTCGGTGGGAGTCAAAAACAAGTCGTTGCTATCGTCACTGGTCATAGTCAGATGGACGAAAGCCACCAGCACAGAATTTGCATTTCGGCCAGAAGGAATGATGACTTCGGCCACTACATTGTAGACCTCTGGCAAACACTGGCGAATTCGAAACTCCACTTCACCCAGCTCAATGCGTTGTCCTCGCAGCTTGACCTGAGTATCCTTGCGACCAATGAATCGGAATGTGCCATCGGGGTTGTACTGCACCAAATCACCTGTCTTGTATAGACGGCCCTTGCCGGCGGGCCGGAAGTGATTCATCCATGGTAGGTCGTTAACGAACGAAGATGCCGTCTTTTCTGGGTTGTTGAGGTATCCCTGAGCCAGGATCGGTCCTTCAATCAGCAATTCTCCAACGGCGCCAATGGCAGCAAGCTTGGATGCATCTGACGGTGTCACAATCCAGCCTACGCCGCCGACGATATCGCCAAACGTGCCCGACTTCCACCCATGCACCGGGATATGACCGACGCCACACATGGGAGTTTCGGCTGGTCCATATCCAATGACCAAGCCCAGTCGGGGTGCCCACTTGTGCACGACGTCTTGAGTGATAGTTTCGCCACCGACGACGAGAGTCTGCAAGGATGGGACGTCCTCGGGCTGGATGATATTGGTGGTCGAGTTGGTCAAGGCGGCCCAGGTCACATTGTGGCTGCGAATAAAGGCAGTGACATTGTTCATCCGGTCGTGCTCGGAGATGACACAGACGCAGCCACCACTCACCAGAGTAGTGCAGATTTCGTAGATACTGACGTCGAAAGCGTAGGAAGCAAAATGCAGGCATCGGGAGTCACGGTGAACTCGCATGCCGGCTGCATGGTCCCGGATACTCGTGGTAATGTGAACATGTTCCAAGACGATTCCCTTGGGCTTACCGGTACTGCCAGACGTGAAGACAATGAATGCAGTGCTGCTTGCGGGTATCGTGGGTAACGGTGTACCTTGCACATCGAGAGTGTCCATTAGCGTAGAAGACACGGTCACGACGTTGGGAACCATTCCCTGCATCAAGGCTGTTTGTGAGGGGTCGACCAGTGCTACAACAGCACGACTCTGCTGTACAAAGTCTTGCACTCGGTCTAAAGGATGGGTAGGGTCGATGAGGAGACATGCTGCACCTGTTCGGAGGACGGCCACGACCGAAATGACGGACCACTTGGACCTATTGAAACATAGGGGAACGATCATGCCTGACCCGACGCCGGTGCCGATGAGATGGAGTGCCAGCTTTCGAGAGAGAACCTCCAATTCCCGATACGTGACAGTGCCATCCCACGAAGAGATGGCTGTGCGGTCAGGCTGTGAGACGGAGCCACGCAGGATCAGCTCATGGATAGTTTCATGGAGAGCCACAGGCAGGTGGGAATTCCATTTCGCAAGCTGAACGATATCGACTGGGCTGACGGCCTGCAAGTCGCTAATCCTCTGCTGAGAATCGTTGCAAACCTGGCATAAGATCGTTTCAAACTGGCGAATGTGCCTTTTTGCCTCGTCTTCATCCAAGACGCTAGAGTCGAAGTTGCACTCAACACTGATCGTCTGATTGTTGGACGACAAAGAGCAAACAAGCACAAATGCGTAGCTGGCAAACTGGTCCGAGCTATTACGAGACTGATGCTGCCCGAATAAGGTGGACTCCTCCGAGTCTTCCCCCAATGGCTGGATGCCCAGATGACTTTGGAATTCGCACGCCGCTGCTGTCTCGCTGCTCATCTGGCGGATGTTTTGCAGTCCGGCCTGCTCGTATGGAATCGCGGCTGCCACATCCTTCTGTACACCATCTAGTGCCTCCGCAAGACTCTGACCGGATTGAAGTTCAACACGAATTGGGATCGTGGTGATGGTCGGCCCGGTCAACCGGTCGATATTTGCCAATGCAGCATTACGTCCGGTCAAAGTCTCTCCAAACACAACATCATCGGAGTCGGTATGGTGGGCGATAACGATAGCCCAGGCCAGTCGAATTAATGTAGGAAGTGTGAAATCACGACTTGGCTTGGGGGGAAGTGTGATGGAATGCGTAAAAGACATTCTTGCACCGGGTGTATAGGTTGCCGAGGGTAAAGCAGGGAATGTTGGGGCCCTGAGATTCGCAAATCGAGACACCCAAAAGTCTCTCTCTGTGCTCTTGTCGACCTGCGAGAGATATGCCACGAACGGACTGAATGGGTGCAGCTCGAGGGCGTGGCCCATGTATGATTCTTGAACTTGTTGCAGTATCAACGGCAGCGAGCAGCCGTCATACAAGGCGTGGTGGATAGTGAGAACAAAGGACAATGGCAAGTTGGCCTGCCTGACCAACGCGAGTCGCAGCAACGGCAGACCGAGCTCCATCGGTTTACGAGCATCGTCTGCGAGGTAATCGTCCAGATTCGTCGCTGTGTGCCACTCGACGCTGCCTCGAACAACCGCTTGGAACATCCCCGACTCGGTGTGAATCAGCCTGGTGCGCAGGATGGCATTGGCGGCCATCGTTGCATCCCATGCGGCACGGAAACGGTCTACATTCATATTAATTGGGAGGTCAAAGGCCGTCTGGTATACATAGCAGTCTGGGTTTTTGACAGTCATTGCGATGAGCCCTTCCTGAAGCGCTGTGCAGGGATACACATCTTCAACCGCAGAATCATCGATGCCCAACAGACTGAGAGTGTGCCAAACATGATCGGCTGCACCATCTGGCAGCAGACAGAATGGCGGAGGGGGTCGATGTCCGTCTGCCTCCAGAATCCGCATTGTAAGCGCCAGGTCAGACAGTTTGGGATGGGAGAAGATGTTGGCCACGGTGAGATGCCAGCCTTCCAGGCGAGCCATTGCCACCAGTTTGATGGCAGCGATCGAGTCACCTCCTAGCTGGAAAAACGAGTCCTCAAGTCCGACGATATCCAAGGTCACGCCAAGAATGGCGGAGGAAATCCGCTGCAGCACTCTCTCTTCCTTTGTCCGAGGGGCTCGCCTCTCCTGCTCCCCACCAGCCAACAGCGCCAGGTCATCTCGGGTCAAGGCGGATGCGTACTGGTGCAGTTTGAGACGGTCCGTTTTGCCACTGGCTGTGAGGGGCAGCTGTTCGATCGGGATATAGGCGGTTGGGATCATGTATGCCGGCAGGAACCTGGCGAGCTTCTCGTCCAGACCGGCGGTGATCTCCCGCACTGTCTTCTTGGATTGGTCGTGAGACTCAAGACTGATAAAGGCAACCAGGACTGGGTGGCTGCCATTTCGTGGTTTGATAGCCTCTGCAACAATGTGAATGGTTTCATTGTTGGCAACGGCACAATGTCCATGGCTACTCAACGCCTGGCGTACATAATGCTCGACCTCGGCCAGTTCAACACGTTGACCACGGATCTTGACCTGTGTGTCTTTGCGGCCAATGAAGATCAAACTGCCGTCGGTATGGTACTTGACGAGATCACCGGTCTTGTAGAGTCTTCCGTGTCGACCACCATCCATTAACCACGGCGGACTGTCGACAAATACCTCTACCGTCTTCTGGGGTTGGTTGAGATAGCCCTGTCCAACCAGGGGCCCTTCAAGCCACAGCTCTCCAACAGCATGCACCGGGGCTAGTTCACTATCGTTCTGGGGACTGACGATCCAGCTGTTGAGCCCAAGTGCTCGACCGATGTTGTCCTTGGGGACCCCAGAGGTCAGTTCGGCAATGGTAGAAATGGCGGAGCACTCGGCCGGGCCGTATGCGTTGAGAATCCGAGTGACCTTGGACCATCGCTGGAGGACCAGATCGTCCAGGGCTTCACCAGAAGAGATGAAGCATTTCAGATCGGGCAGGTCGTCCGGAACGAGCGTACGCGCCAGAGTCGGTGTCAGCTCGGCATGGGTGGCGCGATATTCCCTCAAGCTGCCGAGAATGTCATCCTTTGCTGCTGCTGGCTCCGGTATACAAAGGCAGCCTCCCGACGAGAGCGTGTGCAGGACATTGCCCCAGGCCACATCGAAGGCATATGAACCCACATCGAAGATTCTGGATCCAGGACCGAATTGCAACATATCTCGCTGATGCAGAGCAGCGCTGGCGAAGTTGGCATGGGATATCAGCGTGCCCTTGGGTTTTCCGGTGCTTCCGGATGTGAAGATGATGTAGAGATTGGCGGATGGTTGGACGACGGGCAGTGGCCCGGATGCCTTCAGCGCATCTAATTGGGCTCGATCGACAACAATGACAGGGACCTTGGCGATCCGTCCAGCCATATGAGCATTGGTTGCCGATGACAGGATCGAACGAGGGTGAATCTGCTCAACCAGGGTGCCCAGCCTGCCCTCTGGCTGCGTGGTGTCCAGTGCCAGAGAGGCACCGCCGGCCTTCATCACGGCAATCATGGCAATGGCCGTCCACACTGATTTCTCGAAGCAGAGGGGAACCGTCGTATTGCCATCCAGGTACTGCATCAAATGGGAGGCAAGCCTGGTCGACAGTGTATCAAGTTCGCGATATGTCAACTCGCCATCCCACGCGCATATCGCCAACCCGTCAGGCTGTTCTCGCGCCATTGCCGCAATTTGGTCGTGCATACAACCCTCAACTGACTGAGGCACAGAGTGATTCCAGGCCCAGATATTACGCATGTCCTGCTCAGACGCCAACGGAATGTCTTTGATCTTGGCCATCCGGTTTCGCTCTGCGCCAAGCTGCTGCACTATGTGGTCAAACTGGCGCACTATCCTGTGCACGTGTGCCTCTTGGATCATATTCAAATCGAAGTTGACCTGCAGGTGCAATCCGTCGTTGTGGGAGAAGAACTCGATAACCATGCCAAACCCATCAAGGTGCTTGGGCATCTGGGTGTCCTGCTCCCCCGTAGACTCCACAAGAACCGTTTGGAATTGGCATGCCTGCCTGGCCTCATCGCTCATTTGCTGAATCCTGTGCAGTGCGACCTGCTCAAACGGCTCCATTGCACCGCTGTGGCTTTCAACACCCTCCAGGACCTGGGACACTGTCGCCTCCCAGTCGAGTGCAACTCGCATTGGCACCGTTCCCCAGCCCATCGCGTGCTTCCCGACATCTACCCCGAGGATGACGTCGCTGGTATCAACATAGCGTGACAGCAGCATCGCCCACGCTACCCGGATTGCAGTTGACGTCGTAACCGAGGCATGACTCCATCGAAAGTCCTTTATTTGATAGTGGTGAGTCGCCGTGGCGTGAGGGCAGTATGACGGAGACGGCAAGGAGGGAAAGTGCCTTGTGTCCAGGCCGGCACAGTACTCCTGCCAGAAGTTCGTGGCTGACTGTTCACTTACTCCTGCAACATGCCGGAAGAAGCGGCCGTGCAGTGAATCAACCTGGTGGAACTGCTCCAATGCACCATTACCGAGCGGCTCACCCTGCAGGATATAGGCAATGGCCATTTGCAGAACCGAGCTGATCTCCTGCGCCGTGGAACGACTAATAAGACCTTTATGATAGCCAAGACCGACTTCTGTCGTCGACCCATTCAGCAGGGCGCTGACACCCACAGCAAACTTTTGAAGGTTAGCATGGATCTATAATATATATCAGGGAGACTCACCTCGTGGGGATCATCGCCAGCAACGTTGTGGAATGTCAGCTGGTTTTCGGATTTGGTATTCCTGCCTCTCTCACGCAAGGTAACACTGGTGTTGAATAATGGGAGATGGCCGAGCTTCAGCTCATGTTGAAGATGGGCGAGCGATACGTGCTGGTACGCTAAATGATCGACGGACTGTGCGGCAGTCCTCTGAATGACCTCACCAAGGGATTCTTGAACATCGACTCGACTGATCAGCATGTTAGCCAGTGGCCCAGCCATATTTTCGATGTTGTTGATAGGAACATCGCGGCCAGAGGATAAATATCCAAAGCAAACATCGCTCACTCCGGTGTACGACGAGAGTACCATCGCCCAGACAATCTGGATAAACACCGAACGTGTGATGCCCCGGTTGACGCAGAATGCATGGATTCGTGAGGTGACCGTCTCGGCGAGGGGGATGAAGCCGTGTTCCGCTTCAATGGAGTCTGGTGCGATGCTTTGAACCGGGAACAGACAGCTGGGAACCCCGTCCAGGGCATTTCGCCAGTATTCCATCCGTTCAGCGGCAGGCGTGCGGGCCAGATACTGCATGAGATCTCTGAAGGGAGGCGCCGCTGACAGAGTGAGTCCTTGATATGCCTTTGCCAGGTCGCCGGTGACGATGGACGCAGACTCGGCGTCGTTCAAGGCATGGTTCATGTCCAGCCGGCATGCCACGCGACCGTTCGGGGATTGGCAGATTGTGAAATGATGTTGGGGCTCTCCGCTGGCAAACTCTGGTTTCACCAGCGCCTTCAGTGCCTGAGCAGGATCCATGGAATCGCATTTGATCTGGGTGATCCGAGTGGGGGCCTTTGCCACGACAACCTGGGCGAAAATGCCCTCCTCGAAGAGTGGGACAAAGATGGTCGAGAAGATGGAATGCCTCTCCACCACACGCCTCCATGCGGCTTCCAGCCGTTGTGGCGAAACGGGGGTCGTACCATCAGGCATCTCGCAGCGCCAGATCCGGTCGTGCATGTATGATGCTGTCCCCTTCTCTATGCTAAACAAGATCCCCTCCTGCATCGGCGTACATGGATAGATGTCCTGCACTGCGTCAAGTGCGACTCCAGCACTCTGGATGGCAGTGTGTAGATTGTCGAGGCCCTTGTAGGACAGCGACAGTAGGGGGAAATCGCTCAAGGTGAAACGTTTTGGGCCCATTGTTAGTTCGTGCGCGGCTTGCGTGAGGCTTTCTGCGAACAACCTCATCCACTCCTGCAGTCGATCCTGGTGTTTCATCCGGTGATGCAGGCCGTATGAGATAGTCAGCCTGCCATATCGGATGCCCAAGTTCAGTTCGACCAGACCAACCCGTCGAGTGGTCGGAGAACTTTGACGGAAGTTGGATGTCATTACCGGATCGTCTTCACGGGTGAGCAGGGCGTCGTCATTCTCGAGCTGCTGGTAGATTCCGGAATAGTTGAAGAGCACCTCGACCTGGTCGTGCTCCTGGAATGCTCTCTTGCCAGCTGCCGTGAGATAGCGACTGGCAGTATATGGCAGCCCTTTGCCGGGAATAGACCGGCGGGCATCTTTTGCCCGCTTGACCATGTCAACGATGGGCTGTTGGTGCCCACCCGGGATCTGGACAGGGCAGACGGTGGTGAACCAGCCGACCGTCTCGGACAGATCGACTTCGATATCGTCCAGGGCCTCTCTACCATGGCCCTCGAGGAAGATTGGGGGAGCCCGACGATCGGTAAAGACCCGCTGGAACGAGGAAACGAGCATCGCGAGGAAGATTTCTGTGGGTTCTGTTCCGAGTCGTTCATTGCTGCGACCCAGAAGTTGGGTTGTGATATCCTCATTGAGACGGATAACGTGTCTTTCGCATCCCGCGTCGGTGTTGTGGGCTGAATCAACCCCCCAGTATCCATACCCACGCGTGTCTATTTCGCATGGAAGCACTTGGGATGGCACGAGCGACTGCGCCATTCGGCTTTGCATCCTGGCCCACGCCTGGAATGAGGTGGTCGGACGCATAGCAGCATCCCGATGACCGAGCAGACACTGCTCAATGTCGTGCCAAATGACTCGCCACGACACCAGGTCGACGACCAGATGATGAGCAGTGACAAGGAGGATCTGCTCACCGGATGGCAGATGGAAGACGTCTGCGGCAAACACCGGTCCACGTTGGATGTCCAGCTGTTCCTGGCGTGACAGGGCAAGCCCGGCCACGGTCGTCCTGTCCACGCAGTGCTCCTCAAATCCAATCGTTTCGGGCGTATACCGGGCGACATATTGCTCCCAGCCGCCGTCGTCTGCCTGAAAGCGCGCACGTAGCATGGGATGGCGCTGGGCCACTGTCTGGATGGCCTTCTGGATCATGTCGCCCGGGAATGGGGTTTTGACCCGCAGCAGGAAACTCTGGTTGAAGTGATTCAGCCCGTCGGGATGTCCGGCGAAGAACATGTGCTGGACTGGCGTCAACCCCCATGGCTCTTCCTCTGCGGTCGTGGTATCCAGGGCCGGGGCATCCGGCTGGACGGAAGTGCAGTATCTGGCCAGCTTCTGGATCGTCTGAGCCCGAAGGACGTCGCCGGTTGTGAGTCGGATATTCCTGGCACGACATCGAGATACAAGCTGCATCGCCGTGATGGAATCGCCACCTAGTCGGATCCACCCAGAGTCGACCGAGATGGATTCTCCAGGCAGATTGAGCACTTCTGCCCACACTTGCAGCAGGATGCTCTCCGTCTCGCTCGACGGGGCGATCCGGTCACGGCGCTGGCTGGATCCAGCAGACTTGCCATGCTGGACGGATCCAATCTCCCGCAGCTGCCGCCGGTCCGTCTTGCCCGTCATCCCCAGAGGGATCCGCTCGAGGGGAATGAAGGCGCTGGGGGCCATGTACGCGGGCAGTCGCTCTGCCAGCGTCATTTCCAGATCAGGGGTCATCTTGTCGAGCAGCGCAACAACCTCCGCAACAGGCAGATTCCTGTTGCGAAGAGACACAAAGGCCACCAGCGTTGCGCGGCCGGTTTCCCGGGGTCGGATGATCTCAGCCACGGCCTCTATCGCCACGTTCTTGGTGGGCAGCTCGTGCTGGCACATATCGGTCAACGCCTGCTCGACATGGTGCTCGACCTCGCCCAGTTCAATCCGTTGCCCGCGGAGTTTGACCTGGGTGTCCTTGCGTCCCAGGTATTGCAGCGTGCCGTCTGGCGCGTATCGAACCAGGTCGCCCGTCTTGTACAGACGGCCGTGTCGTCCGGGCTGATCCGCATGACCCTGCACCAGCCAGGATGGATCGTTCAAGAAGGCTTCCTGGGTCTTCTCGCCGTTGTTGAGATACCCTCCCCCGACCAGCGGGCCTTCCAGCAAGAGCTCGCCCATGGCACCGACAGGAGCAAGCCGATTGGAATCCGTCGGATCCACGACCCAACACACTCCGGCCACCGAGGATCCGATGTTGGAGGCATCTGACTCTGCGGTGACCTGAGCCTGCACAGTGGCGATTACACTGCACTCGGCCGGGCCGTACGCGTTGATCAGGCGAACACGGCCGAACCAGGGGAGGAGATCGGCTTTGGATGCAGCCTCTCCACCATACATGATCGTCTTCAACGTGGGTACATCTCGAGGGGACAGGGTTCGCAGGACCGATGGAGTCAGGTCGGCCCAATTCGCATTGAAGCCACAGATTGCCCCCGCAAGATCGTCCGTTCTTTGGTTTTCGGACGGTATGCAAAGGCAACCGCCCCCCAGCAAGGTGAAGAGAATACCGGAGAGGCACATGTCAAATGCGTGCGACGCAAACTGTAGCACTCGAGAATCTGAATTCAGCCCAAGCCTTTCGTTGTAGGCCAGCGCAGTAGCCGCAAACCCGGCATGCTGCACCAACACTCCCTTGGGTGCTCCGGTCGAGCCGGAGGTGAAGATGACATACAGCGTGTTCTTTGCCGTCGTCGCGACGGTCATCGTGGCACCGTCACAGCCAAAGTCTTGCCCATCACCGACTGTGACAACGGTCTGGACCAGATGCGTAGCCCTCTCTGCCTGTGCTGGCGATGATATGATGAGACGGGCATCAATATCCTTGCAGATCCATCGCTGTCGTTCCAGCGGATGGCTGGGCTCGAGGAGATGAAACGCTCCCCCGGCCTTCATGACACCGAGCATCGCCACCGGCGTCCACTTGGACTTTTCAAACAGCAGTGGCACAAAGACCTCCGGGCCAACCCCAAGCAGACGGAGACGATGGGCAAGGCGGGTGGACAGTTCGTCCAGCTGGCCATAGGTGAACTGTCCGTCCCAGGAGTCAACGGCGGGGGCGTCGCGCTGTTTCGCGATTCTCTCTGCGATCAGTTCGTCCATGGAGAGGACCGGTGCCTGGGGAACGTCGGCATTCCACTTCCAGAGGGTGTCCAGATCTTCCTTGCTGACAGCCCCAACGTGCTTCACCTTGGTGTTTTGGTGTCCTGCGCATACCTGTCGGAGCACGCAGTCAAACTGCTGCAGGAGCCTCTCGACCTGCTCCTTGTCGAGAATTCTCGAATCGTAATGGATCTGCACTCTGGCTCCCTGCTTCAAAAGCTTGCATTCCAGCACCAGTGCATAAGGGTCAACGCCACCCCATCCTGCCGTCCGTTGGGCAGGCATGAAGAGCGTCTCCTGCGGTGCATCCGGATCGACGGGATGCACCACCAACAGGGTCTGGAATTGACAGGCCTGGTCCGCATCGGCACTGACGCGCCGGATTCGCTGCAGTCCGCTTTGTTCGAAAGGGATCATCCCGACGGCCTGCGCTTGCACCTGGTGGAGCAATTGTCCCACGGTGCTGTCCCCATCCACCACCACACGCACGGGAACAGTGGCAATGGTTGGCCCTCCGACGAGCTCAATCCCGGGGAGAGAGCATTGCCGCCCTGTCACGGTGGTGCCAAACACGGCTTCGCCGGCATTCACGTATCGCGCACTGAGGATGGACCATGCAGCACGGATGGCCATCGTGACGGTCGTATCACTGCTGTCGACCCGGAGCGTGTCGATCCGATGGGTGACGTAGCTGTTGGTCCTGGGAGAGGAAGAGGACACCACTGGGAATATTGGCGCCTCCAAGCCATCCAATTGGGCTTTCCAGTAGTCAGTCGTCGACGTGTCGTCCACCGAGTCGATGGCTTTGATAAAGGCAGGGAACGGAGTCAGGGTCATTCGGTGGCCACCACGATAGGCTTGATCCATGGCCTGGAGCAGCAGGGACATCAACCAGCCATCATACATGGCGTGGTGAACGGTCAGGATGAACCATCGCTGCCCTCGTCCAGAATCAACAAGGCCAAACCGTGTCAAGCGGGTTCCAAGACCCATCGGCTGTTCCCTGTCCTCGCGAATGTATCGATCCAGGTCAGACTCGGTTTTCCAGGCAAAAGGCTCATTGACCTCAACCTGCACCACTCCTTGCCTTCCCAGATCGACCACTCGAGTGCGCAAGATCGGTGTCGACGCGACGACCTCGGCCCATGCCATGGCCAGTCGATCCACCTCGGTAGTCTGGCGAAGCTGGAATATCTTTCTCGCGATATAATCACCCGGCGACTGCGTTGTCAGGGCGAGTAAACCAGCCTGCAATGGGGTACAAGGGAATGCATCCTGCACCAGACTGGCCTCAACACCACACAATGCAGCCGTCTGTGCACGCTTCTCGGCAACATTCAAAGGTGAATTCAATAGCGAGAAGGGAGGTACTTCTTGACCAGCGGTGACTGTGCCCTTCATCACTGTAGCCAGTCTCTTGAGCTGTGGATAGCTGAAGATATCTCCCACTACGAGCGAAACACCATGTCTGCGTGCTGCTCCAACGAGTCGCATTGCCGTGATGGAGTCGCCTCCCAACCGGAAGAAGCTATCGTGGATGCCGATCCTTTCAGCAGGAATGTCGAGGACCGACGCCCAGAGATCTCGCAGTTGGCACTCTGCATCTGTCTGGGGCCTCGCCCTATCTTGATCGCTCCTCTCCACGACCGTGAGATGGGCCAGAGTGAAGCAATTAGTCTGTTCGCGGATTGTGTTCCGATCAGTCTGGCCAGTTCTATCCTTGAGGATGCCGTATGCATGAGGCTTGACCGGCAGTCGGTCCGACAGTTGTTCGTCAATGGCATTTGCTATGCTTGGTGTGAGACGGAGGTCTGTTGAATTACATAGCAACGCAACCAGCATCGGGCTCTGGCTACCTTGTGGAGTGACGATTTCTGCACCCACATCAATGGAACTATTGCGAATGACTTCAACCACGGCCTGTCGGACATGATGCTCAACATCCCGCAGGTTCACCCGCCGTCCATTGATTCGGGACTCCGGATCTTTGGGTCCCAGGAGTATAACTGCACCATCGGACGAGTACTTGGCCAGCTCGCCGGTCTTGTAGAGACGTCCGTTGCGTCCAGAGTGATCTGATCCTCCGCGCAACAGCCATTGTGGATTCTCGACAAACGATGCTGTTGACTTGTATAGATGGCCTTCACCACCAAGAGGAGTCTCAAGCCACAGTTCACCCACGCATCCAACCGCTGCCAGTCCGCTCTCAGCATGCTCTTGAATCACCCATGGAATATGACCTGCAAGCTGTGACAACGGGTCGTCCAATCGATCAGGCAAGATACCGTCCCAGACACCATCAGCCTGCCTTGGGGGGGCGCGGTTCCATGTCCAGATATCCGATAGATCCTGTTGCGTAGCCATCTCAATCTGTCTCAATGGAGTATTCCCTGCCGCCGAAACGCAAACCTGTTGCAGAACATGCGCGAACTGGTGTGCCATGCGCATGGCCTGTCGTTCGTGCACCACACTGGGATCGAAAGTCATCCGAAGTCGCATTCCTTGCTTGCTCAACTCACAGCGGAACATGAGCGCATAGCTGGTAAAAGCTTCCAGTCTAGCGTCGCCTTCCTGGTCTTCCTCTTCCGGCAAGAACAGCTCACTTCCTTGAGAGGCCTCCTCTTCTGCCGGCTGGACGAGTAGCAAGGCCTGGAACCGACATGCCTCGTTGCTCTCCTCGCTGATACGATGAATCCGTTGCAGGCCCATTTGCTCATATGGAATCATATCGGTTGCCTGGGCGTGGATTTGCTCGAGCAGTCCGCTGACTGTTTGTTCTTCATCCACCATGACTCGGACTGGAAGTGTCGTAAACGTTGGCCCAGCCATACTCTCCACGCCCGGGACAGCAGCCTGCCTTCCCATGACTGTTGCGCCAAAGACTGCATCGGGGCAGTTCGTATATCGGCTGATAAGGATTGCCAGCGCTGCCCGGGCCATCGTGGCCGCGGTAAAGTCCAGTCCTTCCCAGTTTACATCGATGCTGTGCGTCAATGTCCGGTCTGCCTGTGGCTGGTGGGATGACGAAAGAGCGGGAAATTCTGAACTTTCCAAGCCAACAAACTGACGTCTCCAGAATTCCGTGGCGGCATCTTCGTCGATACTGGCAATGTGTTTGATGAATGCGGCAAACGGGGTCAGTGAGTGCTGCTGCCCTCGATATATCTTCTGTGTAGTGTCGAGCACGAGCGGCATGGACCATCCGTCGTACATGGCGTGATGGATGGTCAACGCCAGATATGTCTTCCCTTGTTGGGTGACTATCCCATATCTCGTCAGCGGTGTTCCGAGGCCCATGGTCTGCGAGACATGGGTCGACTGCCAATCCACCGGTTCGTCGACTACAACTTGAACCAATCCTTGCACGCTGAGGTCGACGATGCGTGTGCGCAGTAAGGGCACCGCTGCGACGGTCTGCTCCCATGATTTCATCAACTGGCAAACATCAACCGTGGGCCGAATTTCGAATTTGAATCGTCGGATATAATGGCTGTCTTTTCTCGCCGTCAATGCAAGCAGGCCTTCCTGTAAAGGCGTACAGGGCAAGACGTCCTCCACCTGGTCCTCTCGAATGCCACACAGCGCGGCCGATTCCCGACGGGCATTGCTGGTCGAGATACCTGATTTGAGCAATGAAAATGGCAACAAAATGCTTTCTTCTGCCTCACTCGCCGTCTGAGCCAATTGTGCCAGTTCACTGAGCTGTGCATGGCGAAGGACGTCTGCAACGGTCAAACGCAGCCCTTCTTGACGCGCAGCTGCAACCAGACGCATCGCAGCAATCGAGTCACCTCCCAGTCGGAGAAAACTATGGTCAGCCCCAACACGGTCAGCTTCAAGTTTTAGAACGGCCATAAAGATCCGTTGCAGCTGTTGCTCCCGTTCCGTCGCTGGGGCTCGATAGCTGGGCCCGGACGCTGTCAGAGCCGCCATTTGGTCCCAGGTCATCGATGCGCCCAGTTGTCGCAGCGCTCGTCGATCCGTTTTGCCTGTCCCCGTCATGGGAATCCTCTCCACGGGGATGCACACACTGGGGATCATATACACGGGCAATAGCTGAGCCAGTTGGTCTGTCATGTGAGCCGTCGTCTGGCGGATGGCCGTGTTTCTCTGCGCTTCTGACTTGTGTTCATTGCCCGTCTGGTATACAAACGCCACCAATGTTGGACGGTGGCTTTCCTTGGGCATCACCATGTCCACAACCACCTGGATAGTCGAGGCGTCTTCGAGAGTACGGGCCAGGGACTGCAGCATGTGGTGTTCAATCTCGGCCAACTCCACTCGCTGTCCATTAATCTTGACCTGATTGTCTTTGCGTCCCAAGAATGAGATGGTGCCATCAACGTTGAAGCGTCCCAGATCACCTGTTTTATACAACCGGCCCTGTGAGCTGAGTTGGAAGTCCTTTCGCCATTGGACATGATCAGGAAAGGAGGCCGTGGTCTTTTCCTGGTCTTTCATGTATCCCCGGCTGACTGCGGCTGTCTCGATGACCAACTCTCCAATCGCCCCGATGGGTGCAAGGCGGTTGGCATCGCCGGGGTCGACAATCCAGATCGCAGATCCTACTCCACGCCCGATGTTCGTACGGTCCGACCCTATTGTGAGTCGAGGGTTGATGCAACTGATGGCGATACATTCACTTGGGCCGTACGCATTCATAAGCTGCACTTTGTCCGCCCAGGTAGAGAGATGGGCTGCTGACATGGCTTCACCCGCGAGAACCAGTGTCTTCAGAGTTGAGACGGCTTTGAGATCGAGTAAACCGGCCACGGACGGTGTGATACTGGCCCAGTTGACCTCGTGGCGATTGACGAACAACTCGAGATTGTTGACCCGGTCAGTCTCGGATGGAATGCAGACGGTTCCATTGTGGATCAGCGTGAACAGGATATCGCGGTGGCTCACGTCGAATGCGTAGCTGGCGAACTGCAACACTCTCGAGCGTTTATTCAATCCCAGGAGTGCTCCATTCGCCAATGCCCGCGTACAGAAGGCCCCATGCTCCACGACGATGCCTTTGGGTCTTCCGGTAGATCCAGAAGTAAATGCGGCATACAGCGCATTCTGGGAGTTGACTTGACACGACCATTCATGGTTATCTGACCAAATCGGGGAGCCCGCATCGACAACAACTACGTTCTCGACCAATGGCTGCACTTTTTCAATGGTCTGAGAGGATGCAACCAGGACAGTGGCGTCGACATCTTGACAAATGCTTTCCATGCGCTTGAAAGGATACGATGGATCCAGCAAGACGTAGGCACCGCCCGCCTTGATCACACCCAGCATGGCAACCACCGTCCATTTGGTCTTTTCAAAACAGAGCGGCACAAACATTTCGGAATGCACGCCCTGCTGGGCAAGGTGCCCTGCGAGAGATGAAGAAAGTCGGTCAAGCTCGCCATACGTCAGCTCTCCATCCCAGGAGGAGACGGCGACATGCAAAGGATCTTGGGGGCCCTGGTGGAAGATCATTTCGTCAACCCGAGAGTCCAATCTGTCTGGAATCTCATTGTTCCAGACCGACAAGATATCCCGGTCATGCTGACTGCATAGATCAAGATCTGTCGGCTTGCTGTGTGGGTTTTTCACTATCTCTCCCATGGCCTTTGCAAACGTCGCTGCCACACTGGCCGCGTGCTCATTGGACATGAGTGAACTAGAAAAGGTCAGTGAGGCGGTGGTTTCATCACGGTCAACCTCAAGCACCATTTGGACCTGTTCGATGTTAGCAGAGAACGTGAACCTGGCCGGATGTCCTACATTTGATCCTGTCTGCGTGTGTTTCTGTACAACAGCCGTGTTGAATGTCTCTGCTGACTGATGTTCAACGCCCGCATTGGGTATGCAAGCCGTCTTTAACATGTTCAATACCGGATTACCAGTGGGAAATGCCATACGGCATGTCCAACTCTGCCCACTGCCATTCTCGATCGGGAACTGGCAGCCGAAAACGGGGCTTTCGGAGCCGGTATAGACCTGGAGAACCAACGCCCAGGCTGTTTGAAATAGGGACAGCGGTTGAACGGCATGATGTTCACAGAACTCGATCAGAGCTGCCCGAGGCAGGTCGATCTCTCTATGTCTCATGGTATGCCCCTCATTTGAGTGGCCGTTCAAGACGGGAAACAAGCAGGCTTGCTCGCCTGTCGAATGCGTCGCCATCTTGCGTGCTTTGGGGTGAATCTGCGGCGTACAGAGTACGCAGGGGCTGCTTGAGGATGTCTGGAAAATCCTGTGCAGCAGAATTCCCTTGGAGTGGGATCAGGGCTGTTATTATGAAATACCAATACACAAAACGGATGTTTCCATTATTTCCACTTTCTTTAAAGCCCCACTTTCGTGGATCTCGAGTCAGGGCGGCCATCGGGCCAATCACATTGCTTGTGCGGGGAGCTGTCGGGCCATCGCGGTTGGCGAGACCCACTCCCGTGCATTTTCCCGGTTTTTTCTTGAGCTGCGCTTCTTCCCAGGTGCCTTTCAGCTTGACTGCGCCGAACCCCTCCTTTCCACTGATCCACGGCCGGGGACTCTGCAGCCATGGTATACAACCCTACCCTGGTTAGTCTCAAGTAATAGCGTAGGACAAACAGTGATCAATCTTACAGTACATGCATTCCGCATCACACCATTGATCCCTCACTCGCAGTCCAGCTCGCTTGGCAATGTGCTGCACATCTCCCACCGTCCATTTTGCCGCTGGTGATCGCCTCGATCTGGCTTCCCTTTGCCAGGGACAGCCGCTGTCCGTCCACTGTCAGCTCGGTGTCCGTGCCGCACGTGTAATACACTCTGAGTGTGTGATCGGTAGCGTCAAATCGGCACACACAACTGCATTCATCGCGGTGGAACATCTCATTGGCCCATGATGGAATTAGCATGGCGCAATCCATTGAGGCCGAACTCCCGGAGTGCCTCTTGGTCGCTGTCATCCGCTTCCACGATCCGGCTTTCCTGCTGGCACGCATCCACCGCAACCAGGGACTGGCCGTAATTGGCCACGCTGTTGCCCATCTACAGCAAAGTGACCAGATCGACCTGTTTTCGGGGCCACGCATTCCCAGCCAGCCACGAAATGCAGTCTTCGTAGGTCCCCACCATGCCATGCACCTGGACTCCACTAGATCGGCCCAGTCTGGTGGCCAGTGTTGCCACGCTGTGAGACAGTTCGCGCGGAGACACATCGAGTCAATCGATTTGTTCTTCCGCTCGAGCGCCGACAGAATGGCGCCTGTTTTCCGCAAACTCCTATACTCGAATAGATGCTAAAGACACGGTCGTTTCTGTTGCTCTGGTCTTACCCACAACCCAGCTCGATCAGGACACTGCCGGACGGAATCCGTGCTGCCATTTCATTCGCATATTGGGCCAGGATTTCCCCTTCCTTGTCGTGTAGATAATACGTAGGCGTCTGAGTCAAGCCATCAAAGACATCTAGTGCCCCGTCGTCCCAAAGCAGGAAAGAGGGCAGCTTGAGAGGGGTGAATGACAGACCCTGCACGATCAGCTCGGAGAGGCTGCTGGATGTCTTGGAGCCGGAAGGGCATGGTGGACGGCATGATCAATTCAGGTTCTGCTTGCTTGAAAAATAATAATGCCACAGGAATTCTTTATCAATCATCCCGTCCGCGGCGATCTTTTCCTCCTTCCGTCGACTGCAGATCGTGTTCATAATGTGCCACAGAAACAAAAAATACAGCCATTGTTTCGCACCAAGCCCAGGGGCCCACGAACCACTGCATTGTGCCGATCAACCCCACTTGAGCTTCAGCTGAATGCACTTGAATCACGTTCCCATTATTAATATGAATCCGGTTTACTTTGACTAACTTGCCAAGTATTCAGCCACGGCGCGAGCCCTGTGGTTATTATGCCGGGATAGCTTCAGCTCGAGATGCCCCAGGCCCAAAGGTGCACCTCATTCCACAATGGCCAGCCCATTGGATTTTATCAACCAGGCGGATGGCATCTATGAGATTCACAATGCCAAAGAGCACCCGCAGCTCTGGCAGGCCATGGACAACCCAGGCCATCCACTCAACGTCGCCTGGCCCCTCTTCCTCGACCAGGATGCCACCTTCACTCGATATTATCCCAAGCTCGTTGAATACGAGCAGCTCGCCCGCCATCAGTACGCCATCACCGAGACAGACTCTGCCGGCAATGTCTCCATTGTCGCCTGTGCCCGATCGGTGCCATTTTACTGGCCCGGTGATTGTCTCGTGGATGGTACCGGAGAGATCAACCATGAAGCCTTACAAAAGCTGCCTCAGGGGGGCTACGATACGATTCTCGCCCGCGGTGTACGCCAGTATCTCTCGCGACACAACCTCCCTGGAGCATCAATCGCCTTGACAGAAGACCAGGAGCGCGATTTCTGGGTGTGCCAATCCCACAATCCGCCGAATGCACTCTCTGCCATCTCGATCACCGTGCGGCCAGATCGCCGCCGACGGGGTTTGGCAGAAGCCTTGATCCAGACGATGAAGCAGACGGCCATCCAACAGCAGCTTCACCTTCTGGTCGTGCCATTACGTCCCACACGCAAAGCAGACTTTCCCACGGTGTTGATGGATGAGTATGTTCGATGGCCCAACCCAAAGGGATGCGGTCCGTTCGACCCCTGGCTGCGCAAACATGTCCAGCTGGGCGCGCAGATTATCAAAGTCGCTCCGACCAGCATGGTGGTGTCAGGAAGTGTGGCAGAGTGGACGAAGTGGACAAAGATGGATATTGAACAGCTGCTGCAGAGGATGTGTCCCCAGGATGTCAGTTTGGAAAGCAGGACGAACAAACTCTATGTCGAGGTTTCATTTCCAGGAGGCCTGGTTCCTCTTCGCTACTATTTCAAGGAGGGGAGATGCCTCTATACTGAACCAAATGTGTGGTTGTTTCATGATCTCCAGGTTTAGAATATATACATATCGGATAGCCCTGTGATGTTTTTTAGATCGGATATTGTACCTCCAAAATGAAACGAAGCTATCCAAATAGCAGGTAACAGTACCTTAACTGATCTAAATTAATCATTTTTTTAACTTAATGACCCATTGAAGCGATTCGACTTGTGTGACACTGTGGAAAATAGTTCGACATGATATAATCACCGGCCACGTTAATCATGTATGTGGGGTGGAGGTTGTTCTAGTAAACAACAATCATTAGCCTAGGCAATGTAGACTTGGTTACAGGCGCACATCTATCCAAGGATGAACACGACATGACGACATGCTGGGAAGCAAGGATGAGATTACTACTTCATGCAACCCTTGAACTCTATTCAACCCTACCAAGGTAAGCAGTGCATTCCAGGCAGGTGGTCTGCGTCATACAGACAATACACAAAGATAGTCCACATTCCAGCGGTTCAATCTTCACTTTCAATCTCGTAATCCTTAAGTGCGAAGATATCCTGAGCAGAAAGTTCAAAGCCTCTAAGACGGAATCTCTTTATGGCTGAATGCTTATGTGACTATCAATAATATTCCACCATTAAAAAGAGGAGTCTTTTATATAAAATATCATTAGTTATGCACAATCTCGTACGTATCATCATTACTTAACAGTACAGTAATAAGCACATTAAGCACATTCATAGTCATAAACAATCCCACTTTTGGTCAGACTGACAAAATACTATCACTGACAACAGTAAACTCATTTGCTCAGCAGACCTTCGAATTGTTAGAAGATTTAGTTGGACGATAAGCTGTCACTGTAACAGTAAACAAGATAATCAAAGGGACTTGCATTGTGCTGCTCCTTGTAGATCACTTGCAATTCACCAGTTACACGAACTTGTTAGCAAATACTTAATCCTGGTCAGGGTTTGGACAGGGAGGCTCTCCTTGGCAGGTTCCATCTGCCTTGGAAATCTTCGCATGGAAGATTGACCAGTATTTGCCGTCGGGGCATTTAGGGGCGCTGCCCGACCAGGTGGAAGCTCCATGCAGACAGCCAGAGTTAAATTCGTACTGGCCCGGTGCACATGGATTAGAACGCGGAGGGTCGAAGCTTGGGATTGGATTGCAGAGAACTTTAACATGAGCCTCGAGAAGTCCATATGGTGCGTTGGGCTGGTAGACCCAGCTGAAACCGTTGGAGTCAATCGTCACTGACACCTTACCGATCACCGTCGTTTGGCCAAGAACCAAATCGGCATTGAAGCTGGATGTCTTTTCTGCAAAGTACCAGCCCCAACGTTGGCAGCCCAGGTCAGAGAGCGGGTGTTGATCATCTCTGGCGAAGGCTGTACCTACACCACAGAGCCCTCCAGGAGGAGGAGGTGTTGCGGGGCAACAGCAAGCATGGACGCACTTCTTAGCACAGTCAAACTTAACATCGAAATATTTGGCCCAGTTATTTGCGGTTTGAACGATGGGCGTCGTTCCAACCCAACAAGTGTTGCCGTCAGTTATTACCGAGTGTGCAGCAACATAGAGCGTGTTCTGACACAGGGTTGTGTAACCAGTCTTCTCAAAGATCTTGTTGATCGGTACCGTGCACACCACAGTCTCACCATTAGGCCCGAGTTGGCAGTACCCAGTAAATGTCTTGTACTGCCCGGGAGACGACTGGGTGATTGGGTCTTTGCTGATCTCCAGATGGAACTCCGTGTATGTTGTATCGGCAATATCATTATAGGTGACTTCGAGACACCCATTAGTCGGATCGCTTGCACATGGGACGACCTTTATGGTCGCGGTAGACTGTCTGACAGAATCCCGGCCGCAGTTCAACACCACCGTTGGATTCTGAACGGTCAGAACATCTTTGGTCTCCGTGCAACACCGAGTCTGATCAGGAGGGCAGGTCTCGGCCTCGTCAGTATAAGGGTACAGATCCTGAGGGGATGTGCAACATGAAGGTGGTATAGTTGGTTTGTCTGCAGTACAAACGGGGCCGGGGCTTCTGGCAAACAAGGCGGCAGGATTAGGAAAAGCAAAAGACGGAACCAACAATAGGAAAACAAAGGCCAAAGTCGAGTGCATTTTGAAGGCTACTAGGGTAAGGGTTAAGACGTGGTGGTTTTGTTTCATGATGGAACACTGGATTGTAAGAGAATTTTATACGGGCTTTGACATGCTCTGCTGAGGTTTGTACTGCGACCATCATGAGAATCAAATCTACCTTTCCATGAGAGCGTATGAATGATGTCATGAAGACTGGGCTCGGCTATATCTTGAGTCTGGCCGTTTAAATTCAACCTGATTCACACCCCAGACCTTCGTTCATATCAATTCAAAGCAGCTTTATAAATGCCACGAACAGCAAATTCAGAGTGGCAATGATCTAGCCAACTGGACAGCCAACCTACCTAGATAATGTGCCATGGCATTTTCCATATTCAGTTCAGCCCATCAATAATTTGATGGGCTGGCCGCCTCGCTAGAGGAATCAACCCTCCTGGGGCAGACGTCATGTTTCACAGTCCAATGATAGGAAGTGGCACTTATCACATTTGGCAAACATGATGTGCACCGCCATCCATTTTAAACTTTTGGGGTGGCGGGCCATTATACTTTATTGACATTTCCGGCCATGCCATCCTAAAGCAATGTCTCATGACCCAAAAAACACACTGTTCTAGTCACGCCTATGAATATTTAAGGCTATATAAGCTTCTGCTTTTTAGATTTTACTGGTCAATACTGAGAAGGCGACTTGGTCTAAGGAAACAATAAGGGATAGATAATAAGTGCCGCCGTCCATTTAAACTTTTTGGGTGGTGGGCCATTATACTTTGTGGATATGTCTGGCCATATAACCCTAAAGCAATGGTTCATGACCTAAAGTGTACTGTTCTAGTCAGGCCTATCAATATTTACAGGACGTGTAAACTTTTTCGGGTTATAGCCCCTGCTTTTTAGACTTTATTCTTGCTGATATTAATTAGACTATGGTCTGAGGAAATAATAAGGGATAACAAGCGCAATAAGTGCTGATGGGGGCTGCCAACCAAATTTTCTTTTGTCAGGGTATAACTCTCTATGCTGCTGGTCGTAGATATGAATCTTGGACATAACATGGACCAAATTTATGGTTTTATTACTTTATGTTCGTGAGGTATTCTGGATCTCATAGAAGTTGCAAGGTTGTGTTAAGCTATAGTTTGACCATACCATGAAGAAAATGATCTAGATTCATCTTTGAAGGTTTGCAATTAGACATTAGCACTGTAGTATGCCCAAATTCTTCCATCCACTCTACATTATCACATTTAGCCCACCCGCCCTTAGAACTCTAGGGGTCATACGACAATACCTCATCTGGGAATGGTACTATGTCTTAAATTTTACTGTATGGTTGGTCAACCGGAGCAAAAGTGGCGAGTGTACAATGTGTCCTATGAAGATGTTCACTAGATTAAGCTCAATGTAACATGTTCAACATATTACAATTGCCTATATGCCTTGGCTATAGAAAGCTTTCTATCCTCTTGGATACGGCGTTTCAACATTACGACGTTCTGACTTCTTTGCGTATATTAATATAGTATATGAGAGGGGACAGGATAGAGCTGAGATAATTAATTACTCCCAGCCCATAGGAACCTGAGTAGTAAGTTTCAGTTTAGAAGTCTTATTCTAATATAGAGTAATAACTACGGGTCATTAGGTATGGTTTAGATTATAATTTATAGGTCAAACAGTAAAGCAAGAAGAGAGTATGATCTATCTAACTAGTTTTATCGGACCGTGACTTGGGAAATATAATTCAAATATCAGAATAGACGGAGCTCCCGACACAACTATGAGAAGATAGATTCATGACTAGAAGGTGACCTATTATATTAATATCATAGTAAGCTAGAATGGATAGGTATGCTGGAGTTGACAAATAGGTTAGAAAACATTAGTAGATTACAGCTAAGAGGATTTACCTAATAAGACTTAGCATATATATAGTAGTATAGATATCCTATAACTATAACTAAAATTACCACTCGAATTTCAAAGAGATATCCTTTCACGGGCTGAATACCTTCAACGCCATGTCAATGCTCTACCTCGGCTCGACAACTGGTCGACCGTCAAACCTGGATATCGATAAGGGCTAGAGCTCAGTATTTCAGTCATGGCATTCTGAAGACCTTCAAAGACCATGGATCAATAAGATCTAGAATAGAGTGTGGTGGCGAAGGCCCTGCGTGGCAGGGACGATTAGTGGTCGATGGGAAATGGAACCTGTATATGAATATGGCTTCAATTGCTGACCTAGTAAGGGGGTCAAGCAATTCGTCTTTTTTAATTCATAGATATCATTCAAATACATACTCTTATCTACTGATTTGCGCATACTCAGCAAATAGCTGTCGAATAGGTTGGTAGCAAGCGATTCGTATCAACCATCTCCTCAAGTGACTTATGCGAAGCCGCTTACATATCTATATATGAAGAATAGATAAATTAGATTCAATTTCAGTTATAATTTGTAGTAAAGGATACGGAATATGAAAAGCCAATTCTTATATAAAAATACTTTAAATTAGTAGAGTAATACGTAGATGAGTGAAGGTACTTTTTTGGAGAACAGTTCGACATGAACACAGCCAGTAATGAACCCCCTTCGAATGAAACATCGACTATCTGCCTATAGCCTATGCCTTTTCAACCTGCACCACCTGTTCAGTCTCAGAAACCAAGACCTGTTGTGGCTCCGTGCTCTTCTTGCGGGGATTGGGGGCATCGAAGATCTCGCTGAGTTCTTCGAGAGTCCGCTGGTTTGTCTCAACAGCGAAAAAGTATATAACGATGCCTTGGACAATATTCCAGCCCGCCAAAATAATGTATGTGTGCCAGCCAATGGCATCGATGGCACCTCCTATCCCGAACTGGTTCACCAACAGGGCAATATTAGTAAAGACAGAGTACATGGCCATTCCCTTGGCGCGGGTCTCGTAGGAGAGACATTCGACGGCATACATGGCCTGCAATGGGGTCCAGCCAAAGCTGTAACAGAAGCCGATGAGGAAGATGAACACAATTGAGCCAGTGGCTGCTCCTATCTCCAGCGACTTTGTGTACACCCCAGTGGTGGCAGAGAAACCCGCAAAGAAGAGCTTCATATGTTAGTGGCAAACATTGATAAGGAGGAAGACATACACTGCATAAAATAGATGTGCCAATCATCATGGGTCTCCGTCGAAGTTTCGGGCCCAGATAGCTACCCAAATAGGCTCCAGCCGCAGAAAGAACGGTGTTGCCCAGATTGACATTGAGTACTTGCGTCGTATCCGTGATTCCAGCTGTCGCTAACAGCCCACCGATGTAATAGGTCGTGACACCAGCCTGTGCCCACTGGCTCATAAAAGATGCGATGGCCACGCAGAGAAGGCGCCATCTCGCGGGCTTCGTGTTAACGAGTTCTCTAAAGTCCCAGGCCCGCTTATCGGAGCCTTCCAGGTTGATCGCCTCTTCATATTCTCGGATTTGCAGCTGAACATAGGCATTATCCCGGGAGCCTTCGCCGTGGTAGTTGATAATGACATCCCAGGCTTTGTCGCGGTGGCCATGGCTATAGAGCCACCGAGGTGACTCGGGGATAAACCAAACAGTGATCACCACAATGCTGGACGAGATCAACTGGCACCAAATGGGAATTCGCCACGCAAGGGAACTCGAGAATCTCAGACACCCGCGACACGCACCGGCAGCGGCAATCGCGCCGACAAAGTACTGGCAATTGTACAAACCGGTCAGGATGTCACGGTAGGCGGGATGGCTCATCTCCACCACATACGCGGGAGCGGCAGAGGAGGCCAACGAGTATCCCCAGCCTATATTGTTAGCGTCAGGACGAAGTAAAGCCGATCACGTACCGAGGAAGAATCGGCTGGCAAGCAGTTGATCCATGTGGTTGGCGGTACCACCCAGAATAGTCCCGAGAATGACCGCGCAGGATCCAACAAACATGCCACATCGTCGTCCCCAAGTATCCAGGAAGAAGCCGACAAAAGGCAGCGCGGAAACACCTCCAATGGTGTACATTCCCTGGATCAGGGAGGCTTTGGCACCGACCAAGCCAGAGCCAAAAGTTTCCCGAAACTGCGAGATAGGAAGCAGAGCCCCCATGAGTGAGCCGTCAAAACCTAACCCGTCAGTATGCATTGGCAATTAGGCGTCCTCTCGTACCGTTCAAGGCTGAACAAAGATACGCCACAGTCAAGACCAAGTATAGCTTTCTCATGTCTGAACTCCACGGACTCGGGGGACTGGTCCTTCTAGCCATGTCCAGAGCGACGGAGCCCTGAACAGTCTCCATCTTGGCCTTCTTGTGTTCAACGTGCATGGTCTCGCTTGCGTCGTCCTTGTCGACGAGGTGACCTGGGTGGATGTGTTCTGTCATGATGCCGATGGTCGTATTTCCCCTCAAAGTGGGTAAGAGGGTCCATTTATCCTTTGGATGATGAGCTTGTTTTTGGTTCCCATGTTTGTTTGTGTTTGTAGTAAATTGTCACGGATATCCTTGACCAAAACGGACAATGGTGTCAGACTCTTTTGTTTCACTGTGTTGTCCAATCATAATAGCGGACGGGAAGTTCCCCAGATGCCGATCGCACCTGAAACAGCTGGTGGCATGTTTTGTCCGCATCTTCCTTGACTAAAAAGGGAATCTTCCGCCTTCCCCGAGGTAATTTAGTGACCCACGCTCTGTGGAAGTACTTCCTCAGGCTGACTTGGAGCGGGGTAATGGTAGTTAAGCCTTGAATATGGAGTTCTGAAACGATGCCTTGACTTGCTCGTATCGTAGTTCTCGAGCAGCTTTATGCATCCTGCAGATCTCTCGGCAGCTAATATATTGCTTAGAAAGAGACCTTATCATATCGATATTATAGTTCCCTTTCTACTAGAGAAGCCAAGGTAACCTTATATATCCCGTGCATCAAGGGCTTCGATGATGCGCAACAGTATTCTACTTTCAGTTACTAAATCACTGGACACTGTACGAGTATAAATTCTTCAAAGGGTTGATATTGCTAAATGAGTGGACTGTGTGAGATCACACAAAATAATAAGACCAAAAGCTCAAAACAAGTATAACATAAACACAAGTGTGGGTCTGCACATTCTCTGGGATATCGCAGAAACGGGCGCCTGGCCAATATGGATATCAGATGGCTTTTCTTAGATGGCCTTGACCTTGACCCAGAAGCGAGTGTCATCACTCTGGTACTTTTTATCGCTCTCAATCTGCTCCTGGATCCAGAGAACGGCATCCTTGTATCCTGATCAAAGTCAGCCGAGTTATACATGGGATCATCCCGAATTGACTAACCCTTGATGTCCGGAGTGTTGGGTTTCTCGACCCCAGACTGTCCGTCCCGGTGACCGGCAAACCAAATGTCGAAGCCCAGTTTTTCCTCGCCGTCGTGGCGGGCTTTGATGTCCTTGCCCAAATCGGAGCTATAAGCCATCAGCAAATATAACCCTTGAAAGAGTTGAAATGTTGGCCACTGACTTTAGAATCGCCCCATCGGCCACCTGGGCCGTGGTCTCGCCCATAAACTCGGACGAAGAGGTACGCAGCATGTACCAGTTTTGCTTGAAGATACCAAAGTTGGTCCCGTCACCAGTCTTTCCATCACCTAGTTATCCGTTAGCTCCTGTCGCTACCATAAGGTTGATGATATACCATAGGTGTAGTCGGTCGTCATGGTGTCTGTCTCCAGCATTGCAATGGCCAGGTCCCGTGTGGTTCCACCGGCGCCAACCACCTCTTGCTTGCGAGCCCCGAGGCCAGCGACAGTGTAGTTGCCCCGGTCATCGTCGCGGGCAAGAAGCTTGTCGCCGGTCACAGGGGAGGAGATGACGGCAGGCACAAAGGCCAGAGCACCAAGAATAGACAGAAGTTGCATTTTGTATATGCTGAATGAGAAGGTTTCGTTTTTCGATTGTGATGATGATAGAAATGTTTGTGCTGGAGAAAGCGAGGGACGCATGGCCTCTTATATATTGTTGAGTTCAAAGCATACTATATGTGAAGACAAAGCATTTCCCGTTTGCCGTGTAGGAATTGGAAAAGATCAGCTTGTTTCAGATGCTGGGTGATCTATTGACACCTCATTCCTGCATCTAGAGAAAAAAAACAGCCTGTATCTCTCTGTTTCCTAAAGATCGTATGATGTAGATCTTATCGCAATTGAAACGGATAAGTACCCCTGGAATCTTTAGTCTTGATTCAGCATTGAACTCTAAATCAAAGTGACATGCAGACATAAAATGCAAGTACTGTATACTACCAATTCATTCACATAACTTTATAAAGTGTGGCTGCATGAAGTAGGGTATGCGATCAGCACTACTCTTATATGGGGTGGCACATGTTGTTCACCAGAATGGAAGATAATAAGAGTTAATTCAATTCATTTTTGGATTCAAGCCTAATGGGGGTCAGATATCGACATGAAAGATAGTAAGCTGGGTCCATGGCCCAAATAGGCAGTCTGGAGGCGGGACTCCGTGACATTTTGGGTATGACTCCACCAGAATTGCTTCTGACGCGGACAGGGTGCTCTATTCACGGACAACTCAACTACGCCATTCTCATATTATGTAGAGTCGAACCACGCCCGATCGGTAGACTGGTAAACAAGCTGGCCCCTCGGAACTCGATTTCTGTATATACCAAGCCCGTCTCACTGGGATTCTCAACCCCTATTCTGACATCTCATTTTTGCCTTTGATTTACCCCAAATATGAGTTTTGCGAGCAGCGTCTGCCAACTGCAAGGTGATTCGAGGTCCTAGATGATGATAATCTCGACACATGGATGTCTCTGCCAGCAATTCCATCGACTGTCAAACAAAAGGCAAGCTTCGGAACCTCTCAATCAATGGCAAAACTAACGGTCACAGGCTCAAAAATTTATTCATCGGTTTGAACGAGCGAAAGGCCTATCGGGTCAATCAAAACGTATCGACATACCGAACGGAGCTGAAGCGGCCGGACGTTCCTGCTGGGACGACAATAGCCATGGTATTCGATGGCCCGGATGATCACACTCAGCTACTCGACCAGTCCTATTAGCAGCTCCAAACCACCGATGAGAGAGCTTTCACGGCGACATGGCACATCTATCCGTGCGCAAAGGACAGTAATATTGGGGCTGGAACTGGGGGCCAGTCATCATGGCCGCAGAATCTAGAGTGTGGCCGCAGACAATGCTGGAGAATGATCAGCACACGGCCACTGTCACGGCAACCTTCGAAATCAACAAGACGTCTTTAAACGATACGGCGAACTATAGGGCTAGCGTTCGTCTAACACTGCATGGAGATGAAGCCGCGCGTCAAGACGTTCCAGTGATCGGTAAGACGGTCTAAGGTTTCAGGTCATTGCGCCGGAATTGTCCTCATGGATACGGGTCTTGGCCTGTGTACAAGGTGTCGGTGTCACATGCTGCGGGTGGGTAAGACTTGGACAGCAGATCTAAAAGATTCGGTGTCCGGTTGGTCGAAGGTATCCAGCAGCCTGATAAACATGGCAGGTCTTTCATGTTCCGAACTAATGGCGAAGATTTTTTCTGTAGTGGTTCTGGCTGATCCCAGCAGATACTCTACTGCCTAGCATCAAGTAAGAGCGATACAGGAAGTGGATTGAGGTCACGGCTAGGTAAGTTGGAAGAACGTTCTATAATGCTCTTTGCTAACAATAATTCGAGTGTGGGGTGGAGGATGCTACGAAGACATAGCCTTCTATGAGCCTTGCGAAGAGCTCAAAGTGCTAGTGCGGCAGAGACGACGCTATCCAGATATAGTGGTTGACGCTAACGATAAGGAAATGACCGGCACCGTGGCGGAGCACTGCTATGGTAACTTAGCAACTGCTGGCCGACAATCTCATGGGCAACTGTGGACTACTGCCTGCCACCAAAACCAGCATACTACACCGTTAAGCGGGTTATACAGCCACTAACTATTGGCGTTCACCGGGAACACCACGACTACAGTGTCTTTCGCGCGAATTCCCCGACAAAGAGCCGGCATGGTATGTGGGCTGCGCATACTAGCAGGGATGGACTGCAAGGCTCGGTCGAGTTGCGGTATTATCGGTGGAAAGCGGCTGGGATCTCTGTACCCCAGTTGTTCAGAGCATCGCCATCATGCCGGGCGATGAGGAGACAGTGAGAGTCACAGAGCTGGATGAGGACAATCCTCCTCTCAAATATCGCACTTTGAATGATTTGATATAATTTCACTATCAGAGGGGCTCCATTGCTAGACGCTTTTTATTACAGATTGTACTAGTCCAAGATATATAGGATTTCCTGCTGCTCAAGTATCCGCCATAGATGGAAAAATAGACAGTGACTGGTCATCAAAACTACCAAAACCATCGGGCCATATATCGTGACCATCCCAGCTCAGATACTCCCACATGGAATCAAGTGGCAAGTTGTCGAAAGATGGAACGGTCCAATCTGGTGTGGCCGGTGGATAACAATCCAATTCACTCAAAAAAGGAAGATTGCTGGATCCAGGATTTTTAGTCGTCTCAGTACTTTGGAGAGAGACTTTGAGAATGCCCGAAGCTACCTCCAGTGAGCGTTCTGCGGTGTGTCCGTAAGGCTTCATCCGGCCAAGTGTCAATAGGGCCGTCTCGACTTGTCTCTTGCAAGCATCGAAGGCAGCAGCAGAGTCGTCATTTGTAGATCGAGTGGATAGGTAGATGAGGGGCACCATGGTTGCCTGAAACAAGAGCCAAACGCCGTTCCAGCCGATCATCTGATTTAATTTAGACGTCATTGAGATATCTTGGATACTCAGCTCCGCAATTTCGCGGCACTTGGAAATGGCATTGCGCTCCTCTTCTCGAATCGCCATGAGCGGGACTCGTCGCATCGCAAAGTTGAGAAGCTTCGGGCGATACAGTAGCATGCGTTGGTTGTAATACCGCCAACGCATCACCGTGCGCGCAGTATATAACGATTCAGGACACGGTTCGTGGTCTTTCAGGACGGGTGGCAGGTTGCTCCACCACTGGTGTAGTTGTGAATCCATGTCGAATATCTCCTTGTGCGTCAACGTTGGCAGAGCGGCCAGTGATTCCTGGACTTTCGAAGCAATCTTGATAAATTCGACGTTTTCAATCAAGGGAAGTACCACAAGATAGTGTTCCTGGAAGGTTAATCTTTGAGAAGGCCGTTGAGGAAGGAAAACGTACCTGATCCAGCAGACGAGGTTGAGAGACGGTGATGCTCGGCGCAAAGAAGTCCATACAGGGCCGGCCGAGGGTCTCATGGCCCCATGTTTCTAGACAGCACAGAGCCCACCATACCCGCCGTCTGAATTCCTGGTGTGCAGCCCTGGCCGGGTCTGGTATAAGACGGCCGTCGTAAGGCTCGCGCTGTAGCCCTAGCGTGACAGCCATGCGCAGAGAGGCGCCCATCAGGGAATATCCGAGGTTTGGCTGGCTGATATAGTGGCAATACCAGCCCCCGATGAGTCCGAGGGCCTGCACTGCTTCGAGGCTAGGACTGCCGAGTGTAGCCAGGTCGAGGAGACTCATTGCACGCGAGTAATATGTCCGGTGGTCGTGATTCTCTGCCCCCGAGGCTGCGATACTCCCCAATGCCAGGACGATGTTGAACAAGGCCAGCCATCGATTATCTTTCTGGTCGCCGACCAAGTGAGTGGCGCGGAAACTCTTTTCATCGACCAGGGGGGCAAGTGGGTGGAAATTGACAAAGTACGCATCGATCATTTCTACTTCTGTGAGAGAAGAACCAGGCTCAATAAGCAGAGACGGCATCGACTGAGCTGTTCGGCTGCTTTGAGGTAAATACGACTGGAGCTGTGGATGGAGCCATGCGATGACTTTCATCGCAGCCTGCGTAGATGAGATGCCCAGGTACGACGCAGGCTGTCGAGCATTCAGGGACAGCCCGTTCACATCATCCGAAATGTTTTCGAAGGAGCCAGATCCACTGGTGCCCTGGTCTGGATCGAGCGGTTCCTCGGGCATTGAATGGAGGGATTCCAGACCGGGCGGTCCTATGGACAACGGCTGTGTTTCTATCGACAAAGCAAGGGACGGCGAGTCCTGCTGGGCCTGTTCATGACTGCCTGCAGTCACCAACTCCAGCAGTTTCTCTCGGGGCAAATGGGCAATGCTGTCAGGGGCTGTGCCGGGAAACAGCCTTTCCAGTGCGGCGCGATAGTGGGCCGATTTCTGCTGGCTATTCTGTTCAGTGGGATCCTCTGCAGGGCTTCTTTTTTGTTTCTACCTGGGCGACTGCCGACGTTCTGCATGAGAACACAGCTCCGACTTTTTGTACCACTGGCAAGCTTCACATGGCTTCTCGCCATTGCATTTGATCTTTCGACGACGACAGAAATTGCAGGCGCGCACCATCGACCCCCGGCGGCCGATTCGTTCACCGCGCCGGTGCTTGGGGCTCTGCAAACCCTCTTCGCTGCTTTGGGAGGCCTCGAAGGCGATAAACATGACTGAAGTTGGACCACCGAAGAATGTTACAGAGGATCAGAGATCGCGACGTGGTCGAGGAGGTAGCCCAGGTGTTGTTCGAGGTTGATCAGATGTTCAGATGTTTAGAATAAATTATGCCGAGGATCCTCCGAGATATCCAGGGTGGTTTGTTTCGAAAGGTCTCGGCAGTTATACGATGCAACCCCGCTTCGTGGAGTGGCAGCCCCTGACAGGGCAGTGCAGCCTATGCGGGGAACTTCACATGAATGGCTGAAGAGGAGCATATCCGTCCGGCTGTGGGAGTAGGGGTCTGCACACCATTACCAAATATGGCTTGGCAGACATGAATATCTGGGGAACGGAGGAGAAGAAGAAAACAAAGATTCTTCGTTTTGGGTTGTCGAGCTAAACCCTTCGAGGCACGGACATGGACCTCCGCATAGATCTGGTGTACTATAATTACCAGCGGAAATACTTTGTCTCCGTGACGTGTTATGGGACTAACTGGGTTAGGTTAGCGCAAAGGGTTTGTTCTCCACAAAAACATCCTCTTTTCTCTCTGTTTCCCCATAATCATGTGATAGAGGGACTGGCTCTCACGTAATTCAACAACCAGCTATCCAACTGATGGTTCTGCTGCATACTTATGTTCTTAATCAAGCTCGTTTTGTAGGATGTCTAACCATAGTAATGAATAGGCTAGCCTTTGACAGTACATGTGATTTCTCTAGCATTGGGATTTGCCGTAGCGGAAAGGATGAAAAGACAGATGTTCTTGCGGGAGCCAATGTTGCTGACCAGATGTTGCAGTCTCATACAAGCATCACAAACGATTATCCGTAGATTCTGATCATTTGCCACTTTGGGAATATTGGCTGTCATGGCAGTGATTCTGCGATATTGGTGTGTTATATTGAGATGGCACTGAATATATATTTCTCCACACCACAGACGATCATGATCGCGACACCAACAACAAAAGCCTGTCGGAATTAGTACCTCAACCATTATATACACCTCCTAGGTACTCTCTTCTCATCATTCTTATGCCTTGACTTTTCTTCCCATATCAAATTCAATCATGTCAACAATGGCCATGGCCGAGCCAATCACGGCGCTTCATCCGACATTCATGTGGGGCTTACCGGATTTTGTCCCGAATTGTTGGATTCCGTATAGGCAGAATGCCTCGTGCCAACTCCACCTGTCAACAACTGCTGTCCAACCGGAGACGACGATGGCATTCGCTGAACCGCACACTGTACTGCTTCCCTTCTCCGAACCGGCGGGTGTTGCTGAAACGGTCGGCCCGGCGGGTGCTATTTTAGAGAAATCCACGGTGATCTGTAGCTCCCTCGTCTGGGGTCTGCCCATGGGGATTCGTCAATGCGGGCCAACATCGGTTACAACATCGGTTGCTCCAGAACCCTTGCTCTTGTCTTCACCTTGTTCCACACTATGCGGCCTGGCCCGAGTGGCAAGACGTCGACAATGGCAGCCGAGTGCAAGGTGGATGCCATGGAATAACATGATCCGCCATCCTCTTCCCCAGCACCCCGGCAATAGAGAGGTGGACTATGGGGATCCCCAGACGAGCCCTGAGTTCCCATTGTCTGACAATGCTGGGGTGAAGTCATCCCCGTACTTTCTGTTATCGAGTGATATAAAACAAGTTTCTCCGGCTTGAAACGGCGATGGTCGATATTAAAGAAGTTCGTTCCCAAGTCAAACACTCCTCTGGTCAGTTATCTTTCTCTTCACATCTCATCCTTTCTAATTGGACAAGACATGCCGTCAGACAAGGCCGCCCAAGAGCCCGAGTCGTCTTCGACTCATATCGATGTAATCAATCACCCTGGCCATAGAGTCACTGCCTCTCCACCGCTGACGACTCCATGCTGTCTGTCTGACCAGGTCGACAATGCATCCGACTCCAAGGTCGAACTCACCGAGGCCGACTGCTATTCCGAACTGGGCTTTTCCTTCTCCAACGCAAAGAAATGGACGATTATCATTGTCATCTTCCTGGTGCAGACCTCGATGAACTTCAACACCAGCCTTTATTCCAACGCCGTTTCGGGAATCTCAGAAGAATTTGGTGTGAGCAAACAAGAGGCCCGTTGCGGAGCAATGGTGTTTCTCATCCTCTATGCGTTTGGCTGCGAGCTGTGGGCACCGTGGAGCGAGGAGGTTGGCAGGAAACCAATCCTCCAACTAAGTCTTTTCCTGGTCAATATCTGGCAGATCCCAGTGGGAATCGCTCCCAACTTTGCAACCATCATGGTGGGCCGGGCTCTGGGTGGAATCTGTACCGCCGGTGGTTCTGTCACATTGGGCATGATTGCTGATATGTGGGAGCCAGACGACCAACAGTATGCGGTGGCCTGTGTGGTGTTTTCTTCTGTTGGTGGCTCTGTACTCGGTCCTGTTGTGGGAGGCTTTGTGGAGGCATATCTGCCCTGGCGCTGGAATATCTGGATACAGCTGATCTTTGGTGTCTTTGTCCAAGTTGCCCATCTCGTGTTGGTTCCAGAGACAAGAACATCGATCATGATTGATCAAATCGCCAAACGGAGACGGGTAAATGGAGAGAAAGTGTACGGCCCGAACGAATTGATTCCATTCAAAGACCGATTCTCGATGCGAGAAATCCTGATCACCTGGATGCGGCCGTTCCGCATGTTCTTGACAGAGCCGATTGTGCTGACTCTATCACTGCTGAGTGGCTTCACGGATGCATTGATCTTTATATTTATTCAATCATTCAGCCTGGTGTACAAGCAGTGGAACTTTGGTACTGTTGCTGTTGGTCTTTCTTTCCTACCCATTATGATCGGATATATCATTGCCTGGATCTCATTCATTCCGGTTATTCGACGCAATATTCATCAAAGACGCATGAACCCTGCCGATGAGCGCGCTCAGTATGAATCTCGACTGTGGTGGTTGTTGTATACGGCTTTGTGCCTTCCCATCGGCATGATTGGTTTTGCATGGACGAGTCTGCCACAGGTGCACTGGATCGGCACCATGTTCTTCTCAGCGCTGGTGGGAATTGCGAATTTCAGCATCTTCATGGCAACCATCGATTACATGATCTGTGCCTACGGACCGTATTCTGCCTCCGCGACTGGTGGGAATGGCTGGTCAAGGGACTTTTTGGCTGGTGTCTTGACTGTCCCTGCGACTCCATTCTATGAAAGTATGTTTATTCATCTGCATCATGAGCGTTGCTAATAGATGTCAGATATTGGGGGAAAGTACCACCTGGAGTACGCGTCAACCATTCTATGTAGGTCCATCCCGTCCTCCGAAGCCATTATCTAACAGTAACAGTCTGCATCTCGGTCCTTCTCGTCGCCACTGTATACGTGATCTACTGGTATGGACCGGCCCTTCGAAAGCGATCCCCCTTCGCCCAGCAGTTGGTGGATGCCAGGGCAGAAATCCAAACTCGAGTCCGCGATCAGAATCCAGAAAGCGTTGCTGTATCGATGCCCAACCAGCTTGCCAGATCGCAACAGAACCTTCGCCTTCGAGAAGCCATGGGCAGTCGACCAGGTAGCTTTGCGGGATCGCGTGTTCAGTCGCGGGCGAATTCTCGTGCAAATTCTCGTGCAAATTCGCGCCGGAACTCGATGTCGTGAGCTGGATAGAATGGCCACGAGGACTATTGAACTGGATGGTTCGGTATTATTCATATGCTTGGTTAGAGTTACAGGAGAATCAGTACGCATTTATAGATTGTGAGAGCCACACGTTTAGATCAGGTTATGTTGAGCGCAATTAAGTCAACCATCATGGCTCCAGCCATATTTATTCCACTCAGCCCAGAAGAAGCTACTTTTCTCATCGACGGTAACGTATATAGCAGCCGTCAAACTCTCCTCTTCAGGGCAACCATCTTGGTGGGATCAGGATAGATGAAAAACCGATCAATCTCACTCTTGGGACGACCCTCTCCTGCATCCTCTAGAGCCAGGTCGTATTCCATCAATATAGAACCCAGAAGCAGCTTCAGTTCAATGGCTGCAAACCACCGACCGGGACAGGCCTGTAGACCGTAGCCAAAATGCAGCGACGTCTCATTGACCGACACGTACTGGTGCTTCGTACTGGGTTTTCCCGTTTTCTCAAACTCGGCCTGCTGCAATTTATGGAAGCGAAGACCGTCGAACGTGTCCGGGTCTTCAAAGTATTGCGCATCACGGCCGATGTGGTAGGAAGGGGCGGCAATGTGGGCGCCTTTGGGGATGTGAGTACCGTCAGGCAGAGTCACTTGGTCGAGTGCTTTTCTTTCAAAGGAGACTGTAGAGTATTAGTAGATATTCCAACAAGATTGATTTGACATACCCAGCGCCAACGGGGTAATTCTCTGAGACTCCTTCATGAAGCTGTCCAATTTGGTCATCTTGCTAAAGGCTTCCTTGGTAAGATTACCATTGCAGCTGTCAAGGACAGACTGAAACTCCTCTCTCAAGATGGGAATATATTCCGGTCGTGCAGCCAAGTCAAACAAAGCCTGAGTTGCAGCAAAAGCCACCGTGTATGTCGTCGGGACAGTGGCCAGAATGTGGATCATGCTCTGGTGCTCGTTGCTTTTATTCTTCTCCTCGGAGCTATCCCAGACCCATTGCAGCATTGTATTGGGCTTCTTCTTCAGCTTCGCGTTTTCGGCCTTTCGTCTTTTTTCGAATTCGGGAGCAAGGATTTCACCGAGGCGGGCTTTGGTCTGGTTGACCCGGCGAAGTTGGGGCAGTGTATACTGGATCAGAGGACGAAGGAAGCTGGGCCACTGTGTGATGGCAGATATAGAGCCAAAGAAGTCAATGGGATATTGCGTGTAGAGATCGAGCCACTCGGTGTTGCGACTGATTTCTGGGCCAACGTTCATTCTCCCCGAGACGGATCCGATGATGCGGAGGAGCTTTTCAAAGGCCTGGATGGATTGCCAGTCTGGGCTGTTAGATACTATCGTAGCAGAAGGAGGGAATAGTGTACCTTTTGAGGAAGGGAGTTCTCGGTTGATCGCAACATTCATCTCTTCGATGATGTCTGGTATGATGGCAGCTACTATTGTCAGTATTGTGTAGTCAAGATGGACAAGGCACCGACCAAGATTGTTGTTGAGATCGATCTGAGTACTCTTCATGAACGACGAGGAGCACATGGCGTTGGTATATTTGGATTGGTATTGCTACATTATTAGCAGGTCCTCGGAAAGACGTGAGATGCCTTACATCGTGAACATGGCTGGGCAGATCAACCCGCTTGTCGAGTCTGAGCGAGGGCAGATACTTCATGGGTAGGATGTACAGCGGATAGTCGGACGTCTGCATCTTCCACATGGACGAGTTGTTGGACTGGATTATTAGAAGGTATTCAATCAGTGTAGAGAGTGGCATACCTCCTTGTATCCATTTTGCAGGATTTCCTTCTCTCCGAGTCTTTGTTTTGATAGAAGCCTTTTCAAGACGGTAAACAGCACCACAGCAGAGGATGCAATTGAGAGATAGACAATGCCATCGTACTGAGTCAAGTTCTGGATCATTGCAATTGACTCCATTGCGAGAGCGCGGTAGACTGATTTCTGAATACTATAGAGTTTGATGTAGTAGACACCCTTCTTATACACCCAGAGCCCTTGAGCCCGGACAGCTCCGCTTGACCTTCCTATTGTGGAATCACTATTCGTAATCAACTCGCAAGGAGGGATTTCTTTGTGGCAACTTGAAGCCCTTCACGGCGCTCGAATTCTACCCAGCACCAGTCTTGCATACTGCTAGTGCTAGAGGCACCACATCGCCACGGGTATGATGGATTCACCATCACCATCTGCACAAATCATAGGGATGATATTTGCTCCTCCCAATCAGATCCAAGGTCATCAACTCGTGAGAGATGATTCTGCAGCTGAAGTGAGACATGCACACAGGGGAGGCCGTGATATCTTCAGCAAGCCATGTTGTGGGACTGCAGTATGCAACCCCTGACAAGGTTCCGTGTAAATTTCCCAATATCGAATATGATTGACCACAGCAGCTGAATACTTCTGGCTGATACGTTTATCTCAGCTCTAGTTGGGTTTTAAACGGGGTCTGTCACAAGCGAGGGATTTAGTATCATCTGAGTAGTGAAGATGGGAAGTTTGCCCCTCGTTAAGCCGATTTCTGATACACCACAATCCCTGCTCATGGCTCGAACTGGTGACCATCAATCGCCACTGATCCACAACATCAGTATTGTCTATTTTCTACAATCCCGGACAGCCCGTATAAATAAAACGGCCTTTAACCATCCAATTCCATCGCAACATCTCCATCTTACGAGTGACTGTCATACCCGCCAACATGCTGTCCAAAATGAACATCACCTGGACCGACATTGATGCCTTTGAAGTCCCAGAGCACTTCAGCCGATTCCCCGCGGGCATTGCCAACAATGCCGTGGAGGTGGAGGCCGCGATCAACAAAGTCATCGATGCCTCTTGTTCCCCTGGCTCCAAGGAGTGGAAGAAGGCTAAGATCCGCCATTCGAATCCGGACAACAATCCGTTTGCCATCTGCCACTGCACTGCTATTCCGGAACGACTGGTTGTGCTTTCATGCATCATCGAAGTGGCGTGGATTAATGACGGTAGGTATTTCATCCCCAGTAGATTACAAGCTAACTAGTCGAAGATGTCACCGAAGAACTCGATCACAAGAATGTAAGTCATATTCCAGTTAGTAGCAGCTCCGTTACTAAATTATACAGGCTCTGTTCAAACACGACCTTCTGGAGCAGGCAATGCAATTCGAAAACCTCATCAACGCTGATATCGGCCGCTTCAACGCTAGGGAGATTCTGTTTGGTTTGCTCGTCCAGAAGGCGTGCGGAATGGATCCAGCCGCAGGACCCAGTGTGATCAAGGTGCTGGCCAACTATCTGCGAACGTTTGATTCTAGCAATGAGGACTTTCAGAACATGGAGGAGTACAATCCATACAGAGTGGCTAACTGTGGATACTGGTGAGTTGGACACGGAACCCCACGCAACGGGATTCTAACATGGATAGGATATCCTCTTTTTTCATCCGGTGGGGAATGGACATGACGCTTACCGACGCTGAATACGAGCAAATCCGCGAGTTTGACTTTTCCATGGGCATCATCCTCGGACTGACCAACGACTACTACAGCTGGGCTGTGGAAAAAGATCAAGAGACCGATCGAATGCGGAATGCAGTGCGGGTCTTAATGAAGGAGCACAACATCCCAGACACAGTGGCGAGATCTCTGCTGCGGGGCATCATTGTGGATGAAGAGGAAAAGGCGTTTCGCTTGAAGCAAAAGGCACTCAGCTCGTCCCCGTCATCAGCCGTGGTGCAGTATATCGATGCCATTGAGCTGTACGTTGGGGGGAGTTGCTATTGGCATGCCACTGCCCCTCGATACAGGACAGAGTAGATCTTCTTGGCTTAATTTAATTTATGTTCTACCATGGCGGCAGATGTCCATTCTCCAAGGCTTACAGCGCAGAGTAGCACCCCGAAAGATCGACGGACAAGTGTTGGCTCATCGGTGGCGATTGACTAAGATATTTATGTACCTTGTGTCTTAGTCCTGCAGGCACGCAGGAGTATCACGTCGAGTCTACCTTGCTGTGCCCATCAATGAGATGAGAAGCAACCGCGTGTTGGGCATTGCATTAGCACTGGAATTGAGATGGAAAAATCTGACACAATAGCCGCCAGAATCTGAGTATATCCGACACTAAGTCAATCAAAGCAGCACTGTATCTAGAAAATCTATTTCATGTAGGTAAACAGCTGTCGAATGTATATACACACTCCTACCTAAAAAGTATGGGGTGTTTGTCATGCCCATTATTCCATGGAGGGGTAATGGTCCTGTTGTGGGGACGTTCATCACTCGCAACAGGTAAATGAAAGACGCCATTTATCGACGGCGAATTCTCGGCAATGCCGTTGGCGCTTGAGCTTTGCATTCTAGGGCGAGACTAGGACAATAAGATGAGTCTGATTGGTTATCATACTCCACTGGTAACTATTTGCGGTCCAGCCTAGTCGATTGATTGGACGGTCATATCGTCCAAGAATAAGCTGCATTAGCCCCATCGACACGTTCCTTGGTAGGAAGGACAGCAGATCAGCCAGCCACGGTTCACACAATCTCAGATCTGCAGCCGTCGTGCAAGTGCCAGTCCAGCTATAGCCAGTGAAACACCGGTGAAGTGGGGTAGAAATATTTGCATTTGCCTTGGCTATCTTACTATTCTCCGACATGACCTGAAGGCGAATGAAAAGGAGGTTACAGCAGTTTTTAGCTGACAGGTCACATGCCACTGTCTCTCAGCGTCTACTCATTATCAAACGCTGCAGTAGATCGGCTGAGCCACTATCACATCAATTACCAAGACTCAAACCCCACAGATAGTGCCCCTCGCACTCGCTTGATGTACCTGAAGTTCAAAGCGTCTCTTGAAAACAGCCCTCCAGTGGAAAACTGACCCTCTGAAGGATGTGTCGGTCTCCATTGACTGACAGGCGACAGCCAGCGCATGGCAACATTCTTGACCGGACCAAGCGGCGATGGTTGCCATCGTGAGTCTGCAGTAATTCGACTGGAGGGTCAATTAACTTCTATTATAGCATTTACTAGGCCATTTCAAGAAATCCTATAATGATGGATCTGCTTTGAACGTACTGAATGCTTTATTGTTCTTCTATAGTCGAGGTAATATATACTATAGCAAATCTCCATCCGTACCCGGTCCGTAAATGACACTCTTGATCCCGTTTCGATTGACCACATTTTGAAACGCATCTTGGGCTTTCCAGAATGAATATTCGTGCGTCACCAGTCCCTCCAACTTCACTCGTCGTGAATTCAGCAGTCCAATGGCCAGTTTGTAGTCTCCCGGTCCATATCGGAAACTTCCTTTGAACACAGCCTCTTTATCGCACACTTGACCAACGGGAAATGACACGTTTGGCTTTCCCAATCCCACCTGGACGAATGTTCCACCAGGAAGAAGAATGTCAATGCCGCAATTCAAGCACGGCTCGGCCCCTGAAGCATCTAGGACGATCTCTGCTCCTCTGTCCAGCCCAGCCATTGCCAGCAGTTCCTCTGCGTTCTTTTTATCGGATCCCATCTCGTACGTATGTGTGGCTCCATACATACTCGCAGACTCCAGCCGGCTTGTAACCACATCCACTGCAACGACTGTCGAAGCACCAAAGGCGGAGGCGACAGCACAGCACAATAAACCAACTGGACCAGCACCGAAGACCACCACCGACTTGTCCTGCATATCTCCTGCCAGGCGACAAGCATGAACGGCCACACTGAGAGGCTCTACCAGCGCGCCATCTCGGGGAGAAATATGCGGTGGCAGTTTGTAGCAGCATTCAGCAGGGACACGATAGTATGTCGACAGTGTCCCATCATACGGAGGTGTGGCAGCAAAACGCATGTCGGTGCAGAGGTTATAACGGCCGCTGCGACAGTGCCGGCATGTGTTGCACGAGATGCCAGGCTCAAGGGCAACGCAGTCGCCAACCTTGAGGCCATCCACGTTGCTTCCACAGCTGACGATGACTCCAGAAGATTCATGGCCCAGGATTATGGGTTTTTCGACTACATATCGACCCAGTTTGCCATGTTGCCAGTAGTGGACCTGATCGTTGTTAGTTTTAATCCAGATACATATTGAACAGACTTACATCTGACCCGCAAAGGCCGGTTGCAATGACTCGAACGATGACATCGCGATCAGACTGAATCACCGGAATGTCGCGTTCCTGGTAGTTGAATGCACCACCGGGATGCAATACAAGTGCATGGTTGACGTCCTGATGTCTGTTAGCATATCGTCAAAGATAGAAAGATAGTATCACACCTTTTTTTCTTGGGCAGGCATTCTGAATCTCTGATGTAATTCGTTGGTGACTATTTTCATACGTCAAGTTGTCAACCTTGGGATGATAAATGCCAAACATGATACTGCATCCAACACGGTTCCGGTACGGTTCCGGCGGCCTCAATCTGAGATATTCTCGGTTCCGCCGGATTCATTTCATCGTCGGTTCCGATTGTCATGAATATCTTCTGTTCTGGGGAAACGTGGGGATGTTGTGTTGTGATGCGGAGATGGAGAGTTCGCCGTCGGCGTTATCCCCGACGGTGTTCTGTACAGAGTGTCTCGACCAGATCAGCAACTCATGCAGTAGGGCATTCTCTGTGTCGATATGGCAATCGGTGGTAATTCCATGGCTATTCTTCAGAGATGTGGCAATGTGATCTTGGTGTCTATATATATCCTCATTACACCGATATAGAGCAATACAACCAACAAACTTCAAAATGGACGTGATTGAACGAAAGCCCCAGAACTTTGCCATCCATACCAGCCCTGCCAATGACCTGCGTCTGGTAGAGTGCGAGATCCCCAAACTCGCAGCGGATGAGTGTCTGGTACATGTTCGTGCCACTGGCATCTGTGGCTCCGATGTGCATTTCTGGAAACATGGCCACATTGGCCCGATGATTGTCACCGGCGACAATGGACTGGGCCATGAGAGTTCTGGCATTGTCCTGCAGGTCGGAGAGGCAGTCACTCGTTTCAAGCCTGGTATGTCTTCGATGTCTTTCTAAGATGCTATACTGACGCATCAAAGGCGACCGTGTGGCCATGGAGTGCGGTGTCCCATGTTCCAAGCCAACGTGTTACTTCTGTCGCGCTGGCAGATATCACGCCTGCCCAGATGTTGTCTTCTTCTCGACTCCCCCCCATCACGGAACACTGCGTAGATACCATGCCCACCCGGAAGCTTGGTTGCATCGCATTCCCGACAACATCTCCTACGAAGAGGGATCTCTCTTGGAGCCTCTGTCGGTTGCTTTGGCTGGTATCGATCGATCTGGACTGCGGCTGGCCGATCCCCTCGTTATCTGTGGTGCTGGTCCCATTGGTCTGGTCACTCTATTGGCCGCCAACGCCGCCGGTGCTGAGCCCATTGTGATCACTGATATCGACGAGAACCGGCTGGCCAAGGCCAAGGAGCTCGTTCCTCGTGTTCGACCTGTCCTGGTGCAGAAGGAGAGTGCCCAGGATCTGGGAGGCCGCATCATCAAAGAACTCGGACAAGAGGCCAAGCTGGTGCTCGAATGTACCGGCGTGGAGAGCAGTGTGCACGCTGGCATCTACGTAAGTCAGCGGCTCTTTTACTATGATTCTATCCATTCTAACATGTCTAGGCAACACGATTTGGAGGAATGGTGTTTGTGATTGGCGTTGGAAAAGACTTCCAGAACATCCCCTTTATGCACATGTCGGCCAAGGAGATCGACCTGCGATTCCAATACCGGTATCACGACATCTACCCCAAGGCCATCAGCCTGGTTGGCGCTGGCATGATCGACCTGAAGCCGCTGGTTTCTCACAGATACAATCTCGAAGACGGAGTCGAGGCGTTCGCCACAGCCAGCAACCCCAGTGCCAGAGCGATTAAGGTGCAGATTCTGGATGATTAGATAGACGAATATGAATAGAATGGAAGATTTATAGACTAGACGGATACCTTTCTCTCTCTGCTTCAATATATAATAAGGAACAATCATGTCAATTATCAATTCGAAGACTATAATGCTGAACGGACAGACTGGATTAGTCTGGACAGAAATAAATTTCAATCCATTTAGATCCTTGTGATGCTCCTAGTATGTTTCTATAATATCTGAAGTGCGCTAGCGACATTGAATAAACACTAGACTCGGATGTTTAAGTCAAGGAGTTCATCTCGAGATGTTATATTTCATACTTGGCACTAACTTTAATGAAAGCTCATGATTGACAACAGAAGAATGAATATGAGGTCAAAGGCAGTCTATAAATTGATTTATACTCTATCACATCAAGTATATAGCATCCCTCCATTTGCACAAATCACATCTCCCGTCACCCATCGCGATCTCTCCTCTGCCAGAAAAGTGATGATATCCCCGATATCCTGCACTGTTCCACATCGCTGTCCGGCAGGAACCTTCTTGTTCTGCTCCTCCATACGAGCCAGATGCACCGGTCCGGCTGCTTGATACATATCCGTGTCCACTGGGCCTGGATTGACTGCGTTGACCGTGATGCCGTACTTGTGTCCCAGCTCAGTTCCCCAGACTCTCGTAAGACCCTCGACGGCGGCTTTGGTGGCTGCGTAGACAGACTGTGTGGCGTATCCTCCCCGGGCAGAGATGGATGATAGATTCACAATGCGTCCTCCGCGAGGGATATATGGCAGGATTGCCTGCGTCATGAAGACGACAGCCCGGACGTTGACGTCCATCAACTGATTGTATCCTTCTAGAGTAACCTCCTCCAAGGGTCTGTTATCTCCAGCTCCAGCATTGTTTACTAGGATATCGATTTGATCGGTCTTGAAGGCAGCCAAAGTCGCTTGGATGATTGCATTCGGGGCTGCCATGTCGGTCATGTCGGCCTTGATGGCAACAGCTTCTTTGCCGTCATTCTGCAGCTCCTGGACTAGGTTATCCGCTGCGTCTCGAGAGGAGGGAGATACATAGTTGAAGGCGATCTATACTGTCAGCAGAGATATATTAACGAGTGGCTGATCTCACCTTTGCGCCCTCCTTGCTCAGGCTGCGAACAATTCCTGCTCCGATACCCCTGGCTCCTCCAGTGACAATGGCAACTTTTCCGGTCAGCGACATTTTGATTGTGTAGTTGATGTATATTTGATTGTGATACTGCTCTTGACCATGGCCGTTAATATATCATCGTGCATAATTATGCATGCATAAAGTGCACAACACGCATGCTTGACGGCTCCACCGCACAAACGCCACCGGATCTATCGCCGTCGGGGCTATCTCCGGGCGTGGAAATTGCAACTCTGAGCATCTCCGAGCGCCCCTCGATGGAATCCTCGCGTCCATCTCCATTCTTATGGTCTGCTGTTGGTTACATGGCCAGGTGTATCATTCTGGAGATTCCAGCTGTGTTTCGGAGTTATCCAGACTGTCGTAGATATCATATATAAACCTGCCTGCTGAAAAGATTGAAATATACAATATAAGACACTACAGATGTATCTTCCCGTCTACTTCGTCGATGCACCTTAACATTGACGGCCGTGGAATAACAGGACATAAGACATCGACCTGAGACTACCAACAACACCACACAACATTCAATTATTTCACTAACACTAGAGATATCATCGTCTATATCTTTATAATTTATAGAAATAACATCCATTGCCAAATAACTGTCAGTTAAAACTCTTGTAGACCCCGCAGTTCTTGGCGCTCTATTGCCACCCCCGCGACTCGAAGATTCTGAGATGCTTCCACTATTCTCCTCCCCTCACGCAGTCCCCCTTTTTCTCCTGGCAGCCAGCCAATTCAGTATGGAGATAGCAAGTCCTCGGTCACGGCACATTCTCCGCAAGTCCTTTGCGTGTGATGAGTGCAAGCGTCGTAAGATCCGCTGCTCCGGCGACCAAAACTGCTCCAATTGTGTGCGAGACGTCAAACCGTGCCACTATTCCTCGCCGTCCCAGCGGCTATCGACGCTCCAAAGGTACTTGATCTGCACGACTGGTCCATTGTATATGTCTTGCTCACGTGTCTAGGCGCCTGCAAGAATGTGAACGTTGGAAACACGACATGGAGCGGGCGTGGGCTGCCTATCTCCCTTCTGTTGATCTGCAAGAAGCGCTTCGAACAGTCCGCCAACAGAATGGCTCTATACCAGCTGTTCAAAAGAAAGACAAACTGCACAATGACGTGACTCATTCCACTGAGCAGCCGCCTACCAGCTTTGCCGAACACAGCAATGCCGAAGACTACGAGTTTGACGAATCGCAAGATTTTGACAACACCACGGACGGTATGGGGTTTCTCACCGTCGACCCGCACAAGGCCGGCTATACAGGGCCTCAGTCTGGTGTTGCCGCATTGAAGTTTCTTCAATCACTTCCTCTCTATCTTCCGTTGAGCAGTTTCAATCCGGCATCTTCGCTGGATGACGATGATGTGTCCGAGTCTGGCTTGCAAAAGAAAAGAGAAGACATATCCCAGTATCTCGATGACTATTTCATGTTCTATCATCCGAGCTATCCTATTCTCCACGAAGGCACATTCCGTGCTCGAGTATCAGGTGCATTGGCTAAACCCCGGGATGGTTCGTGGCCACTACTATACAACATCGTCCTTGCGATCGGGGCATTCGTTGGTGACTCCAACGGAACAAAGGCAGATGTTCCCTATTTCAAAGAGGCACGAAAGCATTTGGCCATGGATGTGCTGGAAAAAGGATCACTCAGCTACGTTCAAGCTATTGTGCTGATGGCCAACTACTTGCAGAAACGGAATAAGCCCAACGCAGGTTTTATCCTCATCGGAATTGGCTTCAGCATGGCACTGGCGATTGGTCTACATCGTGAATTCGGCATGCCCAGTACCTCTCCGTTTACCATGGAGATTCGACGGCGCGTATGGTGGACATTGTTTGTTTTTGTTTCCGGAATGCAGTTGATTCTTGGGCGCCCAGCTGTCTCATTGGTAGGAGTCAACGTTCGACTACCAGCCAGTCTCGACGATCATGATTTGGCTGTTGATATGGATGAACTGCCTGAAGGCAGATCAGGACCGACAATCACTTCTTGTCTCATCGCGCAAGTCAAACTGGCCAAGATCGCCAATGCAGTGCAGGTCGAACTACTGACCCATCATCTACCAACATACGAAAAAGCTCATGACTTAGAACAACGGATCACATCATGGTGCCACGACCTGCCACCTCATTTCAACCCAGATGTGGATCTGGAGCCACGGTTTGATATTCCACGCCGAGTTCTACTGTGGAGATCATTCCATCTGCGGATTGTCATCAACCGCCCTTTTCTATTCCAGAACATTGCACTCAAGGCTGAGCTAGCAACAACCGCTGGTCCGATCGCATCTTGTCTTGCCGCAGCAGACGAATGCGTAACGTCAATCTGCGGCTTCCTCGAGTCGACGGATAATCGAAGACGGGGACTAACATGGTATGCAACGTGCTGGCTGCTTACTGCCAGTTTTGTCCAGGCTACCTGCTATATCTACGAGCCAGGACATGCTCTTGCTGCGTCGTGGAAGTGTCATATTCAGCGTGCTGTGGACTGTTTGGGAAGTTTAGGGCCTTCCCACGACATGGCTTTACGAGCGAGAGATGTGCTACAGAAAATACTTGGTATGTTCATTGCATTTCTCATATACACAAATGCTAATCGATTCAGAACACGGCCACGGACTCGGACTCCCTGATGCTGGCCCCTATTCTCCAACACAAATCCCAGCCCCATTCCGTGCCCTATGGACTCCATCGCACAATGACAACGACCAAGCAAATTACAACCTCCTGTCCATGGGACTGGCAGATAGCTTTGCGGGATATCCCCAGGGATCATTCAATGCAGAGTTCCTAGATGCAGCCGGTGGTTTGATGATACAGAACTTCTTTGACAGTTCGGAGGAACGACCGCAGAATAGTTCGTGGATGCCGGGTTAGGGCCGTAATACTTCTGTGTGTTTTTTGTTCTATACCCCTTATTAAATTAAATGATACTAGATTTAACATCATGCATATAACTTGCCCACCCTCAAAGGAGTAGGATTCTCCGCATCAAACGTGGCATGGCCGATGTCAGAATCGATATCCACTGAGGCATCAACTACACCCCATTTGAGTGTTTTGTAGGGCAGATCTTTCGCAAATTCCTGTCCATCGGTCGTTGTTTCAGTACCAGGAGAAGGCTGGCAAGCTGCAGCGAGACTGGCACTACAGCACCCTGCCAGTGGGATTGAACCGGGAAATTTCTTGAATATGGAGATGCCCACAATAATAAAGATGGACGCACCACCGAGCGAGACAGAAATGGCCATTCCAAGTGGCGAGAAGAAGATATCGGATATTGATGCAGACGCGCTGGTAGCATGAGGGATCAATGTATATACCTCTATAACCGCGAAGAAAGTCGTCTGAGACACCAGCCAATGCAGAATTGTGACGAATATGGCTGTCGGGATACCCCATTTCAGTGGCACCGACAGGGTATACGTCGACACCTGCTCGGTATTCGGGACTGGTGACGACACACGGAGACCTTTGCCTTTGCCGTTTACCTCCGCACTGAACGCACCATTCAGCCATTGCCAGCATAGTTGTCATCATGTTGTTGAGGGCTAGGTAGATGTAGGAGACTATCAGCTGTGGCACGTTGGCCTCAATGAAACCAGTGAGGAGACCTGACACTCCATTCTCTGTGGCACGAAAGCTTGCACGAGGCTGGCCAATGCCTAGTGCCACAATGCCGGATCCCTTCACGCCTTTCCTGCCGGGGTCGTAGAGAACTCCACCGGCGATGATGACGGCGCTTAGACAAGCAGTATAAAACAGCCACTGGAATAGGTGGATGGCTTCGTTCCATCGCCACCGGCCTCCGTCCCAGAGGTCACCGATGTTGGATGCTCGCGATTGCCACTCATCCGATCGAGATATATAGCTTTCATAATCCTGTTTGGAGACCAGGCACCGACCTTTGGTGTGAGGATCTGGCTTTTGGAGAAAGGACTGAATAGCATCACCAGTGGTGCACAGCGGTGGATCAGCCTTGGTGATTCGCAGGGTGAATAAAAAGCAGAGGATTTTAATGACGTTGCAGATAATCACCACGATGAGAAAGAGAGGGACAATGCTGGCTTTGCACTTTTCAGGCGTTGTCTCTGAGTAGCAGTATTGAATTGGCGCATCATTCAACGGAGTGCCCGGATAACTATTGAAAGTCGTATCGCCCAGAGTCCACTTCTTGCCCGGGAGATTATGAACACACTTCCAGATATAATCGTACCCTATTAGAGCATATTTGTCACACATCCAAGCAAATAGGGGATCTCCATCGACCGAGTATGTGCTATTGTGCATTCCCAGCACTGTCCCATTGGTGTCATACTGATGGCCATCGATGACAAGTAGTAGATGACGCCGATCGGATAGCTCATCCTGGGCATATGCTTTGATGCAATCGTCCACGTCAAGCCGTTCCAATCCAGTCGAGCTGTTTCCGGATCGACTGCTGATCGCTTCATGCTGTAAATGGCTGATTATATCGCTAGCCATTCCCCATTCCGTGTGGGTCATAGAAGATCCGTAGAGGGCTGCTGCATATTTCCACTCCGTACCATTGAAGAAATCCTCTGTGGCGGCAGTGATGAGATAATCATTCGTTGACCTTGTTTCAAAGACGGTCGAGTTCCAGACCGTGTGCAGTGGAAAGGAGCTGGCAGCGAGGATGAGCCATAGCAGTGCCTTGGATTTGGACACGAAAACAATGTTGCGAATGTTTGGAGTCCCAATGCTCAGCCAGCGACGGTTGGAATGAGCCTGGTTCACTTCCTTTCGCGTCGGTGAAGCCAGACACTGCATGCTAAAGTTGCTCGCGGCGAGAAGAATGGTGCTGAGGATGTTGATGATGACATGGGCGACAGTGGTGACCGTGCTGGCTGTTTTGCAGCTGCCAGTAAAAAAGGTGATGCTGTGGTCAGCGACATCAAACCTCCCGTATATGACAGCCAGCGTGATGATATTCGCCAGCAACACGATCGCCCCCGTCATTGCACCACTGGCAATGGTGAATCGCCATGCTCGAAGCATCCAGCCTCGGTTTTCGGATCCGTCTTCATCGCTGCCTTTCTTCTGCTCCTCTTGGGTCATCAGAGGAATCTCCGCAGTCTCCATGGTGGCTGGCTCTGTCACTTTCCTCCAGACTGCCAGGGGATTAAATGGGATGCTACAGAACCCCTCGACAAGGCTGTGGAAGCAACGTGACAGTGCAGCAACAAAAATTCAGGTCTGGAATATTGGCCAATCAAATCGTTCATTGCTTCAGCCGTGTTGTCAATCCTGCGATCTGTTTAGTCTAACTGGGTAATTTTGTTGTTGATCATAGCAATAGACTAGGCTGTCTTATTTTTTTCTGTTTGAAAATGACAAAATAGTATAGTATACTCCATCCTGTTCATTTCAACCCATACAGCTCTGCAAAAGGATCCCACGATGCATTGGTGTGCCGTTCATACTCGAGCGTGTTCGCGATGCCCTTCGCAACCTCATCGCCGTATGTATGGCTCACCCCGGCAGCGTCACATCCATGCCCGCCGTCACCCCCGACGAAGTTCAGATATTCCCGTCCACCACCCATCTCGCATGAGGAACCCATTTCACAGCATCACTCATCGCACTAATCTCGTTCCATGCCTTTTTATTCGTCGTCGCTCGTTTCCCATCCAGAACGCCCGCCTGGGCCGCAACACCAGCTCCAGTACACACGGTAATGAGGTACTTGACCGTAGGATATGTATCTCGGACAAAGTCTATGGCTTGTTCGACCGCCGGAGTAGATTCTCGCATACCAAGTCCACCTGGAACGATAAGCACATCCAAGGCAGGAGCTGTAGAAAAGGTGTGTGTCGGCACGATGGACTGGCCGGTGGCATTTGCTGCAATCGCTCGCGTGGATCGAGTATTGACTGGGTCTAGAGATGCATTGATAAGAGAAATATCGGTGCTGTTCATCCACGAGAGGCTGTTGAAGATGTCGAGAGGGCCAAGTGCATCAAGAGGCTCGACACGGAGAAGGTCTATTGGGTCAGTATAAGGCGGGAAATAGTAGACAGAGTTAAATACCTGTTAGAATCATTGCTGTATTTAGGTTATCTGATTGAATAATTTCAAGTTGAAGATGGGAACGACGAACGGATATAATAAAGCCAAGGAGGCTTGTCAAACGGCCCGGCGCATAACCAGCCAACAGGCAGAGGACGGATGCATGAGGGAATGATGATCACGGACAGGATGATGATATTTAGTTACCGTAAGTGGTATCTTATATCAGATTATGGCTGTGATGAGGCATTATACTTAAAACTATGCAGATATTGAATCAATCCATTATCAACTGCACTCTGTTCATATCCATGAGGATCGAAACGCCAGTAGTCAAGACCATCCTGCAAGCACTAGTATATAACTATCATGACCAAGCCTCGTAAGCACAGCCATACGCCTTCTACCTAAACTGCAACTACCCGGGATATCCAGCCACCATTTGATGCGACTTGGATTCACTAGCGTATGCATTCGCTGCTAGGACTTCAAAACTGAAGAGACTGGTGGGTGGACCTATTTTAGCCAGCTGGAACAGCTTCTGCATGCAGGAAAGATGCATATACTTGTTACTCGAGTAGTCGTGTAGCGTGATTTTGATGCCTGAGAGTATGAGATACTCAAATTCGACATCCATCCCCGGCCATTAAAACAGATCAAACTTTTCTTGGAAATAGGGAAAGTGAATTCATTACTCTGGAGCTCTGGTGCTCCGCGGGCATGTACAAGATATATATGTTGAGTAGAATTCTAAGGTCAATAGGGTGCGTGCGTAGCCTTTTTGGCCTCATTATTGATTAATATATTTTTGACTATATATATATTTTTTTGGTATGGCTACGTACGGAACCAATCGATATGATAGTTCATTGAAGAGGTGAAAACTCTGCACGGCTGACATAGCCGTTGATTGGCGGACTGCAAAGCTAGGCATCCCAAGTGGTGATTGATAAGGAAGTGTGCTTACAACTGATGCATGAGTCAATAGATGAATAATCCAGCTTATCCAAATTACAAACAGACTTCATTGTCGCGGTTTATTTCCGCGTTAGCACATTATATCTTCCTGGTCGAGTCCAGGTCTTCCACACACGCCCATCATGCATCAAAACGTGGACCACCATAAATCAGCCCATTCACTTGGGCTGGCTCCTGTGCCAGCAGACACACCCCCAGTTGTGTCCGAGGCCCCCAGCGAGACGCATTGCGCAAATGACCCTCAATATGTCCATGGAACCAGTTCCTCGGAAGGAGAACCAACGGGGTTGTCCAAGAGGGGCACGGCCATCGTCATTACATGCATCACATACAGCACTGGGATTTCCACATTCCTCGCTGGCGTGGTGACGATGGCCATCCCAACCATCACCGTCGATTTGGATTTGCCTCCTAGTCTAGAACTATGGTATTTACTGATTTAATACTGCGATTGGATGAAACAAGATAATAACAAATGATCTGCACAGGCCCGTCACCGTCTTCTCGCTGACGTGTGGATGCACGCTTTTGATATGCGGCTCGATCTCGGATGTCGTGGGAAGCCGTCTGACCTTCCTTGTTGGCTGCTTCCTTCAATGCGTATTTACACTCGCATGTGGTCTATCCCAGACTGGGGCCCAGATGATCGTATTCCGTGCGTTTTCTGGAGTCGCTTCCTCGTTTTGTCTACCGTCAGCCGTCAGCTTAATCAACCAAGTCTTTCCCCCAGGCAAGCCGCGTAATATCGCTTTTGCTTCCATGGGCGGCGCACAGCCGATCGGGTTCGGTATAGGATTGGTGCTAGGTGGGATTATCACCGGGACGATTGGCTGGGACTGGGGATTCTACATTGCGGCTATATCGAACTTTGTGATGCTCATTGTAACAGCCTGGCAGCTGCCGAAACAAGCCCACCAGTCTTCGCAAGAGGTGTGGCAGCGTCTCAAGCACGATATCGACTGGATTGGGGTGATTCTCGCGAGTGCTTCCCTTGCATTGCTATCTTACATTCTTGCGTATGTTTCTATCCTTCTCGGTTTATTGACATGCATTTGCATTATACCGTCGCTAACAATAAGAACAGTGTCATCACCGGCGGTCCAGGGGACATTAAACTGCCACAGAATATCGTCCTTCTAGTCCTCTCATTCGTCTTGATGGTAACTTTCGTGTTCTGGGTTGGCCGTCAGGAACGACTGAATCGACCGGCCTTGATCCCAAACTCACTGTGGAGGCATAAAGTTTTCTCGTGCATATGCATCAATGTGTTCTGCATCTGGGCTGGCTTCAACGCCTTCGAACAGTACCAGAATTTCTTCTTTCAGGAAGTGCAGGGCATCAGCCCCCTGGGCGCTGCTGTTCGTTTTCTCCCAGCGCCCATTGCAGGCGCGCTGACCAACGTCGTGGTGGGCCTGATTGTGCACCGCGTGAGAGCTGATTGGATTGTCATCATGACCACGATCCCATGTACGATTGCATCGATACTCATGGCAGTGGCTAAGCCGGAGTGGTCCTACTGGGCGTGTGCATTCATCGCCAACTTCCTGAACCCGATTGGGGCTGATGGCGTCTTCACCGTGTCCAATCTGCTGATTACCTCCATGTTCCCGACCAAGACACAAGGCGTGGCCGGTGGTGTATTCAACACGATATCGCAGACAGGGAAGAGTGTCGGTGTGGCGCTGACTGTTCTGGTGGCAAATGAAGTAACGCGCAACTCGAAATATGCAGACAAGAAGGACCCCCAAGCCTTACTGGTTGGATATCACGCTGCGTTCTGGTTCTGTGTTGCTTTGACGGGTTTTAGTCTGGGGATAAGTATCTGGGGCCTGAGGAAGATTGGCAAGGTCGGTCAAAAGTTGGATTAGATGATAACTCAATTATTGCTAGACTAGCTAGAACTTGCATGTAGAATAGAGCCTTTCTATCTTGATTATCTGTAACTGTATCGTAACTTTCAACTTGGTTTTTGAGAATAACCTGGATTGGCTCGGTCCTTGTAGTGTAATAGTACAAGGATTACACATTCCTATAGGAAGCCAGCCAATTACACCAGAAGGCTAGGATGCTCTCAGATACGGGTTAAGCATTACGGATGGATGCATTGGCTGGGAAGAGACTGAAGCTAGTTGGATATCCTGGGCTGATGCTGTCAAAGCGCGCAGAATGAGGTTTGCTGCGAATGGCATTAAGGACATTGTTAAGTCTTCTCATATTCATCAATCTATCTATATTGTTACATGTTGGTCCATGACTCTGCCCTTGATAAAGGCTTATAAATCCGTTGTTGTTTGGCAACATTCTCCACCGATGACTCCCCCAATGGCCTCTTTCGACTGTCAAGCCTCGTATCAACTGTGGTAGCCTGGTCCCCCATCTCCGGTTCTGATCGAACACGAGAAAGAAGGAGTTTAGCAAAGGCAGCCGCAGTGGCGGCAGCGTAGTTTTGCCATTTCTTGTTCTTATGCGAGTCACAGTAGTCACAGATGCCGCGGATAATCAACGATGGAAAGATATTCATCAGCCCAGCAGCTTCCATTTCGAAACATAAGACCTCGTAGTCTCTGCCCCATTTGTCGCGTGTAATTGCGTCCTTCATCACTTGATTACCCGATGCTATTGTGCCGTAGTGGATGACGGGCTGGTCAGACGATCTCTGGTGTCTATATACCATCCTTGAGACATCGCAGTCACTGCACGTTCCCTTCGCTGCAGGGTGAGAGTAGTCTGCTGCGTATAGTATGTCTGTATGAGGTCCGGGATGGCCGTATGTCTCGTCATATTCTCCAATCTCTTGAAGGTATTCCTTCAATGCAGTCTTGGAAAGCCTCGGGTCCGACTGCATCTCACTCAATGTCGATCTCAAATGTCGTGGAGGAGGATGGAGATATCCATTCATCTCTACCATCCCCCCTTCCAGTGTCTTCTGCATATCATATGGCAAAACACCAACACCACTTCCAATCGGTTTACTCACAACGACATCTCCCAATCGAATGTCATTCTTTGCAGATGGAACTCCGCCGCCAATTCCCACCATCAGGCAGAACTTGATATCGGGAAAACTGCGCTTCATGTTTGAAGCAACGTAGGCAGCAGGGCTGGTACCATATTCACCATCTGGGAGACAGGTAGCAACAATATTGTGTCCGCTCATGGCTCCAAAGACGTATGAATTCGGATCCACCTTTGGCACACAATCATCCATGTGCTCGCTGTCAAGCAGCATTCGGACTGCCTTGAGCTCTCTATGGAGTGCACAAAGAATACCAACATCATATATCTTTCCAGATGTACTTGGTTTGTACTGGTATGAATCATTCCGTGAGAATGAGATAGATCGGAGAGGTTTTCCTGGTGACTTGAAATATCTCTCACTGGCAGATGGGTTGAAACTTGATTCTGTCGAGCTTTCTCCGTCTTTCGATGTCGGTGATCCCAAACTTTTCCCAATACCACTGTCGTGAGATACGGAGATGCTACTTGCTTTGGACACCGGTGCAGAGCGAACTTCAATGGGGTCCATTGACGGGTCTCCTAGTTCATCCCAGTACCATGTATGGACTGAGCTATACCCGAATACAAACGCGCCGTTAGTATCCTCATTGTATGTGAAGCTTTTGTCGGCCAGCTGGTCCTGCATACTCGATGGCAAAAGCACTTGAACGATGTCGGAGTGTGCTTTCCCCTTACTGCACCTGCAGTGCTCGGATGACTGTTCTGGAATGTGCCAGATGATGTTGTCAGTCAATTTCACTGGCGTAGAGTAGGGGTCGCCATGACCAGCTTGGATGATTTCTTGGATATCCGCATGAGAAACAGCGAGATACGACTGCCCAGTTGGTAATCTGGACCACTGAGAGCAGTTATTGACTGGCCGGATAATATCGCCAAAACCCCGACCAAATAAAGTAACGGCGCGTATAGACCTGACAAAATCCACCCAGGACCTTCCGGTAGAATCCAAATTGGCCATGCGAGGCCAGACCGGGTCACGCTCGGTTGCGAGATCGTGAAAGTCCCAGCCCTCGAGCTGCGATCTGGAAACGTCGCGAATGGAGATGTGGTCCATGGCATCAAGTTGATGGTCGATCATCTTTTCCATCAAATCATAGAACTTTGTTACTTGGTCCTGGAATCGTATAAAGCCATCTCCTTCTGGGTACATCTCCAGCTTAAGATTGCTGTCATTCAGTAGAATCTTCGTTGAGGATCTTGGTTGGTATAGATTCGCCCCTTTCAGTTTTGCTGGAACGAATTGAGACACACAGGCAAATTCGTTCATCCTATCTAGTTCAAGTGATGTACGGACGAGGTGCAATAGTGCACTCGTTCCATTGACTAACCAGCCACGTTTATCTCCCTCATCCCAGAGTAGGACAAACTTTTTTGAGATCCACTTGAGCTTACTCACGTAGCCATTGCGTGAGAGATGGACTGGAATGTCTTTGCGACCGATGCTGAAGGTGATATCGTCCGTGATGATCCGCCCCATTGAGAGGGAGGTGTTTGAAAAGGGAGAGTCTCCGGAAGCTTTGGGTAGTCTTGAGTTCTTGATGTCATACGATGCACCGTGTGCGCCTGTTAAGTTAGCAAAATATTTCCAGACTGGGAGGCTGGTCGTACCTGCGTAAAACCTCATTTCTGAACACCATCCAAGGATATGTCGGACGTTCTGCAGCCCTGAGAGGGGCATATTAACTTTGGCAAACTTCATTCCGTCTAGATATGATATTCGATTACCGTTGTCGTTGAAGAGTAGATGCCACATGACTGTGTTCTCGCTGTATTCCGTCGGGACTAGTAGTGTCGAAAACCCCTTGATAAACGGACGCCCATGAAATGGATTGACACAAGACGTTTCAGCAAGCTCAGCCATCATCTGTAGCGATATGTCGATTCCAGGTCTGTTATGTGCTCTTCGTGGAATTGGATAGCCTTCAGCAACCACTGGATTCCGGAACAGGTAGTGCCAGCATTGGCCATTGGCAGACACTGTGGTACTGTCCCGGCTTGTTTCAAAGCGGATTATGCACCAGTGCTCTGGTCTATGTGGAAGATGAATCCCATCGTCCACGAATGGCCTGGTAAAGGCTACTCCACGTTCATATGGAGAAGACCTTAGAGCAGACCCAAGCCATGCCAGAACCTCTCCGACTTCAGCAATCAAGCTGGCAATTCCAATTACAACGACCACAAGGGGGCATCTGGGCCCGTGCTCGGCTCCATCCATCCAAGCGCTGACCCGAGTTTTGTCGGTTAAGGTCACTGTTCCTGTTAGCATGAAATACTACTGCGGATATTCGGTCGAATACCTGACGATATGCCTCTCTGATTGTTCTTCAACGCATTCTGAATCAACTCCAGAATACCATCCCCAATCGATGGCCAGGTCTGCGTCAGATAATCGGCGCATGTAGTTGCCTGTGCGATTGAACTCGATCCCGTCAATGCGATGACCTTCCCAATCGCAATATCTGGAGGGTCAGAGTATTCCTGTTCTCGGAGAAAAAGCAACGGACTCCAGTCCACTTTGATCGTCATTTGAAATGTCTCAGTTTGTTGTCTTCTGCTGACCTTTGGGCAAATAGGCAACATCCTAAGAATAGCATTGTGTATATTCTCCATTGCGTTCGGCTCGGCAGGAACCAGGAGACACTCTCGACGTAGATCCGATACCATTTTGGTATAGGCTGGGGAAGATTGGATCAGATCCTTGTATGCCTGAATTCCAGGAAGATTCGGTTCGATTTCAGGTGCATCGTCAGTAGTCATGTTGTCTATCTCCTCATCAAAACCATTGTCTGCTTCTGAAAGGGCTGGCGGCGATCCTTGATCCAACATATCAATGCCATCAATGTTCCTTTCCCACAATTCCATCTTATCTGCCAGCGACATTTCATCAGGGCTATTTCTTCCTTGGCTTCTAGGATTCTCATCCGAAATTAGGTGTCTGCAACTTGTAGCGATATCCCTAAAGCTCGTGAGTATGATGCAGTGTGCCGAGTTGAATCTACACTTACATTCTATACTTGTGGATAAAAACCATCACATCCCGATGTATCTGGTTTGACGATTGATTGCCGACACTCAAAGCAAAGACTTTGAGCAGCTCGGGGAGAAGCTCATATATTCGCTCTAGCATATCGTTGCTGGGCTGGCAAAGGCTGATGGCCTCGCAAAGATTCTCTGCCAATACAGAAACATAGCCTTTTTTTGTAGTGTCGGCCACGGTACTCGCCGAGTATACAGTTCGGCTGTCGTCCAGGCACACGGTGCTTTTTCTTCTTGCATTCCCAGGCAAGGAATCATGAATCGACATTTCTGCAGCCGACTCCTCGATCCCATCAAGACGATTGTAGGTTATTGGTATTTCAGCTGTCGACCTCCCACATCCATACGAGCCATAGCCGGAATCAGTTAATGCCTCGACTCGAGACGAAGGTGAGTCGTTTGTAAGTATCTGTGGACCCCCAATATCCCCAGAGGCCTTTTTGGTCCCTTTCATGGTATCAGATTGGGCATCGTATTGTGCTTCCAGGCAGCTGTCGTCTCTTTCAACGACTTCGAATGGACCATTTCCCTCATAGCTATCTTGAGAAAGGGCTTGACTGCCAGGGACATTCTCCCCGACACCACGGATCATATTTGTCCTATCATCGCCTTCTAAAACTTGACAGTGATTACACATACATCTAAGATATTCGTCCCACGACTTGACCGGTTCTGCGCAAAGTGTACACTCTCGCGGCGCTGGTAATAGCCTTTTGAGGCCATTCAGGATGGCGGGTGTCAGGGTATCAAAATATTTGTGCCTGGACCGAAGGTGCTCATGGATTCTATCCCTTCTGTTTGTAACCCAGGGGCATTCTGGGATAAGGCAGTGATACCTCAATCGAGGCGCATGTCTGTGATACACATGCCATGTAAAGGAGGCACGGCTTGAATACGTTCTTTTGTTGCCAGGAAAACAAGCAACACAGCGATATTTGACTGTAGGAGGAGCATTTTTGGATTCTTTGGGTAGCAGCGCTGCAGAACGTGTCTCTGCCCTGGCAGTGCTTCTCAAGGCCTCGAACGGATGCTCTGATGGATCAATACTGTCCACCGACCCAACAATCTCATGGGCTGGATGTATGTCGTACTTTTCATTTTTCTGCCTTGTGTGGGTCTCCTCCCAACTATCTTTCACTTTGACGGGGACGTCGACACGGGCGCCAGGGGACGAAAACGCCGAAACAAATGACCCATCATTGTCACTCTCTCCGCTGTGTCTGAAATGGGGTTTTGTAAACTCTAGATCTGGCAAGTCATCCCTGGAGGCATGGGAATCCCGGCTATGGGTCTTGATGTGGTCTTCAAAATCATACGAGTTTGTAAACGGAGACCTGCAATGCAGGCACTGGTACCTGAACGAGTGGTTGCTGACGTGGCTATCCAACTCCTGCTGCTCCCCAAACTCAAGGTCGCAGTGCTCGCATCGATATCTGGGGAGCTGGTTGATCTTTCCGATCTCTCGGTTGAGAAAGGAAAGGTCTTTGGCCAGATGGTGCGCCGATTTGTCTTCCCTCTGGGACTGTAAAATGGCCGGGTTGAGAGGCTGGAGCTCCAAGCGTCCAGTAGGAAACTTGTTTCCGTCTAACTTGATCCAGGCCACATTCGCGGCATCTTCTTTGGCTTGCTCGATAGAATCCAAATTGTACCATCTTTGTACGGGGATCTTTTCATCGTGAACGTGGACGACACAAGTCCAGCACACTTTTCCATCTGTGCGTAAAAATTGTCCGAATCAGCGTGGGTATAAACCTCGTTGGATGGCAATACTCATTGTAGAGATAGATTGCCTCACCAACCAAATCAACGTCGAACTCCAAATATTTTTTTTTCTTACAGTTGTTCTCATATTTGAATTTATATTCCGGGGGCTGTATGTTGTTTTGCCGGCAATATGCTGAAGCCGATCATTTAGCAGCGTTTCTATCTACCTGAGACGGATGGATTCAACCTTCCAAATTTGCCTGCCACGTAAACCTGGCTTGGGATGGTGGATTTAAACGAGACTCATCGCCTTTCTCCCTCGGCGGCTTTGATGGAAATGGTGCATCGACCTTGAGCGGAGGCAATATCGGCCTATCACTAAAGGTTGACATTATCCCTCCAATACGACCGAAAGGCCTTTGTTGGTCGAGTATGGAGAAAGAGAATGAAAGAAATGGGGATGGACAAAGAACAAACGGATTGTCAGACAAGGCTGAGTCAATGGCTGTGTTATCAGCTGATAGCAGAAAAACCAAATCTCACTAATTAGGCATAAATGACTGCTATTTACGGGTTTTTCCAGTCGTCTTGGAACTGATATGGCCAATCCCTGTAGCGCTGTAAGCGCCAGCCTGCAGGTCTAGTCGCACAGAGGACAAGATAGCAAGAAAAGGCAGGGTTGAAACTATTTCGTTATTCGCTCAGTCTGGTCGTCTCCTGTTTTGTCAGTGTGGTTGATTTTCATATCAGATATATATATTTCCGTGTTGAATTATACGATAACCACACCACTCTCCTAAACAACGTCGATCATTTATAAGGTTAATCTGACACTTCTTTACTTGATTATCATGAAAATCCAAAATACCGTCAGGATGATATTATTTCCATGCCAATCACAGCTGTAGAGTCACTCGAGTCGAGTTCAGCTGTCTTCAGCTACAGATCATGGCCCGAGGTGGAGTAGATCCCCACTGTTGGGCCGACTTTGGCTATTTCCGCTCCACAGTTCAGCCGAGAGAGCTGAATCTGATTTTTGGCTGACTTGGTCGATCTTCATCTGGCACTTCCACTTCCAGCCTCAGCTGAACACACTGGATCCCCACATCTGCCGCTATTCGCCAATAGACACTGGTGATGATCGAACCAGTGGACTGGAATCGAGTTTTACAGCGACACATCAGATTGCCTTTGCAGCTGCCCCTCTGGATCATATTGCATCTCCAAAGCATCAAATCGCCTGTACTTTCTCGATAATCTGGGGACAGCCAAACACACAATGCAAGTGCGGCTGAGATGGTCCGGTTCCCGTCCACCTGGCCATTGTATGCCATTCCATGCAGCTCGTGTCCATTGATCGGCCGATAACTATCTGTGCTAAATCGTATAACCTGTTCTTTGAGCGACTAGCTAGTCTCCATCTCTAGCTATATAGGCCGCGTACCCGCGCAGATTTTTTCCCTTGCTCGATCTTCTCTTCCATCATCTATCTCGCAATGTTTGAATCCGCTGTTTCCCTCTTCTCTGGCACCAACGCCACCAACACCGCATTGAAAGCGCTGCAGGACCTTCAACAACACAAACCCCAGACTCGCTTCATCCGCTTCCAATGGCAGGACTCATCTGGCGTTCTCAGAGGCCGTATCTGCCCCATTCAGTATGCGCTGCAGCTGGCAACCACTGAGAAAAACATCCGCCTAGCCCCCTCTGCTCTTCACTGCATCGTCGATAATGATTTCGCCCCATGGCGCGATCCCCGTGCTATCCTTTTGCTGGTGGCAGATTGGTCGTCGTTGAAAATCATCAATGAGAACGCGCCCGGTCCTTCGTATGCGACGGTGATGTGTGGTGTTTTGGCCAGTTCGCCTGACGATCCGATTCCAAGCTACAACATGTGTCCGCGAGGGGCACTAGAAACTGTCACCCGAAAGGCGTCTGAAAAACATGGTGTGGATTTCTTGGTTGGATTCGAAGTGGAATTCGAGATCGTCAAGATCGACGAGAGTGGAAATGTCGTCCCCGCCAGTGCTGGATTTGGCCGGTATGCTATTGATGGACTGAATGATCCTGTCTTCAAGCACATCGAAGAAGCTGCACAGGAGCTGTTAGACGCTGGCGTGGTGATCCAGGAGATTCACACCGAGGAAACCGTTGGACAGTACGAAATCACCCTCGGACCCCTCCCACCACTGCAGGCAGTCGACCAGCTCGTCTTCGTCCACGATACCCTCAAGCGGGTCTTTGCCCGACAAGGACTAATCGCCAACATGTCGCCGGTGACATTCGCCAAAGAAGGACAAGGAACAGGCCAACACACACACGTCTCCATCAACCCACCCATCAAGGAAGAGCAATTTCTTGCCGGTATTCTCAAGCGACTCCCTGGATTGTGCGCATTTACTCTCCCCTACCAAGTCTCTTATCCTCGCTTGAAACCATGCTGTGGAGGCGACGCCGTGGCATGGGGCACTCACCAACGCAGAGCCCCCATCCGACGAATGAACCCCGGGCACTGGGAGATCAGATGCGTTGATGCATCGGCAAACATGTACATCGCGCTGGCTGCCATCTGCGGCGCAGGTCTGCTGGGCTATGAGAATGATGAGCCGCTGATCTGGCCGGATACGGCTCTCGATGAGCACGCTGCTGCCTTGGACACCGCAGAAAAGCTTCCACGAACAATCGACGAGTCACTTGATGCATTAGAGGGGAGAGTCGAGGATCTCCAGGGCATGATGGAAAGTAAGATTGTCAGACATTATCTCGAGCTTAAGCGGTATGAGGCAGAGCGAGTACGCGCTATGGATCCGAAAGATGCCAATGCGGCTTTTGTGAGGCTTTTCTAGTTTCTCTGTTATTATTTTCTTGTGTATAGTTTTACAGCGCATAGCGATTCGTTGATTTACCTTGATAAAAGCAAATGTTGTCATTATTACTTCCTCGGACATCAGCTCTGAGTCCATATTCAAACAATCCATCAACACCAAATTTACTCAATGATGCAATTATTTCTTATAAGTTTAGTATAAACAAGTATCAAGCAATGCGAGCTATTGGTGTTTAGAAACATGGACCCATATCGAATCTGGTATCCCGCCAGGTATCGAAACCACGGAGTCCCCAGGGAAGAGAACTTCTCATCAAGTACGCTCCTTTTATATCCATATCGGTTGATACTGACAATATAGGGTCGAAGCTTGTTCAGTCATCTGATCGACACCAAGATCATAAGTGGAACATACGATGATGCTCCAGGTATTCTTCCCTATTACTTATGCTGAAGATAGACAGACTATTATGAATTCGCCCTTCATTCCATATTACCGGCTGTGGTGAAGCAGGCACAGTGTTAGATGTTGGGCCAGAATGCACCATTTTCAAGCCTGGCGATAAAGTTTTTTATGTCAGACCCACGACTTGATAAGGGAGTCATGCTGAGTTTCAACTTGTACCTGACTTATCAGTATGGGTTTTGTGGAAGCTGCCGCAATGCCATTAACGTATGGCACGTATGAAGCATTGAATCGAGCCGTCTATTTAAAACATGTTCTCCGTAGCAGGGATACAATGAATTGCAATTTACTACGAATCGCCACCCGAATACTCTACAAATCAACAAAAAAAGTTTAAATCCTCGTTCTCATAGCTGATAGCCATCTATCAACTTTTAACGACTACAGATAAGTGTTGAGCATAAGCACAAGGGATACCTGTCCCTTTTGCGGAAAAGAAATCTGCCCAAGGCCAATTTCGCATGCGATATCTTAGTAACCATCATCATAAGGATAATAGTCCTTGTGATACTTCCCAGGCAATTTGTTCTTGGAATCGTCCTGGCTATACCTCCGTCCTATTGAATCCTCGAAAGGTGCCTTCGGGGCTGGGTTAACCTGATTGATGACTCTGGCAGAGAACGATGGAGCTTCACACAGAAGAGTATGAAAAGATCCATGCGGACGCAGTTCTTGGATGCACCACGCGGCATATTTGGCCAACCATTCGACCAAGCCATCGTCGGAAGGAACCCCAGAGGACACAGTCTGTAGCACACCAATAACTGCAGCTTGGACTTTTGCACCTCCAGGCCTTCCCTATGAGAGCTTTGATGTTGGAGAACCATCAACTTCCCAGCGGAACACTGGAGAAATGGACGATTTCTTTAATTCAGAATCTCACTACCCATCAAGCTGACGTCATGACTTAAAAAGAGCAGGCACACCAACGCTCCAACCAGGATCCAGGGATTCGACAGTAGCTTGCCACTTTGGAGGAACAGTTTGAAATTAATCAGACAGGAAACAAGGTTTAACTTCCTTCTCAAGGCTGAATCCAGACCTTCGGAAATACATGCAGGAACACTTGGGAAAACTTTCAGAAACCAGAGAGGATATGGTTTCACAAGCGGTCAAATATTGGTACTTGGCGAACAAAGAACGTCGAGCGTCTGCCTGGATATCCAGAAATGGTGTGACAACGGTTAAAGACAACGCCAAGCGATAGTGACTACAAGGGGATGATATTTGTCAGTACTGCTGCCTATCGAAAAAAAAAAAAAAAGCATGAGGAGCAATATCTAGAGACATACAGGCTTCCATTAGAAAGTAACTGACAGTTGATGGAAATATACAGGTCATAAATTGAAAGATGAGGCAGATAATGAGGCCTCAAGCATAAGAGTTGATTGTAATAAACCAGACAGAAACCGATAATCATGAACCCGTTATCGTCACTTCAATATCAACATATATACATCAGAGCAGTAAGACAGGTAATCGTCAATAGTCATCCTCGAATATGGAATTGGGACTCAGACGTGAAGTGGTGCCTCGCCGTTCTGGGGTCCAGGGAGCTTTGGGGGCAGGATTGACGGCGTTCATGACTTTCAGGCAGAACGAAGGCGAGGCATTGCACAGGTTATCAAAGTATTCATTGCCACGGAGATGGTCAATACACCATGCAGTGTATTTTGCCAGCCAATTCACCAGTGTGTCATCGGAAGGAAGTCTGTTTGCGACGATTTCCAGCATGGTAATAACCACGATTTGCATCTTCAAGTCTTGTGGCTTTCCCAGCGCATGCAGGGATCCAGTGAGCTTTTCGTAGGTCAGCTTTTTCAAGTCTGACACTCCATAGACATCGCTGAAGGCATAGAGCTCGGCATAGGATAAGAGCGGGTCGATTTCATGCTCTTCCACTCCATCAGGATAATCGCCTTTGTAGGCCCATTCAATGAATCGCACCAATGTGCCCTCGGAGGTCTGCTGGCAAACATATAATTGTGGCTGACCCTCCTTGAATTGACCTTCTATTGCTTTATGAAGAAGTCTGCATTTGGCACCCAGCAGTCCCTTGTGGATTTTGAACGAGCGGCTGGACCCGGAAGTGCCCAAAGCCACCATCTCCGAGTCGAGAAAACTGGGTGGGTCAGATAGTTGACATATCATTCGGGATGGTGGTGAACATACTCGATATATCCAAACGATCCCTTTGGCGATGCCATTTTTGCTTCAGATTGTGGAATTCAGCGGTAAGCGAAGTGGGGTTTTATTTTCGTTTTTGAGGCGATTGTGGAATATCAACAACTCATCAGTCATGTGACCTGTCTGGGCTATAGCAGGGTAGCACGTTACGTATCTATAGTCTATGGCTTAGACGATGATTTCATCCAGAGTCAGCGCAGCAAGTCATATTGAAATTATTATTAAATGAGCTGTTAGATAACAACTGTAAGTTACTCAGGACCTGCAGCTTTTAATCACCACGATACCAGATGAACCTGCACGTTCGGTTACCTCGGAGAAAACAGGCTATATTACAAACCAGGTCAGTTTCAAGATAGCCTCTTTGAACTGGTCCGGACCGTGTGTGAATAGTCGATTAAATCGCGACTATCCAAGTGTTACACATCTAATTTGAGTGTCGCTCTCCGCAGTTTTACTACTAGGTCTAGGTATTTCCCACGGAGCCTTCCGACTAGGATTAGCAGAGCCAATGACTTTTGAGCAAAACGAAGGCGATGTGCTGAGAAGCTCGTCAGACAGCCAAAAGCAGACGAATAACTGAGCACTGCGAGGCTGAATTTCGAGGCTTCCCCATTCCTTGGAGAGCCGTGGTGATTTTTTTGTAAGTCAGGCTCTTCAATTCCGAGACCCCATAGATGTCACTAAAAATATACAGGTACGCATCTTGCCTAAGGGCTATTCCTTATCGTCAGAGTCTTGCCCCCGGCGACTGTAACTTTCCGTGAGTGCTCTCCAGCATGCAGGAAATCCGGATAGTCCCCCGCCCATTCGATGAATCGTACAAGTGTACCCTCAAGTGTCTCTTCGCAGATATACAGCTTGCTCTCCTTTTCCTTGAAATTTCTGTCGAATGCCGCAAGGAATACTTTGGATTTTCTATCCAAAAGGCGTTGATGTATCTTGAAATGACGATTAGATCGAGCTGTAACCAGGGCAACGATTTCAGAATTCAGAAAACCGTCCGAGTTAGATATACAAGTATTGTATTGTGACAGCCAGACATACTCAATATACCCGAAGGATTTCTCTTTGGGTTCCATTTTTATACTGGCCAGGATCTGTTGTGCCACAGACGATAGCGTTGAAATGTGTGAGGTTGGAGAGCAAAATGTTGGTCCCTCGATGGGTATAACCGGTTTCCTTTCCTGGCTTTCCCAGTGACTGCAATACTGTTACAGATTGGGTATTAAACTGGAAGATGAATGAGGGACTGATTTGATTCTGCAAATCTTATCAACTCTAACTTGCCAGGTACGTAACCATGACCACGACATTCCCATCTTGTATACTGATCATGACCCTCATATTCTACTTTTCTCGGGCCCTGAAATTCCATGTCCAGCAGAAAACAGAACATTGGAAAAGGCTCTTTCCACGTCATGTTCAGACAGCCACGCTATCTTTGGCTTGTTCTTCACCCTCTCCCTCAACGCCTCATCCGAGCTGTCATCCGAAGACTGGCCAATACTCTTGAGAACAATGTTCAGCAGTTTCTCGGTGTGTGGTTTTCTCGTCTGCTGGTATAGTTCCAGAACATCCTTAATCTTACTCGGCTCAAAATGCCCCAAGCGAAAGACGTGGTTGAATGCCAGGAGTAGTGTATATGCATCATCGAGAGCAAGGGACCCCCCAGCAGCAAATGCGCCACCATGAGGATGCGCTGCGTCTCCTACAAGAGTCACTCTAGATCCAAACACCCATGTTTCTAAGGGATCACCAGCGTAGTTGGGATAGATTCGGGTGTATGGCGTTGCTTCTATCAACGACTTGACGACAGGATTCCAGTCCTTCAATGGTCAGCGTCAGTCGTATAGTTGTGGTGGCATACACACTTTATATCGCTCTTTGACTGGTTCAATATCCCCCTTGCTATCCCAGATCAGTTCTTTTGCTTGTTCTTCCGACACATCTGGCAGCTCAAAGTTTGCGACGGTCGTATATTGACCCTTTCCTATATAATATTAGAAATGTTATGATCACAGGTACTGTAGATCCTACCTAGTCGAGAGGCAAAAAAGTTCTCTTTTAATCCCCACTACATTATGGTTAGTTATACTCTGATGCCGCGATGGATGACTTACCCAGTGAACTGAATCCAAGGGTAGATCAGGTATGTGCTGCACCAACGAGGCATCAAATGTCGATCGCAAAAAGACCTTTCCTGTCCAGTTGAGCTTATGCTCTGGAGCAAAAGATTGTCTGACATTCTGTTTCTGTTAGTTATGACTGATATGGTTCAGAATGATAAAACATACCGACTTGAGCCCATCCGCACCGATCAGAATATCGCCTTCAGCGGATGTGTTATCGGCAAAGTGCAGAGTTACTTTCTCTCTATGAACACTGGCAGTAACAATTTTCTTGTTCAGATGGATTCTTTCCCCTGGGACATGCTGTAAAAGTGCTGCGTGGAGATGTCCCCGGTGGAATCGTGCTGTTTGATGACGACGCAGAGGAACATTTTCAAATTGTTCTTCGAGGATAATCTCATTTGTTTTCCAGTGACTGGATAGATGTATTTAGCAAAAAGATATAAGAATCGACTTGATAATACTGACCGATAAATCATGGGAATTTCACTCGGGCCTCGAAAAGCGACGTCATCATCGAGGGCGTTGAGAACACCCAGTTTTTCTAGAGATCGCAGGCCCTGATAATGTCAATTATTTTTTATCCAGAATATAAATCAAGTAACTTACATTTGGGCTTATCGCAATACTTGCACCAATTTCCTTGAGCTCATCTGCCTGTTCGTAGAGTTCCACGTCGAGATAGGGAAGACGCTGGAGGGCGATGGCAACAGCCAGACCAGCAATGCCGGCGCCGGCAATTATCACTTTGAGTTTATCCGCCGACATTTTGTAGTTTAATTTGACAGGTATGAGCGTCGTTGTCAATTATATAAACTCGCTCGGAGACAGTCCGGGTTGGGAATAAATACGGTGGATGAGGTGCTTTGCGGGCATCTGCATACATGTTAGTGGCTGGAGATATGCAGATGCATCCAATGTGTGCCTCTCATGGCGTGATATGGCGCCAACATAGTCTGGATGATAACCACAACGCTTGTACAAATTGTACATTCTTTATGGACAGCATCTCCTGGAAATGAATATATTGAGGGGTTATTACATACAATGAAAAGGCTCTCTTGGCATCGTTTTTGGGGATATATATCCTCGTAGCGGCAGTCGATCAACATTGTTAAAAAAATAATATAAAATAGTTGCTACAATGACATCCGCCCCCAAAAATGCCCTCTCAGGGAGTGTCGATGAAGTATCTAATACCCCCAAACTGCCAGACAAGTATGCCGACGAGAGCTACAAACTGTTCTCCAAAGTCGAAGTCAGCGATCCAACGCCAGAGGAAGCCAGGATAATCCGCAACAAATGTCTCTGGAGAATTTTGCCTTTTCTCTGCATTGGATACCATGTCATGTATGTCGATAAACAAACAGTATGTATCTCTCCACTCACAGTGACTTATACTAATGAATGCAGCTTGGAAGCTCTGCCATTCTCGGCATCATGGACGATGCCCATCTGAACTCGACTCAGTATAACTGGCTCTCATCCATCTTCTACTTTGGGTATCTACTCGCTGAATGGCCTCAGAACTGGGCGTTGCAGAGATTTCCAGTTGCCAAATGGCTGGCTGGTAATCTCGTTGTATGGTGAGTTGATCATCTACTATAAAATATGTCTAACATCAGTAGGGGCGGAATTACTCTTCTTCATATTCCATGCACAAACTTTGCTGGTCTCTTTGTCGTTCGGTTCTTTCTTGGTGTAGCCGAAGCATCCATTGTTCCGGCATTCCTTCTGACTCTGTCCATGTTCTTTACGTATGAAGAGCAGTCTGTGTTGATGCCGATGATGTGGTCGATTGGGAATGCTAGTCCGATTACATCTGGACTACTATCGTATGGAGTACTCTGGATCAAGACAGGCACATTTTCTCCATGGAAGTGGTTCATGGGTGAGTCCAATCTATCCAGTATACGGCATGACTAACCTGGTAGTCCTGACTGGTGGCATCACTGTCCTTCTTGGTGTTGCTGTTTTTCTCTTCTTCCCAGACTCGCCAGTCAATGCTTCATTCCTCACTCCTCGTGAACGGGCACAAGCTATTCTCCGTATCAAAGACAATCATTCGGGAATTGAGCAGAAACACTTTAAAAAATACCAGTAAGTATTTTGTCATCTATATATGGCTGAGCTAATATTGCAGATTCATCGAAGCGTTGAAAGACCGTAAATCGTGGCTGTTCTTTCTCCATTCATGGTCGCAAGAAATGGCAAATGGCATCACCAATCAGTACTCGCTCATCATCAACTCGTTTGGATTTACCGTTCTTCAGACTACACTTTTAGGATGTGTGTCTGGTATCGTCGCCTTTGCTTCATTGAGTACATCTGCGTTGTTGCTGGCTAAGACAAAGGTATGTATGCACCAAGACTCCAGGACAACGTTGACTTTATAGAACTGTCGAGCCTGGATATCCTTGGTCGCATATATTCCCGGTGCTCTATCCAGCATTTTACTTCTAAGTGAGTTATATTCAGGGAGGATATCAGACAGTTATTAATTATTGCAGGCCTCCCCTGGTCAAATAAATGGGGCTTGATCACTGGCATCTGGATCCGTTCAACAACAGGCATTCCATATGCAGTCGTGATGATCTGGGCTGCCAATGCATCTGCCGGCCATACCAAGAAGACGACTGTCATTGCCATGTACCACATTGGATATGGATTGGGCAATATATTATCGCCTCAGTTATTCCAGCCACGATGGAAGGTGAGTACCATCACTACAACAGATGGCCCATACTAACACGACTAGCCACGATACTATCCTACCTGGTCTATCATTCTAGTCGTAAGTAATATCCTCAAGTTAAATCTAGTGCTAACAATATAGGTCGCCTGCATCATTCCGTCCCTCACTATTCTCTATCTCCGCTGGTTTCTATCCAGCGAAAATAAACGACGCGACCGACTCCAAGCGCAGAATCAGGTATCAGAAAGTGGCATCGTCGAGCACACCAGTGCAGACGGATCGAGAACTGCAGAAGTTGTTGATAATAATCAGTTGGATTTGACGGATAAGGAGAATTTGGCATTGTAAGTTCAATCATTCTTTTGTTGTATATTTCTGCTAACAATATAGTCGCTATGTGCTCTAAACCTCAGCCGTCGGAGTGTTAGGCCAATCCACACATCCGATTGGCTGTGCCGATCTGGGTAAAAGGTCTAAATATTTCATTACTTGACAATTTATTTAGGTAAATTTTATAATTTTAATTGCTAGGCTTTACTCAGAAGTAGAAGACGTATTCTTCTCTCGTTTTCTCTTCCCAACATGTCCTTGGCGTAGAATCGGTGTGCCTCATTATGCAGTGTAGGCAGTGAGGAGGTGTTGCTGTATGTCCTCGTGATATAGCATGTGAACCTTACTGTTTTTAGCTGGACCAACATTGCTTTCGCCCTGGACACGCACCAAATATTACCCTGAATTTATTCCATTAACATGTCAAATTCAAACTACGATAACATATTCACTTATGGCGACTTTGATCTTCAGGTCCTGTGCCGTCAAGCGAGCAAACCACGCCAGGGTTTTTCGTGTGCTTGCGGTCCCAAACAACATCCTGCCTCGAGGAGTTTCAACTGGGCTATCTTTATCTCATTTGAGGACAGTGTACAATGGGTCTTCAGATCCCCACGCCCGAGATCGTTTGTGCCAATAGAAACGGGGGAAAGCTACTGGTAAGCGAAGCTGCCACAGCATTCTAGCTTAAATAAACTTCTATTCTATAATCTATTAGCGTTTAAGTACTGGATCACCCCTCAGAGCGACCACACACATAACTTAGAGCGCTGATTCGGGCCAGAGCCCAGCGCAACGCCCCCTCATTGCTTCATCAAGTCCGTTTCCCAATATTTCACTGCATGCCAGTTTGACAAGCGATGCTCGAAGGAACCCTGCAATCAATGCAATATACACCATACAAAAGCAGCGCTGGGGGCTTGCCACTTGTGTTTGAGATGACTAACAGTGGAAACATGGAAGTCCTGTAGATGCTTCTGGTCCATGACATAAAATGGTCTCACTAAAGTTGGAAGAAACCTAGCTATATTGTTAGTGATAATTCCACAAGTTATGTCCAATTGCATGTAGTCATGAAAAGGATAGTTGGATTAGATTTTGCCGGCAGCAGGATCCCGAGTGTGATCATTGCCCTTAGTATCACGAACAAAATATATTTGACATTGCCTAAATCTGGGTTAATACGCTTTTCAAAACAAAGAAGAGGTATCTGGCTAATCAACACATATTACAGATGATGTCCGGAGACATCTGGACAATAACAACCCTCATTACGAGGCGAGTAGAACTCAGTTCTTCAACTGTCTTATCCAAATTACCCACGTAAAATCTCTATCCTTGTAACAAAAATCCACTCTCGATGATATATGCGCTCTTTCAAGGTAGTCAGAACTGCCGAAAATAGTGACTAAGGTGGAAAATCAGGGCCCAGACTACATGACAGGCGGCCATTGCCGTCCGACTCATTATGAAACAGCTAGCGATTCATTCCAATCTGTCCAAACATATCAACATGAGACATTTGCCCACTTCATAATACCATGTCAACTGGGAAGTTCCGCTTGGCGCATAGCCTTTTGGAGCTATAACGATCGACTAAAAAGCTGGCCACTGGATATATCATCAGGGAATTAACCCTTTCCGCATATATGGGATTCATCTCGCTCGCACAGTATCAATACTCGTCTTCCTCAACTTAAACACAGTTAACTGGTCTCTCGTTAAATTTATTCCCCAACCACAGTTTCAATCGATATGAAGAGTTTCGCCGTTTTTGCTACAGTTGCAGCTGTGCTGTCCCGCCCTGCAACCACGCACTACATCTTCAGCAAGCTCGTCGTGGATGGCCAAGAATCCGAGGACTGGCAGTACATTCGCGAGACTACTCGAAACAAATGCTACATGCCCACCAAGTGGAGCAACACATTTGACAATCTGACACCCAGTGGTAGTGACTTCCACTGTAACTTAGGCTCGTTCAGCAATGCGGCCAAGACTGAAGTCGCGGAGGTCGCTGCTGGTGATACGATTGCCATGAAGCTTTTTTATGATGGCAGTATTGCGCATCCTGGGCCTGGCCAAGTTTGTATGATTGCCTTCACCCCTCCACACACAGCTTTTATCTTTGCTAACTAGGCTTTCCTTACCTCAGATATGTCCAAAGCCCCATCCGGCAACGTCAAGGAGTACCAAGGCGATGGCGAATGGTTCAAGATCTGGGAAAAGACCCTCTGCAGCAAAAGTGGCGATCTAACCACCGACGCCTGGTGCACGTGGGGCATGTCGCAGTTCGAGTTCCAGATCCCAGACGCTACCCCGGCTGGTGAATACCTCGTTCGTGCAGAGCACGTTGGTCTTCACGGTGCGCAAAGCAACGAGGCCGAGTTCTTCTACAGGTAAATCCCAATAAAACGCCCCGAGACAGACAGATCTAACTCAGATATAGCTGCGCCCAAGTCAAAGTCACCGGGCCCGGCAACGGCTCTCCGAGTAAGACCTACCACATCCCGGGTATCTACAATGATAATATGAAACTCTTCAATGGCCTGAACCTTTGGGTGGACTCTGCCGATGAAGTTGAGGCGGATATTAACAAGACCCCGATCGGCGACAGCGTCTGGGGTAGTACTAGCTCTTAGACGTCGAACATAGTGTCTACATTGCTGGGCTTTATAGGCTACGCTAGCTATGCAGCGGGTACACGGCTTCGTCAAAATATGTCAAGTTTACCCGCACATGACAGAGGCCCGCGAAGCTCGAGGGCGATGATGAGCCAGGGCTCGAACAGCACCTCTGTCAGTATAGTATACGAGAATTACGGGTGTGGCAAACATTTCCGCTGAGGATTTGATCTTTCCTGCGGGGTCGACACCTCTTAGTCGAACCACGCCGCCGTTTGATAGTATTGTTCTATATATGAGGTGATGAGCTGTTTGATTTGGATACTTTATCATAATATCATCTTTTTTTGGTAGCACGTATTGATGAATGGATTGGTTAATTGATAGAGGTGGTGACTAATGACGTTATTATTGAGCAGTCTCGTTACGTATTCCGAAATGAGTGCGCTAGCCACTGGAAGCACGTCTCCTCCTGACTCCGGAATGAAAACCACGAAGGCGAAAACAAAGGAGGCTGCAGAGATGGACCGCCACAATTTCCTCCGAGACCTTCCGCCGAGAACTCCTCAAGTTGTTGCAACGAATGTGAGAACCATCAAATCCGCTGTTACCAAGCATCTGAAAGATGATGCCAAGTTACAATATCTTGTTGTGCACTACGTGCCAACCCAGGTGGTACAGACTCTTGTTGAAAACCCTCGGTCACGCGGCAGCACAGCCTCGAGAATCTTCTACGATGAGAATCTTAGAGTCCTCGTCATCAAGTTTTTAATCAAAATATACGAAGTGGCAAGTAGGGAGCTGAGGTACCGTATCAACGGTTGGGGTAGCTCTGCGAGGCCTCAGGAATAATTTGAAGGATGCAGGTGCAGGAGACAGGCTCTTATCACCAATACGGTTCTGCCCATCGCTGAGTTGACCGACAGAGCCAGAAGCGCCCCCAGAAGCAGTAAGATGGAAGCAGCAGCTAGCGGTACGGCTGATCAGAGCTTGAGTACCAGCAGCAAAAGCTACCAAGGTAACCAAGGTTTTCATGTTTACAATTTCAAGCGGGGAAGACGTAAAAGTAATTCAAAGATGTTAGTTCTTGAGAGAACTGTGAATAGGAAGTGACCAGTGTTTGGGTGTAATGACAAGAAGCAGGAACCTTCGGAGCATACATAGCATACTTATAGTTGAGGGGAGCTCAACAGTGCTTGTTTCAGAGGACAGGAGATTGTCGTATTCTAGACCAGACAAAAAGATTGTAGTAGACGTCATCGTTAATTGTTATCTTGGCTATTCTAGTCTTGTAGGATGTAAAAAATTATATACTTTGAACAATATCGTGAAATGCATTGTGCTGGCTTCGCATATACTGGTTTTGGTAGTGGGGTTTGCGTGGCGATGGCCTCTACCACGGTTCGTTCGCGGAGCTCATTGTATTCCGTATGAACTACGTCATTATACAAATAACAACATGCGAATGTTGAAGGTTTTCTTTCCGGGTGACGAACCAGCCCAGAACGTGAAATAACCTGTAGTCGGACGGATTACTGGATACATGGCTATGCAGAAAATGTTCAGCGACCTGCGCCTTCTTTTGGCCACGTATGTGCTCGGAAAGAATCGTGGAGAGAATGAAAAATAGGCCACAGTCTGGCAATCAGAGAAAGGGGACTGAATCCGAACAGTATGAAGCTGGAATTTTGCGCGACGCGATTACAACAGGGATCCAAAAGTCTAGTCATGAAATATGGCCAACAATGGACATTCTATTTTTATGCATTTGGTAGGAACCCTTGTTAAAGTTTAGTGCATTACCACAGCATAGCTAGATCCGATCCTCGGTACTCATTAGGAAGGGTTCCTGGTACTCTACTACAAATATGAAGATCACTGTTCGCATCAGATGGTCCATGTCCTGCCGAGGAGGTCGTCCGATGTCTTACGTATAGCACCCTCATTCAAAATGGGATCCATTGGCGGGAAAAGTTTGTATCGCATACTTTTCTAACCCGTCAACTCTCTTAATATGTTACATCTAGTCACCATTGCCTCAATTTTCAATCTACTCTTGTTCCCAGAGGCCCAAAGTTTCGGTGTCCACTGGAGGAAACCAGATTTGCGTGCAAATAATGTCCTTGTGGAAGTGAAAAGAAAAACAAGGAAAGTAGAGTGAAGACCTTCTCGGGGCTGGTTGATCGACTATGCTTTTATCATACGAGCTAGACATTTTTTCTTCTAGGCTTCTATTTGATCATTCGACTCTACTATTAATGACTATACATACAGCAAGGTTTCCCGAGGTTGATCGCGTGCTGTTTGGTTTGTTAACAGCGGCAAATCATATGGGCGTATGATCTCATAAACAACCCTATCATCCAGAAAATAGGCGTTTACCACCGCTTAGACAAGGTTATGGCCCCATATCAACTAAATTTTAATAAGGGCACTATAACGTATTCCTCCGTGCTAAATGTGCGGTTTTGAAAGATGTGCCAGGGCTCTCCAGGTGACGGTGACGATTAAATGCTGGTCGTAGATATTCATTTCAGTGGTGCTCGACAAGGAGAGCCTACGTATGAGAAAAAAGAATGTTGGGTAAGGTGATGAATATATCTTAGTTCTCGCTTATTCTATCTTCTCTTGACTAAGGTGTATGCTATCGAGTTGTGTTCGTCATTCCGCAAAAGAACTCGTCAGAATAGGGGGTAGTGGGAAGACTGTACAGAGTGTCACTGTATGGAACTGAATAATACGTGTATGAGAAGGTAACGATCTAGTCTGCAAACGGAAAGTCATGAAGGTCTGATTTCTATATTCTATGTATACTGGGTGGTTTATATTGTCAACCTGAAGCCCTAAATCTGAACTAAATACAGGAAACCAAGTGATGAACCATAGAACTTTTGAATGGGATTGCGAGATCCCGAATAAATGAAGAAATCTCTGCTTGTTCGCATAGAATACGGCGTGCTTCTGTGCCCAACGAGATGGCTGAACTTAATTACTTCGGAATGCTTCATGTATGCTCGGATAATCGATATCCAATCGATTTCGCATTCGGAATAGCAGTCATTAATGTCAACACACTGTTAGCGCACAGTACCATTTGCTCTTCATTTTGTTGGTCGCACTCATCGGAGATAAACAGATAAATATTATTCGAGTTGGACATTCTGTTTAAGAGATCGCTGGTAACATTGATGCTGTTCTATAGATAGATTCCCGATGGTCGGAGATTGAAACCAATGTCCACAAATAATCCGTACCGAAAATTCATATCTTATTGGATTGATATATGCGCGTGATAATGTGATGAGACGGGATAACAAAGAGGAGTGACTGTGCCGCATGAACCCCCTGTCCATTGTGTCCGCGGTTCGGCCCGTGGATTGGATGTCGATAAACCATAGCGGACAATCAGCACGAACTAGACCGGGATATCAGAGATTGTAAACAACGGTCTGGTGGCTAGGCGGTAATGTGCTTCCTTCATTTTGGACAGTGCTTTTAAATGACAGGATGTTCTCTCAGGCAGGCGTGGCTAGTTCTGAGAAGTAACTATACGCGAAATGCCTTCCGAGACTCCCTCAGAAACCCCTACGACCAAGGTGAACGGTCACAATCCGACCGAAGAAACCAATGGACATGGAAATAAACACGAACACGAAAGCGAAACTCAGCATGATGACGATGTTCTGAAAGGGCTCGGTAGTGTCGAAGGAGAAGAACTACTGGCTTTCTTCGACAATGTGAGAAGTACATACTCGATGGATACGTCTGCCTTGGATCTGCCTCAAGTATACAGCCCTTCCCTTACGCTCTCCGCTTGGAATGTATTAATTAGAATAGTTGGTGGCAATCGGTAGCACCAGCTGCGGAAAGTCCTCTCTGCTGCAGGCAATAACAAAGCTCCCCTTCCCCGTCGACAGCGGAATCTGCACTCGCTTCGCCACGGAAACTATGATCCACCGGTGCAAGCCTTCCGAGCGACCATACTACACCATTACCATCGAGCCAAAGTCTTCGACTACTCAGTTCCCTCCGAGAGAATATTACGGCGAGACCTGGAATGATGTGTTCCCCCATCTCCAGGAGGATTTGGCCGCTGCGTTTGCGGAGATGAATGATCCTGAAAATTTTCAGGATGAGGGACCAAACACACAACAAGGGTTTTTAAGGGAGGATGTGATGCGTGTGAATGTGCACAAGCCGGATCAGGCGCATTTTAGCGTTGTCGATATTCCTGGCTTGGTGAGTGGGGGGTCCAGAGAAGATCAGAAGATCTCGGAGAAGTTGGCTAGGGATTATATTCGGAATCCGAGGGCCATTATTCTGTAGGTCCTCTCCTCAAAATGTGATATGAGGGAGACTAAGTGTTTAGTGCTGTCATGCCTGCAGTGGATGACATTCACAATCAGACTGTCCTTCGTCTAATCAAAGAAGAAAACGCCACCGACCGAACCATCGGTGTGGTTACGAAATGCGATATGCTTCAGCCTCGCGATGAGCCAAAGGTACTTCCTTGCTTTTTGAACGGCACCACAACCCCTACTAATGGTGTGGAATAGACCCTGGAGCTCTTGCGTAACCAACGCCCAGATAACAAACTCGAACTAGGCTGGTTTGCGGTCCGCAACCGCACAACACAAGAGCTGGAAGACCGGTCCTCCCACCGTGAGCGCGACGAGAAAGAAATGGCTTTCTTCAATCGTCGACCATGGTCATCCGTCAACCGCAACGCCACCGGCATAACCAACCTCATGACCTGTCTCTCGGATACCCTGTATAAAACCGTCAAGAAATACTTCCCAGACATACAGCGTGAGATCAGAGACAAGCTCAGAGCCGCAAGAGCCGAATTGATAGTGCTTGGGACTCCCCGTGACAACGAACGCTCCCAAAGAAGCTATCTCGATGACATCCAACGGCGCTACGAAGCCTTGGCCCGACAATGGCTTAGCGGAACATATCGCGAGAACTGCCCCGCAAACGATCCGTCCAAACTCCGCGCTCACCTCAACATCCTCGAAGAAACATTCGAAAAAAAGCTCCTCGCAAAAGGAGTGGAGTATGAATTCATCGACAACGATGAAGCCTTCCGGGTTCTCGAAAAATTAATGGAATCCCCCGCGACATGGGAAGAGGACCTGACTAAAATGGGTGGTATCCTCGGCTGGATTCTAGAAACATGGAACAGCAATCGGGGTGATGGGTTGTGGTATAAACCCCCTCCAGACTTGGAGGAGCGACTTTGGAGGAATCAGGTTCGGTCGTGGGATCTCTATTCTCGGGAGTATTTCGATGAATCGGTCCAGCGCATTAAGGAGTGTACCTATGTCCTCTTCCACTGTGCCTGTCCCGAGGCATCAGTCAGAAGGAAGATTCAACAGGCGTTGGATGACCTTGTGGAAGCAGCAATCACTCGGTCCGAGGAAGAGCTTAGGACAATTCTGAACGAATTGGGCCGTCTCAAGACTTGCAGTCGACGGTTTATGGAAACATTGCATACTGCTCAGTGGCAGATGAGCGAGATGCTGGGCACTATCGTCGACAACAAGTTGCGACTTATATTTACTACGCAGATGAATCTGCAAGGATTCTGGACTGTGGCACTGGCGCGCTTTGTTGATAATGTTATCCTTCAGGTTGTTGAGAGGCATCTCCTCGGGCCTAATGGACCCATCTTTGCCTTTAGTGTGGACTGGGTGCGTTACTTGCCCGGGGATCAGCTGGATACGTTGGTTGGCGAGGACATGACGGTATGCAACCGGAGGGAGGAATTGCAAAGAGAGATCCACGATCTGAATCAGATCCTGAGAGATTCTGAACGGATTTTGCATCGCTAGCTGTTTTGGTTTATTATCGTCTGTTCGTTCGTTGATTTTTCTGTGCGATTTCGAGATGATTTTTAAATATCTGGTACAATTAACAGCAACATATAAACTAGGCCATCCTTGATCTTCCTCTAATGAATATATGTTTTGGAATAAGAAATAGTTCAATATCATTGTTGTTTCCTTATCTAGACACAAAGTCAAATCGCTAGCAGGTCCCGGGCACTGTAACCGATACCAATTCCCTCCTGAGAGCTGGCCTATTGAAGCTGTCCATTGCGATACCTCGGGGCTCATAGCGACATTCCAGTTCCAGAATATACGACTACTGGTAACGTATTCTCGTCGGTCGCACTGTTCTGGTCCTAACATATCATAGTGCTTCCTCCTATAACGACGTCGGGATGCCGTTCATTCCTATGAGCGAAGCGCCTGGCTGGCCACTGTCAAAAGTGTGGAAGCCAGCCGGTTCTCCTCAACCTGACCTAAACACCGCCAGCAAGGCTAAAATACTGTTCCAGCTGGGCGGTATTACCTGGAAGCTTTCGCAGTTGCGTTTCGATAAAATCGGGTCACTCTGTAAAGACACTCCATCTTTCGAAATCAAGGACTGTTTTTCACGTGGTCACATGTTACATGAACGATATTCGTTGGAGATGTCACGGAGACCTTTTGTTTCAGAAACAGAGTTCTATGACAGCCTTCTTTGTGCGTTCTCGGGGCAGCACGTCTTACAACAACGATGTTCGCCTCACTATATTCGACTTTATAATGAAGTTCAACGGGACGACCGACCTGTTTCGAAAGTTGCAAAGGATGAAAAAGACTATTTTCGGGACAACGATTTCAGAAAAACAATAGCCAAGCTGACGCTCGTGTCCTAATGGAAAGCACAATATACCGACAATCAACTTAGACTTCGAAAAGATCTGTTTGTCGCTTCACCCCAGTTATGGAAGTGGATTCAACAGTTTGTGCGGGACTGGGGGGACATGTCTTGAGTCTACACCAGAAATTTATGTGTCAATGCGCGCATCCGAATGGCTGTGCTGATCTGGGTGGGAGTTTAAAATGCCCAAATATTTCATCACTTGATATTCTATTTAGAGATTTTGTGTTCTATTTACTAGAGTTGGGCAGAAAGACTATTCTTCTCTCTTCTTCTCCTTTGATCCCGCAACAATTCCGCCCAACATGTCCTTTGCGTAGAATCGGTGTGCTGCAGCCCAGGACAGGAACCCAACAGTGCAGAAGACAACATCCCAGCTCACACTACTGACAGCCGGATGCTCGAAGACAGTTCCAAGGAGACGCTGGCCAACGTCTTCGGCAGCCTGGGTATCTTGAGCAGGCTCAAAGGCACAGGTGTCTCTGGCACGTCTGAGAGGAACTGGCGAAGGACTAGCGAGTGCATAAAACATAGTCCAGACTTGGAAGAGAGAAGCTGCTCCGAATATCCACGAGAAGATACGGATGTATCGTTTCGTCACGCTCTGGCTGATCAAGGGACCCTTCAACTTTCCGTGTGCTTGGATGGTTGTGGGGATAAACAGGAGGAGATGCGGGATGAGGAGAGTGTAGAGGAAATGCTTGCTGTCCGCGACGTATGGAACAATAGCAGAGCTGACCAGCGAGACGAGCAGCGGGAGGAGTTCAAGATAGACGTTCGGGGTTTGCATCGTTGACTGCAGATCGAAATACGGCCTGGAGAGGACGATCGACAGGAAGAAGAGGTTCTGGGCGAACGAGATGGCGACAATCTGGCCGAGCAGCATATACGCCCAGGTGTTGGGGATTTGGTATCGTCGGCCTGTTCGTCAGCATGGCTTATACAGGATGAGTTGGGTCTATCTTACCCATGACGCCGATGAACAGACTCCACGCAGTCGTCCAGAAGAAGATCTGCCCACTCCACCAGTACCGGTGAGGAGTATTCACGACACTTCCCCATGCCTCCTTGAAGAGTTTCGTCTCTCTCAGCCACATCTCGAGGGTATCCAGCGTAGCCTCTTCCAGCTCGAGATTCTTTCCACACGCCCAGTCATGATACGAGTAGGCAAAGAAGTCAAACATGTAATACCACGTCGCAGACAGACTGGCAATGGCCAGTAAGCCAAAAAAGACAACCTTTCCCCATTCAATCGGCCATTTTGACTTTTTCGCGAATTGTGCTCGGCCGACCAGCAACACGCAGATATATGTGGTAATGGCGAGACAGACAGAAAGATAGGTGATAAGAATTAACAGGGATCGATAGTTGAGGGGATTCCCATCGTGCATGCTCCCTTTTAGCTGCATTTTGGATATTGATCTGGGATGCTGATGATGGACATTTCAACGCGATGCGACGTGTTTTGATTATCAGTTTGTGTTTGCCTTGTTTGGCCTGTTTGCACTATGATGTCATTCATCACGAGTCAAATTCAATTCGCGAGAATCATCAATCTGTGCGTTTAAGGAGACATATATTTATTGGGCTATAAAAATTTCTCTGTAATAATCCAGTCTCTAGCTTATATTTCTACTTGGGCATCATTGAAATATAGTGGTTGTACTGTACCACTGATCCATGGTGCCACACATATATGCCCCTCTGGCACCAGAATCGAAAATTCAAAAATTCAATCGATGATGAATCATAGATCGATAAGATCGCAGGTTCCATCGATCCAGCGCTAATTTCAGTATATATTATCCATGGTCCTTTGGTTCCTGAACCCGCCCGTTCCGACGCAGGAACATGATGTCTGCTGATTGCAGGTAGTATTCAGGATGGGATGGAAAGTACCTTGAAGGCATCTAGAATGGGAAATTATAAATCAAAATCGAGAAGTTCAGATTATTCAAGCGAAATGAAGATGGGATGGATTGACAGTGGGATGATGGAGGATGATTGACATCCGACAGCCGATACCGACTGGCTGTCTGGGTAGAGTATGATCGTCATTCTGTTTCCACTGTGATTGTGATGGATTGCACATTGATATGGACAGTTTAATATTATTAACGTGGAGTTATCCATAACAAGAAAAGTGAAGCATTTCATCATCAATCGTCATGCAGCATCCAGCTCTTCCGATCACCGAAAGCGGTTTAATATATCCGAGTCCAAGCAGGTTTCACCCACGTTCATTTAGTTGATCAAGTTGATGATCAAATCCATAATCCAGATGATTTAGATGATGGGTGCATCTTGCTCCGTGTTTCGGCATCAAAGACCTGGGATGATCTGCGAGACGCACCCTGTGGGATGCCCTCGACTCTACTATATAAATCCTCCATCGACCACCTCTCTCTGATCAAACAACTCAACCATCATGATTCCCAAACACATCCTTCTCGGCCTGCTGGGCTCTCCAGCCTTTGCCCTTCCCCAGGCCAGCCATGCTCCATCTCCTTCTGGTCCTCCCGTGGCCAACCATCCCACGTCGCAGCCTCACACGCCGTACTCGGGCACTCCCACGACCACGGGTGCTATCAGTGCGAGCTCTGTCGGAACTGGCATTCCTGATCTTGGCATCGCACCAGGTGCCACGGACTATCCGAGCAATGGACAGTTGCAGAGTGCTGAGCCTGCCCCGTTTACTCCTGCCGGCGGAGTCGGAACCGACGGGACTGAACCAGTCTACAATGCAAAGAGTGATTTTGATTTTGAATCATTGGTATGTTCCATCATTCTGTATAAAGATATTTCTAACTCGATAGGCTCTCGGTGTGTACCAAGAATACATCGAGCTCGACCTCTTCCACGATGGTCTCGCCCGGTTCTCGACCGAAGACTTTGAGAAAGCCGGTCTGAACGCCGAAGACCGCTATCTCATCCAGTTCATGGCGGAGCAGGAAGTCGGCCATGCTACCATGTTGTCCAACATCCTGGGTGCAGCTGCCCCGAAGCAATGCACCTACAACTACCCATACAAGACCGTCGGGGAGTTCCTCGACTTTTGTCAGAAGCTGACTCGCTTCGGTGAGTCTGGTGTGTATGGATTCCTCGGCCATCTCGACTCTAGAGAGGCTGCTACTCTCCTCACGCAGTCTATCACGACTGAAGCCCGTCAGCAAATGATCTTCCGCCAGTTTGAAGGATTGTTCCCCATGCCCGTCTGGTTTGAAGTTGGCATTCCGCAGTCGTGGGCCTGGACTTTGCTTGCTCCGTATATCAGTTCGTGCCCTGCAGACCAGACTCGTCTAGTGTGGCAGAACTTCCCTGCTCTCTCCATCCTCAACCAGCCAAACCCAAGCCGCGTCGATGGAGAATCAGCTGAGAATGAGACCATTGACTCTGGCATGAACACTCTCCAGAGCGCAACTGGCGACGATGCATGCGTCAACAACCATGAGGTCGGCAGCAGCTGCACCCCAGCCATCACCCACAACCGCACCGTTCCTCTGTCCTATCCCGGTCGAAAGATTGAGCTTCAATGGGAGACTCCCGGCAAAGCAGTGGGCCCCAACAACAGCTATGTCACCTCGACATCCGCCGGAAAGCCGCAGTACGTCGCCTGGGTGACGCAGTTGAATGTGACCTACTCGCCATTGGAAGTCACCAACGCCAGCCACGGCACTACGATCCAGCCTGATCTGGCTACGTATGCTGGTGATCCTGCTATCAACGGAACCATGTTCATTGCTGTCACTGATGACAACCCGTACCTGACTGCGTTCAACTTGAGTAACATCAACCCCCATGTTGTTGCTGGCCCTGCTTTGTACCAGGCTGGCTAAACCATCCATCCGATGTCGTGTATCAACTGCCATGTACAAGTACAGTCATGTATATAGCACATGCTCAATCCATCCTGCTATCTATCTATACAGTATCCTCCCTCCTAGTCCCCCGATAAAACTCCCTCTCCTCGTAAACCCTCACATCATCATCTGCATAAATCCTCCCCTTCTTCTCCTCTTTAATCCTCAACCTCCGAATCCGGCAGACATCCCACTCTACATTCCGCGTCAACCACCACGTCCACAGATTCGCCAAACAAGCAGCGCCTACCATGGCGGCGCAGATGGCGAATGGTGTTTTATACCCGTTATATGCGTATTTTGATTGGAAGAGCTGAGGTCCGATGACACCGCCTACTTGGCCGACGCAGGATTGAAAAGCGAGTGTAAAGGCTGCACCGGTGGTGCCTTTTAGAGAGGAGGAGCGCCCTGTCTTATTAGCTGGGGTACTTGTAAAATGGAGATGCGCACATACAGGCCCAGAATGGGATGAAGTAGACAGAGTAAAACATATTCCCTAGCACACAGGCAATGTAGATGCCAATTCGAGAGTTGAGAGTAGTCAGAAGAATGAAGAAGAGTAGCATCGGCGGCATTATGCAGAACATGACATATGCAGGACGAGTCATATACGCCCGTTTCAAGAACCAGCCAGAAAAGATAATTGATAGAACTGCAGCTGCTGATGGAGGAATATTCAGCAGTTGATTCCGTGGCAGGCCAGCAAATCCTAGACTCGTCGTGATGGTCGGCAGTTCCCAGGTGAGGGCATATCCTGCAATATTGACGAGGACCTGCGATATCATGAATGCGTATGTGCGTGGATCTTTCAGCGATGCAATCACCTCGTCTTTGGAGAAGTTGGCATCATCTGTTCTGGGTGCATTTTCGGATAATCGTGCTTCGACGTATTCTTGCTCTCGTGATGTGAGCCATTTGCTGCTTCGTTCTGACTTGGGCCAGTCGGGGAGAACGAGGAAGACGATGCCGGCGAAGACGACAGTGAAGAGGCCTTCCAATAGATAGACCCTATACTATAAGTATCACTTTCATAGACATATACATATGTAGACTCACCATCGCCATGCACTCATCCCACACTTCCCATTCAGATACGATATCGCATATGCAAGTAGAGACCCAACAATACCAGACGCATTTTGGAATCCAAACATCCACATGATGGGCTTTCCCATTTCGTCACTCCGATACCATCCACATAGCTGTGCGGCGATACCTGGAAACATTCCTGCTTCACACAATCCGAGAATGAACCGGAGTGCCCAGAGTGCTTCTTTATTCTTTACTGCAGCATGGCAGGCGAGAACAGTTCCCCAGGTGAGCATAATGCGAGACTGCATGAGACGGGGTGTCATCCTCTTCAGTAGCATATTGCTCGGTACTTCGAAGACGATGTAGCTGATCTGAGGATATTAATATAATCCATTTGAATTATGAGCTGCTTACAAAATAGATGGATTGAACCCAGTTGTATTGATCGGTCGTCATGTTGAGTTCTTTGAGGATATTCCTATCCGAACCAACCTGCAGAACCTTGACTGATGCAGCATTTGTATAGTCGATCTGATCATTAGCATTGTATTTAGAATAGGGAAAGGATATGCACACCGTTTTGATGATATATATCATTCCAATCAACCATAGAAAACGTCTGTCAATCTTTCGTCTGATTCGCTTGTCATCTTCAGGCGTGAATGAACGAAGTAGAGCCTTTCTCTCTTCATCAGCTGTGACTTCTGTACTGCTCGTCGGAGCGTCTCCCTTGACTATGTCTGCCATTGTTGATATTTGACATGAAAACGTGGGACCGGGATTAATTATATCTGCAGATTGATGGTGAATAACATGTGGCTATCACGCCATTTGCATTATCGCTTGATAGAATACGAGATAACCGTGCGGAGAATAAGAGGTTTGCGATCGTTGTATGTGGGCTCATTTGACATCGGGATGGCGTGACTCTGGGCATATCAACATAATTTTACCGCAGTCAAAAGTCGATATATATTTTTGCATTAATATGTAGATATACTGATGGCTCTTTTGACGATGTTTATTTGAATAAAGGTATCTATTAAGCAAGAGGATCAAATCCTGGCCGCTGCTTGAAGAGGTTGATTATGGGCCGGAAGAGCGTCCGTTCTGCCTGACCTTCACTGGCTTGCGCATTCGAGACAATTTCCTCCCACGACACCCATTCCCACTTTTCGCACTTTTCGGGCTCAATAACCTGCAGATATAAGTATCATATCGTACCGATATATCAAGAACTCACCTTGGGTTGTGTGTTGTCATCAACAGGATCGCACCCAACAAAAATGGTCACAAAGTGCTTATTCCTCGCAAGGGTGACATTATTGGTGGCAGTGAGGTAGTGGGCTCCATGGATAGCAACACCAGTCTCTTCCAGTGTCTCGCGCACAGCACAGTCTTCGAATGACTCGCCATATTCAAGATGGCCTCCGGGAAATCCCCATGTTCCTAGGCTGTCAGCATAGTCTAGCAGAAAGGGGTGAAAGAATGAACTAACCAGCGCCGTGGCTGCCCTTTCTCTTGCCAAGCAGGAACTGTCCTTTCTGGTTGTGGACTAGAGCTGCAACACCCACTTTTGGATCCATCTTCACCAAGTATGTGATTGATAGACCATGGCTGCCTCAAGCTGGGGGATCAAAATTGTTGTCTGTGCGGAGATCCCCGCTTTCTATTTTAGGTTTAGCCTGGCATCCACATATAGGCAACTTGATCGAGAAAAAAGAATCGGAGAGATCGAAGAAATTGCTTGCCAATTGAGAGGATATTGGAGTTACTGTATCAATGATTTCGGGAGGTAGTCTACATATACATCAGGAGAATGGTCTTGGAGCAATAAAGTATCTTATTAGCACGTACTTGACAAAATCACCCAGGTCCAACCCAGTGATGTTCTTTTCTACACTATCAATAGTCGGAATCGTGTGCGCCGAAATGGTACAGCTGTGTTTTGGCGTACCATCAGGCCATATGGGATCTTTAAAATCTCGACAAGACTCCATTAATTTCTGCACTGTCATTTTATCATATGGACGCTTCAGCAGTGGAATAAGGTTTTTATAGTTCATGGATCTGCCGTCTCTTCTGTTTCTTCTTCTACTATCTCGGGTTCCTCCGGAGCTTCATCTCAAAGTGGAGTATCCTTCACAAACTGCGCGTCAAGCATCTGCAAGTTCTCCAATGTAGCCTCATGGTCATTGTAAACAATGAAAATAACATCGCCGTTTCGATCCAACTCATGCGTAGTTGGCTTCATCTTGGTGAGCCCCGTCAGCATTGTATGAGAAGTGGTATTTTATGGAAGTTGAAAATATTTTCAAGACATAGTCGGGATTACGCAAATGTGATTGGTACATCTAAGTGTAATATTTCTGATTCTCTAAAAAATATAGCACCACCCCGGAGATTGGGGTTCCACTATCTTTCGGTCATTGTAGAACCTTCCTGTTGAGTCAATCAAAATAGCTTTTTGACTAAGCTGGAGAGTCAAATGTTACCACTCGTTGCAGATCCGATTGTAAACAGGGGATCGGGCATCAACTATAGCATCGCGTACTTGTGGAGAATTGCCAGGCACCAGTACGCAATAAACAGCAGGAAATCCCACCACGCATCCGCCGCCACAAACAAAAGTACCCAACTCGGCTCTAATGCTCCGAGGAAGTAATAGCTATACCCAAAGCAAATAAATACCCATCCCCCCGCCCATAAGAGCTTGCCACCCACGGATGTCCAGGTTATTGTCCTGGGCTGAAAGCGGTCCACGTCATTGAAAATGTACTTAAAAAACACGATCCAACAAGCAAGGCAAAGGATACAACACAGTGCGGCGAAGTAAGGGAGCAAGGGGGCTGATATTGGTGGAAGCTTTGGAGAGAGTCAGTCGAAGGATATCAGACGAGGGTTGAGAGCCTACCAGCTCTAGATTTGGGTAGGCTTCATGCACCCAAACAATAGTCACGGTCGCACACGCGAGGCTAAGGACATAGAAGAATCGGATCACAGATGGAGGTATAGTAATCAAGTCACTAGACCTGATGATGTCATGTAAGTTTCTGGGTTCTGGTCTCTGTGTGGGTGAGACCAAGGTAGGTAATAGTGGCTCTGTGGACATGGCTGATGAAGCTATCACCTGCTAAGGTACAACAAAGCTTTCATGCTGGGCTGATTATGCAGACAGTTTGCCAGCCACTGCAATATCACGTGCAAGGAGCTGCAGGAATAAGGCTCTCAACCCAGAACCCGTGACTATCAATTAACACCGGCAATACCGTAGTATGGTGATTCCCACTTGACTTCACTACAAGATATGGTTCCATCTTCCCTCTTTTCTTTTCTATCTTCTTATCTTCTATATCATTATTTACTTCCCGTGCTATCTTCTGTCACACGCCTAGTGCAAGAGACCGCCGCCTCCTCCAGTGTCTGTTGAAGTCACAGGAGTCAGGATCCCGGCCAATGGTTCTGCACCTCATCTCCTAGTCCTAAAGACTGGAAGTGGCATGTCTAGAGGAAAGAGTGACCATTGGATGGGTCGCTTACCGACCTACCTCTGAAACAACCATCTATCGCTACCTGGCCAAATGAACCAGAAGATATCTCCATTCCAGCAGCCGTCATAGTTAGAAGGAACGAATACGACATGCCTGGCTTGTAATCGAATAACTGAGAAATGGTGATTGTTTGGACGGTTTTATTAGATAGTTGATGATGATGATATATATGCCATGTTCAATAGTTCATAAAATCAGTCATGCTTGTATGCAACACCGAAATACATCTTAGCCTCATCAAGCAAAACACCAACCGGTCCAGCTTCTTCTCTAAACCTCTCAATAAACAACCTCTTCGCCTCATCTTTGATAGAAGGATCTCCGAAGTTGCGAAACATCGGACTGGAGACTACCTGCTCAAAAGCCTCGTCTGCTGTATCGACATGATATTCCCGAACTTGGAATGTCTTGCTGGTAAAGACTGTCTTTACACGAAGACCTGCCCTTTCCAATAGTTCATATAAGGAATTCTCGCCCTGGACCCAGCTCTGATCCCACTGAAGCGACTGCCCGATCTGATCTCCGATGCCACTCAGAATGCGACTGGGAACGTGGACATCCTTGGCAGCGACATCGGTCACAAGTCGACCGCCGGGTGTGAGGAATGTCGCCCAGTGCCTGATGGCTTTGAGGGGATCAGGAAGTAGCACCAGCGCAGCAGCGCAGGTTATCAAATCGAATCCTTCAGACGGCAGATCCAATTTCGTTAGATCCGAAATATCATGCCGGATAAACGATATCTTTCCATTCTGATCCTTGGAACGAGCCACGTCCAACATTCCATCACTGATATCGACTCCAACAACCAGTCCATTCGGACCGACCTTTTCTGCAGCCAGGAATGTGACTAGACCCGTTCCACAGGCTAGATCGAGAACTTTTTCATTCTGTTTTGGCTGTGCAATGCGGATGTATTCTTCTGCGAGGAGGACGTGGAAGGAGGCATCATACTTGGCACTCCTTTCATTGTAAATTGAGCGAACCAATTCTGTTTGGGACATTTTGGAGTTGAGAAAGAAATAGAAGTCAGAAGAGAGAAGAGGGGTAAGTCAACATGTGACGTCATCTCAGATAGCAGCGATTGTATTGATTGGCTTTTATCCGTCTAGCAGCATTAGTGAAAGCTTGCCTATCAATATGAATATCAGTATGTTCTTCTTATATTTCAGTTGGCCATAGATGGTAAATTGGCATAAACAATGATCACAATCACAAGCGACACCGTGTTTACTTGATCATGATTAAATTGGAACCATGCAGTCTGCAGTCAATATCACGGCTTCCTTTCATCTTCTGTGTCATGAATACTGACTTTCCCTGCCACCTCAACAGTTTTAATTACATTTAGGAGATAATGCGTGGCCAAACAAGGATAAGTTCCGTCCAACCATAAAACACAAGGCTGTGTGGATCACCACCTAAGCTAAGCCTTCAGTCTGTCTCACTTATACTCCACTTTATCTAGACTAAAATATGACGGCAGGGACAGCCAAAATCACAACTCACTCTCTATCATCTTCATTTTGCCTTCCTACTCCTATCCAACATCAATTTAAAGCTATTCTATTTTTTCCTCGCAACAGGCGCACTCGCCTCCTTAACCAGATACACCACCATCCCACCCGGCATCATGCTCCTCGACACAATGTCGCAACTCGAACAGTTTACCACCGACGGTGAAATGACTCTCCTCCACCACAGGAATGGGGGTTATTTTGTCACCAACAAAGACGTCCTCAAGTTAGTCACTACCGATCGGTTGTCGGAGGAGTTGGACAGGACGGAGATGGCCGAAGTGGAATCGGGGGATTTGGCCGAACTTGTCAATGCGCTGCCCAAGGAGAGGTTCTTGGATGAGCTCTAGGTATGGTTCGATCGACTGCCAGTAGAATATGACTGATCACTGACAGGAATGTATGATTCTGGTCGGCTGTGGTGGATACGGGGGATGTCCGATATCCGATGTGGATAACTATTATCATGGAGTTCAGGACTGGTTGAGAAAAGCAAGGGCGAAGAATAACAATTCGTGTGGATCGTGTGCTACGTGTGAGTAGCTATCCATAGTCTAGTTTATAGTATATGATATTACCTAACAGAAGTAGTGGCAATGCCAGTGGTGTGATCCAAGGCCAAGGCACAGCGTTGAATAGTATCCTTTTCTTCCTCGACCACCTTCTCAGCCAGCTTGACCAAGTGGTTCAAGACAGCAGAAACGTCGTCTAGCTCTCCCACACCCTCGTAGTTATCCAAAACCTTCTTGCCGTCTACAATCTTCTCCGGTACGTGCTTGCCAACGTTCAACCGCCAGTACTTCTCCTGCATGTTCCTGGGCGCAAAGGCGTGGATAAGAGTGCGGAAGAGGACGTGCATGATCTCCGCATTGCACGCAGCAGACGCAAACGCCGACTCAACGTTGTGATCACCCAGACGGCCAGGGTCGAGAATGGGTTGGTTGGATGAGATGCCAGTGCCAATGCTCAGGAAGCAGTCGGATTCACGGGCAGGGCCAAATACACCCAAGACTTCAGTCCACAGCCAACCGAGAGGGTTGTTGGCGCCCAAGCTGCCGTCGACAAGTTCGTAATCGCCGACCCGGATCGACTTGAAGTAGACTGGTGCGGCAGAGGTGGCACGGGCAGCCTCCCACAGCTTGATATTGGGAAGTGTGGATGGCAGGTGGGGGTGTTTGTAGGATCGCAGCAGCACAGGACCGCGGTTGTTGGCGGCGTCTTTACGGACGGCCGTCACGAAGCTAAAGAGTCAGTATGCTCGTCGACATGATACAGATGAGGGACATACACTTTGCAAGCCGGTTTCTCTTCATCAAGAAGAACATCATCTCTGCCGAGTTTCTCGCGGATGAGCTCCTTGACGACATTCTCAAGGTCCTTGGCATCATAGAAATGGCGGTCCCACAGGAAACGACCCTTCTTACCACCAGTCCACCGATTTTGGTAGAAGATCTTCTCCATGAACTGCTCGTATTTCTTAATGCACTCCGCGACGCTCATGTGCAGACGGCCGAGCATGATGGCAATCAACCCTCCAGTGCTGGTACCACCGATCATATCGAAGATCTCATACGGCTTCTTGCCAGGCGTGACCTTGTCCAGGACACCCTTGAGCAGATGAAGCGATGCCAGTCCACGAGCACCACCGCCATCCAGCGACAGAACGCGCAGAGGACGTGCTTCATTGTCGATGTTGATTGCGTCAGCGCGGAACACGCCCTGTGGGATAGATGGTGCAGATTTCGGGTTCATCAGTTTGTTGATGTCGTTCAGGGCACTCTGAAAGCCTTGGGTTTCGGCGACAAAGTTGCCATAATGGATGGGTTTATGGTCTATCTATTAGTCTCTGATCGCATTGTGAGGTGAGGAAACATACGAATATCACGACCAAGGTTGAAGACGAGATATCCAGTCTTAGCAAAGTTCGCCCAGCCAGCAAATCGAGCACCCTGGCGGACAGCGAGGACATTTCCAGCCTCCAAGTGACTCAGGATCGGATGGCTTTCATCATACACACCACCATTCTTCCATTCATATTTCCTCGTGAGGAAATTGTTGCGGTGACTCAGCCAGACCAGCTCAACGCCTTTGTTGATCTTGGCTGTCTCTGCAGACTCGTTTTCAAGAATGGCAATCTCGAACCAAGTCCAGTTACCGGCAGACTCGTCATCTGCGTAGCCTTGGTCGTGGGATTCGACATAGAGTTGGAGGCTGTGGATGCTGCGGATGGTGTCGGCAGTGAGGGCCTACCCATTAGTATACTATCTTGTCCGATAATATGAGGTGACATACGGGAGTCCTAAACCAGACTTCAGCCTTGATGTCGCCATCTGTGGCTACTATTTGCTTCTGCTGGTCGCATTTGACGACATACTGGCCATCAGGAATGGCCGAGTCCTGAGAAGGAAGGGGCTTGATAGTCTGAAGCTGTGCTGGCGAGAGAGACATGGTGATTGTGGATGTGAGTATGATGGAGTGAAGAAGAGTCGAGGGAGCATCGGGTCCATTTATGTCCAGCTCGTCCCACCAGCTGAAATTACATCCAAGCTGAGGTGAGTCTCCACCATTCGTCTGACAGGCAATCAGATTTCCCAGAGCCGGCTATACCTCTCCTTGGCTGACGATCGTTCAGCTCGAGCTGAAGAACCCCGCTGACAGCTGTCACGTACGGCTGAGATATGACGATATGGTGGAGATCGTCGCGGTCGCTTGACGCTTTCGGTTGGCCATTCTGATATTCGAGTGATTATAGGCTGATATCTGAGCATTATGGAGACATTTCCAAACTATTGGGGCTCGACAAGGATGGACTGTCACATTGTGATGACGAGCATACTCCGGTCGACACTACCTTGAGCCAACTGAGCCACTCTCGGTTATCTTATGACACGCACATTATCCCTCTACTGTAGTATTCCCTCTTCCCTCTTCCCTCTATTATATACATTAATATGATCTTTCCTAGCTGCCAAGTATATAGCCTCAGCGTCAGCAGCTGGCAGACTGACTATAGATAGTCAGTCCTAAGAGGTATAAGGGCGTAAGACTAAAGCCCCTATTAAATTAAGACTACCTCTTACTAGATCTACTCTTAAATCTGGAAATTAATACTTCGTATACCTATTCTATTTCCTACTCTATATATTCTAATGCTTATTAAAACGAAGTGGTAAGGGTATAAGGCCTCTCTCCCTAGTTAATGACACCCATCTATAATGCCGCAATGAGCCAATGCGAGCGCTTGGCGGCTTGTTGTTGAAGTAATTCCATGAAGATTATCCATGACACCTTTTGAAGGGGTAATGTCAGCATTTATTATCTGGTTGGTAAAACAACTCCATCTGTTTGTCAGTATTTCATTTTTTGGACAAAATAATCCGAATCCAGTGTTGATTACTATGATTTTTCAATAAGATATCCTTTCAGATAAGTATGGCAGTTCAGTGCATTCGCCCATAGATGGGCCAGCCCTGTAACGGAAAAGGTCTTGGTTACTTTCGATGCGTTACGTTTTTGTTGATTCCTGTTCCCAGCGGTATTGGTTTCAAATATCAATTCCGGACAGTCATATCCATCACATTACCGCTGGCTAATGTAACCTCAATGAATATATCTTGAGAATCCCATTGATTTCCCCTTCAAAAATCAGTCTGTTAGTATATACTATTGTAATTCTGAATCTATTCCATTTTCTTACCTAGTCAACTCTATTACTATTCTGATCCCTTTTGTTACAAGCCCGCTCAAATATATATCTACAGAGGACACGTGACAACCATATCTTCTGCCTTTTTAAGCTATTACCGTGCAAAATCTGCTGCATCAAGCGGATTTTAGAGGGATCTGAAGAATTAGTAGAAACGAATATTATCTATTATTGTATGGGAATTTGATTTGGAGTGTTCAACTTCCTACAACACGTTACGTAGCGGGACGCTATTGATCGAGCATTTACTCCGTACTCAACTGATTTTTGATAAGATGTTTTATCAAAATGACATTTAGCAGGCTAGAAAAGCAGAAATCAATGAACAGATCAATCTCGGTAGAACGGATATGACTTGATGCTAAGTGATACCGGCTAACTTGCCGAGACCCAAAGAGAGATCCTCGGACAAACAAAGGAACAAAAGTTTAACAACAAAGTTTAACAGATTTTGACTACAGTTTGTCCCTTACTGGACGAACTTTGGTTCCTGATAAATTTTCACAGTCTGGACGGTCGGAATTGAATTTGCAGTTCCATGGGTCGGTGAAAAATAAGAATTTTGTTTGTTTCTTATTGGCCGGACGGGACCAAACATCGGTCAATTGTGATCAATATTGATAACAGTAAATCTCGAAAATGGGATTTCAAATCATCACCGCTTCTTTGTCACCGACTCGTCTTTGTCTAGATGAAACACAGTGCGGCCAATGAGGATATATCCGAATCTGCTGTGACAGGGAGGCTGTGTTGGACATCCATCCGGGTTTCGGGATCAAGGATCAAGATGATCTGTGATATATCACACTTGATCGTCAGGAACATACGTATGTAGGCGTACGGGTTTTTCGATAAACTCTGTCGGAGGATTCAGTAATCAATAATATTTATTATTCAAAAGTAAAAGACCGTGGGATCGAGTCGATCGGGCCATTTTGGAATGACGTTTTGTACGACATCCCACTATGCATCACATTCATGCCCACAGCCTTACTATGTCGACTGGGCAGTACCCGACTGCCTAACAGGTGAGTCAGGAGAATGCGTTCGAGACAATCCTACCAGGCATGACCCACTGATCATCCAAGGCTCAAAGGCCCAAAAGTGCGACCCCTGTGGCCATCACGGCCCTTGCATTAGCCTCATGATTGACAGTTCCATGGAATGTGATTCTACGTGGCGGTCTTGTTGACATATAAAGCTGTCTGTTCTTCGGTCTCTCTTCTCTTGCTACTCACTCATTCATCTCATCATGTTCTCCCCCTCCCTCCTCTTCTTCTCCCTTCTCGGGACCCAAGTGTCGGCTCAAGATGACCTCTCCAAGGCACGACTGGGCATCAACGCCCTGAATCAATGGTACAACACCAACACCGGCCTCTGGAATACGGTCGGCTGGTGGAATGGCGCCAATTGCTTGACCGTCGTGGCCGACCTGGCCCTTGTTGACGATGGCTCCCGGGATGCCGCCGTCAGCATCTTCTCCAACTCCTTCAACGTCGCCCCTAGCCAAAACCCCTTCCCCGACCTGGATGGAGGCGAAACATCCAACCCGGCCAATTCGTCCGCCTGGACCGATGGCTCCTACGACGATGATGGCTGGTGGGCGCTGGCGTGGATCGCAGCATATGACATCACCAAGAATCAGGACTATCTCAATGTAGCGATCGGCATCCATGATCAGCTGGTAGGATCTGCATTCCCCTGATAGACTAGTTGATGCGCCGGATGAAGTGGCCGTGCTGATCCTCCATCCCTAAATTCAGAGCACCGATGGCCCGACAGGCTGTAACCACGGCGGCATTTTCTCGGACCACAACCACAACTATGTCAACGCCGTCACGAACGAGCTGTATTTCTCGGTCGCTGCGCATCTGGCGACGAGAGTAAAGGACAATCAGCGATTTATCGATTCCGCGAAGCGCCAGTGGAATTGGTTCCGCAACAGCTCGATGATCAACGAGGAGGGGACGATCAACGACGGACTTACCTCGGACTGCAAGAACAATGGGCAGACTGCGTAAGTTGTTTCCATCACATTGCTTTTTATTCTTATTTTGCTTTTTATATTTCTTTTTATTTTGCTTTTGTTTCACATCCCCCTCCTGTTTATGTTTCTTTTCTGACAATCGCAGCTGGTCCTACAACCAAGGAGTCGTGCTCGGCGGCCTCGTCGAACTCAACAAAGCGTCCCCCGACGACTCGTATCTCCCCACCGCCGCCAAAATCGCCAAAGCCGCCATCAAACTCCTCGCCGACGCAAACAACGTCATCCACGAGTCCTGCGAGCCAGACTCCTGCGACGGCAACTCCACCCAGTTCAAGGGGATTTTCATCCGAAATCTCCGCCTGCTGCACGCCGCCGCGCCCGACGATCTCTATGCAAAGGTGATCCGGGCGTGTGCGGACAGCATCTGGAACAGAGACCGCAACAATGCCACGCAGTTTGGTGTTGACTGGTCCGGGCCTATTACTAGCCAGCTGGATCCGTCGACGCATAGTTCTGCTATGGATGCGTTGGTCGCTGTTATTGGGCTGTGATGTATATAATTACGTATTAAAATTGCATGACTTGACTATTTACCAGACTTTGTATTGAGGGATTTAAATAAGATTAGACTATGGTAATTATACATGCTAGTATGCATGTACATGGACGAATGCTGCAGCCTCATTCCCCCGACTAATGCCCTATTCCTTTCAATCACCAATATCCTATTTGATCACAGTGATCGGGTTTGTAACCGCTCTCAGACATCAAGATCAGCAAGCTTCATCGAATTGATTAGGTGCAATGCCTGCTGCCTGCTGCAAATGATGCGATGTCCTTTCCGGACAAATTTAGTAGTTCCTGCTCTGAGGCAGACTGACTTTTCTGATCAGTTATTGTCAGGATGTAACCACCACTTGTACGCATATAACCAGCAGGGCAAGCCATTCGGGAAGGCTCTTGACATGGCGTTAGCTGTGACCAGGGACTGACTTCCTCCACTTATCCTCTGCCATCGCGCTCTTGTCGTAGTCGGTCAGTTATGGATAAAAATCGTTCATCGAAGACTTGATTTGTGGTCAAAAAGAAAGTCTCGCAGATGAATTCCTGGGACCATTCAATTTCCCAGCCATTGTGCTTGTTGACTGGGCGTTTGGAGACAGACATAGGAGATTAGATACTATCTCAGTACCTTATTCGTCTGTTACAATCTGTTTCCATTTGTCGACCTTTTCTTTTTGCCAAGACAGCTCATCTCTCGCATTTTCGTCAACAATGATTTACTGTTATATTTAGCCGTCGTGGCTAGCTGCTCGTGTCTCTTAAGGTCCAAGAGCCAGAGGAAAGCCCATACCTGCGAGAAAACCCCGCGATGGTCGAGAGCATCCCTAAACCTCTGCAGTAAAGGCCAGGGAAATCAACCCGTCTTTGGGCTCGAGATCTGTGAGATAAGTGTATTAGTAACTGTCCTGGCGAGGGACCGGAGGATCTACCGTATTGCTTTCTCTTTGTAGACAATGCCGTCTGGGCTATGGCTTCGGGGGATGCTGCCATCTTGTGGAACGAAAGGATGTATAAAACGGCAATGAATCAATGGGATGGACCCTGGATGGCTCGATGGGCTCTCAGATAGAGAGTAGATGATGAGTGGGAGAAAGAACAAGTTGAGAAGCGATGGATGAGGTGGGTTTATATAGAAAAAAAGCCCATTCACCATGATTGAGTCAGTGCTTTCACTGTCCAACGACCAAGACGATTCATTATTGATTCCCTCTTGGATATTGCATGGCCTCTACATCTACCAACATTCATCATGAACATTGAATGCTCATGAATCCAGCAGACGATAATGTAGGATGATTATGAAAGAGAATAACCGACAACACAGTGAGGGGTAATACGGCCCCCATCTTGGCTGGCCATGATCCGCCTCTTCTATACCATCTTGGATGTAGTGACAGGCGGGCCACCTCTTGGCATCATGTCATGAAGCAACCACGCCCACAGAGGCTGATTGATTGCAGCAGAAGGGAATGTTCCCATTGGCTACTCTCCCGTTTAAATAGACGGGGAAATGGATCCCCGGGCGTTGACGGGAGGGCCTTGGGAAGGCAGATAAATAGTGGGATGCCACTGAATCAGTTGAGACTTTATATTTCTTCTGCAACTGACTCACGATGGTTCCAAATGTGTTTTTGTAAGTCTTCTTCACAGCATAATATCTGGTCTGACAATTTAGAACCGGCGCCACTGGCTATGTTGGCGGTGACTTTTTGTATGTCCTCGCACAGGCTCATCCAGACTGGAATATTTCAGTCTTGGTGAGAAACGTGGGCAAAGCAGCCATCCTATCCAAAGAGTACCAGAAAGTCCGCATCGTCAATGGCGACCTCGACTCGGCAGAGGTCATCGAAGAAGAGGTCAAGAATGCCGATATTGTTTTCCGTATGTCCACCCCAAACTGCATACTTATATGTACTGACATTATAGAAATCGCGGACTGCGACCATGTCGGCGCCGCAAAAGCCATCGCCAAAGGAGCTGCCCATCATACTTCTGACCGACCATGCTGGGTGATTCACGCATCAGGTACGGCCAGCTTTATCTTCGAAGACACACGAGAGAAGACGTACGGGACTGAGCGGACAAAGGAATACAATGATTGGGATGGACTGGATGAGCTGTTTAACCTTCCTGACGATGCATTCCATATCGACGTGGAGAGGACCATTATCGCAGCTGGTCGAGTCGATCCGCAGCGTATCAAGACGGCCATCGTTTCTCCTCCGACTGTGTATGGACCTGGTCGTGGCCCTACCAAACAGACCAGCATCCAGGCATACTTCCTTGCTAAAGCCGTCCTCCAACGAAAGAAGGGAATAATAATCGGCGAAGGCAAGAATGTTTGGAGCCAAGTCCACGTCCAGGACCTCAGCGATCTCTTGCTCTCCCTCGCCGAAGCAGCTGCCGCAGGGGGTGGAAATGCGACCTGGAACGATGAGGGGTACTATCTCTCCGAGAATGGATGGTACGTCTGGGGTGATATCGAAAGAGCCATTGCCCAGGCCGCATATGAGAAGAAGTATATCCCAACTACCGAGCTCACGCCGTTTAGCGAGGATGAGGAGTTGGGAGACACGCTTGGATATGGACTGCTCATGTGGGGATCAAATAGTAGAGGGACTTCGATTAGGGCGAAGAAACTGCTTGAATGGAATCCCACGCGACCGAGTATGCTGGAGGAGATTCCAGGCATTGTTGAAGGGGAGGCGAGGGCGTTGGGGTTGGCTGAGTAGTTATAGTGGGAGAATTACTCAGCAGAACAGCAGCCGGAGGAATATTCATGAGGGCAAGGATGCGGACAACTAAGCAGAGGGGTGACATTTGATTGGTGGGGATCTGCGTTATGGAGTCTTCAAGAGAGGGGTAATATAGCGTGAGAAGATATCTTTGGCCAGGATGGAGTAGTCGGGGCAGCTTGTGTAACGTGAGAATCCTATATAAAATACCCCGCACACACATTTCAGCCTTCAATTCCAACACAATGGTCGATAAAATGAACAGAGAAAATTGCAAGTTGTTGCAACCATTGGATATAGCCAATGGAAAGATTAAGCTACAGCATCGTATTATCCATGCCCCAGTTACTCGCAACAGAGGCGTGCCGCTGAGTGCCACGAGCACCCCGGAAAACCCGAATCGGATATGGTATCCAGGGGAGTTGATGGCCAAATATTACGGCCAGCGAGCGACTAAAGGAGGGTTGATTATAACTGAGGCTATCCCTATCACTCTCGAGGTGAGTTGACTCTACAAATAAAATTTGGTGACTGACGAGACCAGAGTAGTGGAATGCCCGGTTCTTCTGGGCTCTTTATTCCTGAACAAGCAGATGGCTGGAAAAAGGTTGTGGATGCCGTTCACGACAAAGGAGGATATATCTACGGTCAGCTCTGGCATGCTGGCCGTGCGACAATTCCTCAGATGATCGGCGCTCCGCCAGTCTCTGCCTCGGCCACGCCTTGGGATTCTCCTACGGATCTTTATGCGTATCCTCCGGTGGGAGAGACAGAGCGTGTCCGCTACGCTGATTATCCCCCTGTTGAACTCTCTATCGAAGGGATTAAAGCGATCATCCAGGATTACTGCAAGGCTGCTCGGACAGCCATGGAAATCGGATTCGATGGGGTCGAAGTAACCAGTGCGAATGGCTATCTTCTAGAGCAGTTCCTCAGCACAAATGTTAACAAAAGAACTGATGAATATGGAGGAAGCGTGGAGAACCGCTGTCGGATTGTGCTCGAACTGATGGACGAACTGGCCAAAACGGTCGGCGAAGACAATCTGGCTATTCGATTGACGCCGTTTGGGTTGTTCAACCAGAACAGAAGTGAGCAGAGAATTGAGACGTGGTCGTATCTTTGCAACAGTCTCAAGAAGAACTTGAAGCTGTCGTATGTGAGCTTTATAGAGCCGGTATGGATCCATTCCCCTTCTATATTGACGAGTACTGACCAGTCAGCGATTCGAACAATTCGACAGCTACGAATACAAAGACGACATCCTTCGCAGCTGGGGCTTACTGGGAGTGACTCTAGATCAATTCCGTACTATCTTTGGTAACACTCCATTTTTCTCCTGTGGTGGCTTCGACGATACAAACTGCTGGGATGTGGTGGAATCAGGTACATACGATGGTCTACTTTTTGGAAGACTGTTTGGTAGTAATCCTGATCTGGTGGAGAGATTGAAGAAAGGGTTGAAGTTATCAATGTGGGATGATAGTAAGCTTTTTGGCCCGTTTGAGGATAATTCGGTTGGATATGTGGACTATCCTTCGGCGGAGGGTATATAAAGACTGTATATAGCAATGCCCACGAGACGATGGGACTCTCTTCCAAGCGTTAAAAGAAGGTGTAATAGATAAATGAAGTTATTCTTGACCGGAATTGAATAGCAGCTGCTTCAATGAATGACCGGTTGTTCCTTCCTTTTAACACGCGCTCTCCTCCCTCTCGTGTTCCTTGCCATCTAATACGATGGATGCAGGTCTTGGTGGGTCGAGTTTGAGTTGATATCTCTCATCGCCATTTCCTTGTAGATGGACCGATGGCGGCTCTATGTCCGAGACACACGACGACGAAGGATACATGATGATGACCCTCACCTCTGAATACACTAAATATTTGACAAGGGAAGGGCAATGTAATAGAAACTGAATTCGGCCAATCTGTATACAAAAGATACGTCAAGCAAAAAGCAACTATCTCACCAACGCCATCTCACATGTACTTCTATTCTGCCGCTCGAAAGCCTCAGATGTATGCGAAATTAACCCGCACACTATATGCGTTCCGGGGGTAAATAAGATCAAACGGATAGTCTTCAAGGTCAGTAAACTGTTCTGAATCGAAGCGACGCGTGCGGATGCAGCAGCCACGGGCAGAAGTGCAGTGTCCATGACTAAATGCCCGGTCTGTATCGCGAGGCTTTTCACAACAGCCACAATCTCGTCCACAACAGCCTCCTCGCTCGACACAATCCCTCTTCAACCAGCCATTGAGATGCCAGTTTTCGTCTTTTCTGCACACCTTGAATGCCCTGTTCAAAGGCCCCAGTGGTATGTTGAGATGCAAAGCACCCCGCTTCCTACTCGACGTACTCTCTATTGAGGCGATCAAGCTCGCTTTAATAAGCCTGAATCTTGGAAGCCTCCGAGTCAGACGGACACAGTTGAGTCGATTTGCTCAACGCCTTCAGCTGTTCGCCGATGTAGATCTCTCGTTGCAATCCAGCGGCCTGGGATGTTCAAGGCAACCTCATCATGACATCATTTGCAACTGTCATCGGTCGTGTACAGTGTACAGTATAGTCCCCAACGGAGAGACCGAACGAGCCTGGGCTCGCTGTCCTTAATCTGGTTCTCCACATACTCGATACCATACATGTCGTCGTAGATACCAGTGTCTAGTCTATTAAGTAACGTGAACTTGTCGTCGGTGTTCAGGGATGACTGCAGACATGGGAGGAGGTCCCGGGCATTTTTCGAACCTTTGATGCTCTGAAGCCACTCATCGACTGTTTGGGGGCTTTTCTCAGAAGCTGGCTCCGAGATTGGCTGGGAACCGTCCCTATTGAACCAGAGCATGGTGATGATGCTATGGTCAACTGCTTTGAGTTAGTGGAGTGAGGATGAGCATGGGAAGTTTTTTGGATCATGCTCAGCATTAAAAAGAGTGTATATTGTAGGCATCGCTATCCTGTTGCGGAAACTGGGAGTCAATCTATGATGAATCATGACGTTGTTGCTAATCGCCTCAACTCGAATTTAAACAGCCATCAATGTAGTTGGTAGGGCTATTCTAGTTGTTCTTTCTGCAAATAAAGAATTCCATTCAGGGTCTTATTAATAAAGAATCATAAACGTGTGCCCAGTGTCATCTTGTCAGTGTGGATGGCAGAGAGGCTACAAACTGCCAGATAAGGGGCTATTATTCTATCCATAGTGGTTGTTGCCTGGCTGTCTGAAAGGGTATTTTGAATCAAGATTTCAAAAAAAAAAAAAAAAAAAAAGCATTCATTCTGACCAGCATTGCATCCCTCTCGACCACTGTCGGCTATATAAGCAGCAATCCAGACTGTCTTGTACAACTCCTGTCATCATCCACAATGTCTGCAGACTACGTGATAGTAGGCGGCGGCACCGCCGGTCTGGTCGTTGCCAATCGTCTCTCTGAAGATGAAAATACCAGCGTCATCGTACTGGAAGCTGGTGATGATCGGACAGAGGACAACCAAGTCCAGAATCCGATCTGCTGGCCCAGTCTGATCGGATCAGTGCTGGACTGGGAGTTTAAAACAGTTCCTCAGGTATGCTCATTTTATTACTGCTCGATAATACTGACGATATAGACTGGCCTCAATAATCGTGAACAAGAGCATCCTGCTGGCAAGGTCTTGGGCGGTTCATCCACGATCAACGGCCTTGTTTACATTCCCCCTTCGCCCGCTGGCATCGACGCGTGGGCCAGGCTGGGCAATGACAAGTGGAACTGGAATGCTCTCCTGCCATATCTGCAACGATCATACCGTCTGCGAGCTCCTGATGAGATTAAAAAAGAGTTTAACCTAGACGCACACAATACAGGCAGAGGTCCTATCAGTGTCTCTTATCCATCTCTCGCAGACGAACGGAACCACCCCCTCATCAATGCCTGGAATGATACATTCAAAGAACAGGGCTACGAATTTACAGGCAACTTTCTTCCTGAAAAGACGGTCGGCACGCGTCCATATACAGCTACGACGCATGATAGGTGGGGTCTGGGTGATTGTCGGAGTGCCAGTGATACCGAGTATGGCCGGAATGCATTCATTCGGCCAAATTTAGACGTTCGCACTGGCGTGACTGTTCGACGCGTCCTCTTCTCCTCTGCATCTGGAGAAGCTATCGCCACTGGTGTTGAGGTCTACACGAGACAAGGACTTGTCACCATAAAGGCAAAGGAAGAAGTTATTCTCGCGGCGGGCGCGTTCAACACTCCGAAGATTCTCGAGCTTTCTGGCATTGGCGATGGTCGTCTTTTATCCAAATTGGGGATTCCAACTATCATAGATAACCCCGGGGTTGGGGAGAACCTGCAGAATCATCTCATGAGCTTTCTTCCGGTCCCGGTGAAGAGGTTTACTGAGTTAGATAATGCTCCCCCTGGCATCAAAGCACTGGGGTTTGTGAATCTTGACCAACGCGAACAAGCAGATCTACTATCCAGATTCTCTCCACAGTCCAAGCACGACGAGGTTATTCGCTCCATCATCCAGAATCCCGATGAAGCCTCAGCTACTGCCCTGCTCAGTCTATGCGAGACATCTGAACATGCGGCTATCGTGGTTCTGTTTCCCAGTTTTCCGATTTCCCGTGGTAGCACTCACGTCTCCTCTCAAGATGCGTACGTGAAGCCAACTATCGACCCGCGATTTCTGTCCAAGCGAATAGATTTGGAAATCATGGCTCGTCTCGTTCAGAATCTCCATCAGGTGCCTGCCAGTCCTGCCTTTGAGGAGTTCTTCGAATACACCAATCCAGGACTTGATCTAGATGCGATTAAGGAATCAATCCATGAACGGGCTATCAGCACACATCATGTATGTGGAACAGCTGCAATGCTTCCAAAGGAAGATGGAGGTGTGGTAGATCAAAACCTGAGGGTATACGGCACGGGCAATCTCAGGATAGCCGACGCGAGTATCTTTCCACTGATTCCCAGCGCAAATCCAATGTCGACAGTCTATGCCGTGGCAGAGAGAGCAGCAGATTTGATTCGATATAGACATTTCTAATGTCATCAAATGCCATCACATTGTCACATTGACTATACTGATGAAGGAAATATGCAATAAACAAAATGCTAATTTGATACCACTTGACCTTCATACAAATAGTGTCTGTTCTATTGGCATCACTTCGGCATCACGCATGCCTAATCTTCCTTTCCACACCAATGTAATCAACTCCGTTTCTAGATCTTGTTGGGGTTTCAGTAAATGCGAGTATGCCTGAATCGTAGGGATAATCGAATTGCCCGGAAATCGGGATACCAATGCCCACAGCCCGTTTCTCATGCACACCGCGGTGGGTGCCGATAGACACAAGGGGTTGACCCGGTCTGTTCCACAGCACGGGTGATCCCAATTCGCCTTGACACAAGTCCAGTTAGAGCTGTCGTGGGAGAACCTGAAATACTGAAGCTTACCTCCTTCCGTTACGTGATTATACTCCAGCACGTTTCCTGCGGTATTGTTCAAGTTCCATGTAGTCTGCTCATAGTGTTCGTACATCTGGGCACCATTTTCCCCATTGCTAGACTTGTCACCGGGGTAGCCAACAATCCCGAGGTTTCCGATCCCGGTAGTAGGAGTGCCAATATAGTCAAATCGATGCGAGACATTGGGGAATTTCTCATTAACCTTGACAAAGGCTACATCCCTGGTGCCATCAAGCAATGCAGTATATTCGTTTAGTGCGGTGACAGCAATTCTATGGCGATAGATTGTGTCTGTTTTCAACGGATCCGCATTCTTACCGTTGTACCCCATCCACACTTTAAAGGCACGGGCTTTTTCACCAGTCTTCCTGTCATACACAAGATGGGCCGATGTGGCAAGGATATCATCGGTAAGAAGCCAACCAGTCCCCATGTACCAATTCTGACTCCTTCCCCTCTGCACCATGACTTTCAATATGGCTAATCATGTTAGTTATCTCCTGATTCCAGCTGTTGTTATACTTACATCGATACTTTCCACCCTCCTTGATGTCCTCCACTGGGACGAGCTTTCTATTGTCGGATGTAATGTTAACATTATCCTCTGGTGTTTCTTCCAGAGGCACTGCATTCTCTGCGTTTGCAGTGGGAGGCGCTTCAAGGTTCCATCTCCAAACAACGAGTTTGGCCATTTTGAATGTTGAAGTCGGAGGTGAGCTGACGACTACGCAGAGGGGGGTGATTTGATGATTTTTTTCGTCTCTGGGGCGTCATCAGCTATTTATGTTCACCATCGAGCTGAATGTCAGTCTGGCGCACGTTCCCTGGGCGAGTGATCGACGAGATCTGCACTGTGCTGTGTGCCTACTGCCTTGCCATACTGCAGTCCTGGCAGTCCAATGATTTCATACTTGGCATTTACCCCCGCAAATGTGAGGAAAGTACGTCAGTGTCCGCCTTGCTATCTTCACTGCTTTGTTTTGAAAACACAAAAGAGACAAATAAGAGATATTCTCGAGAAAAGAGGGGTATGTGAAATGTGACGAGCTGAACCACCTTGAAGCGGCGTGGGTAGACTAGAAGATCGAGATCTCTGATAGGCTAATAGGCAGATGATGTTCGCAGCTGAGGATGAACTGGATGAGCTGAAGCGGCCCGACACGCTGACAGAGCGGGGATTGAATGATCGACAGAAGGCAGCGGCTGCAGAGAAGGTGGCGGAGCTGAAGGTAAAGTGACGGGAAAGACGCTGCATGGTGTCTAGTTTGATCCACAATCTGACATGAAAGTCGAGATGGGCGGTGGCTGTAGCTATGAAAATACCTTCAAGAAGAGTTCAAAGTTTGCGTTGGTGGCGATCGACCAGACTCAGTTTTGTCCCGAGCTGAATACTTCAGGATATGGCACGAGAACAGCTCACAGGGAATGTACTTGTACCTGCTGCCTCCAACAGGACCTATCCGGATTGATTTTGACCAGCATCAGCAATGGAACTCGGTCACAATCCCCGACCTCTTGCATCTGGCAATTACAAATCTGGTTGACATATTGACTGTAGTTAGAATTATATCGATATAGTACCCCAATAAATCATTCTATAATAACTGGCTGGATGCTGGTAGGAAGTAGATATCACCATACTGTCTCTTCTACCTGTATGGGTTTACACTACAATGGGCATTAATAACATTCACATAAAGCACACCGCTCAGTCATCATGCACATCCATCTCTGCCCAACCCCGCACCACCTCATCTATCTTCACCCTACAATGACCACCAAACTCATCTCAATCGCCATCGTGGGCGGCGGCATCGGCGGTCTCTGTCTCGCCATAGGACTCCTCCAACACCCCCATCTCAAAGTCACCATCTACGAAGCCGCACCCGTTTTTTCAGAAATCGGTGCTGGAGTCGGACTGGGACCGAATGCCCAGCGTGCACTTTCTTTGATCTCACCCGCAGCAGAGAGGGCATTCGTTAGCCAGGCCACGGGTAATCTGTCGCCTGGATTGGAAGATGTCTGGTTCGATTTTCGGTGCGGGATGAAGGATCGCGAGGGTGAGATGTTGGGTGTAGTTAGGAACCAGACCGGGCAGCGAACCATCCATCGGGCCAGGCTTCTGGATGGGCTGATCAAATTGATTCCAGATGGAGTCGGGCGGTTTGGAAAACGACTTGCGAGACTCGAAGAACAAAGCCAGAGTGTTACGATGTTCTTCGATGATGGAACAAGTGCAAAGGCAGATGCAGTTATCGGAGCTGACGGCATCCACAGTATTGTGAGGAGGGAATTACTCGGGATGTCGCATCCTGCTGTTCGTCCAGCGTTTACAGGGTCGATTGCATACCGCGGCTTGGTTCCAATGGAGATAGCGCAGACGGCGACGGGCGGGTTTGCAGATACTGCGCGGATTTGGTGCGGGACGGAGGGATTGGTGATGAGCTATCCCATCGAGCATGGCGAGACGGTCAATGTGGTTGCGGCACGCAGTAAGGTGCAATGGTTGGAGTATTCGAGTCAGACGTCTACCGATGCAATTCGCGAGAACATGCTGGAGGATTACATCAATTGGGGGGCCATTCCGCGTCGATTACTCGAGGTCTGTCATCTTGATCGCTTTGAAGAGGTTGACATCTAATTATCCAGACTATGGAACACCCTACTCTATGGGCCGTGTCTCACCATCCCTCTGCACCGTATTTTAACAAAGGAAATATCGCCATGATGGGTGACGCAGCTCATGCCATGTCGCCATACCAGGGTGCTGGTGCCGGCCAAGCCATTGAAGATGCCTTGACGCTGTCCGCCGTCTTTGGCCATGTTCAGACTGTCGACCAGATTGCCCCTGCCCTGGCGGCGTATGATGCTGTACGACGGCCTCGGAGTCAAAAGGTTGTCAACACCAGTCGAGAGCAACTCGATATGCTCACTTTTAACGATGGAGTGGTCAACGGGGACTCGGAGATGTGGACGCAGGCCATGATCGAACGGATGGACTGGTTGTGGAATGGGGATTTGGTGAAGCAGAATAAAGAGGCTGTTGATCTATTCTTACAATCTTCAAGAGAAACACAAGTCGTCTTTTAATTCAAGCATGCTCAATCTTCATTTTCAATCTAATCTCTGCACACCAACCGCTCGCCCTGCTCATTAAACTTGACCACCTCCCCAGTCAACAATGCATGCTGCAACGCCTGTCCGATCTTCATCACAGTAATGCCTGTCTCCAGCTTAACAGGAACCTCCTGGTCCTTCAACACAGCCTCGACAAACTCATTCGCCTCCCGGGCAAACGCATCTTCAAATCGCTGCCAGTACTCCGGCTGGACTTCGTGGCGCATACCCAGCTTATCGGCAATGACTACGTTGTTCTGCTTGGGGACCACATTCACCATGAGCTTGCCATGAGTACCGGTGATTTCCGTGCAGACATCATGTCCATGTGCCTGTGTGCGCGAGCAGTAAAAGTACGCAATCTTCCCGCCCCAGAACTCAACGATACCAACCGCATTGTCCACATCGTTCAACTCCTTCAGCTCAGGATGATGCTGGAGCGTACCAGCAGCCCAGCACGCCTTGGGAGTAGGGTTACCAAGGTACCAAAGCGACAGGTCGATATCGTGGATAGCGCAGTCGACGAAGATTCCACCATTGCGAGCGGCATATCTAACGAAGAAACCGGTTTCATCGCGGAGATCGCACGTGTTGGATCGCACCATGAACGGGCTGCCGATGGCCGAGTTGTTTATTTTGACTCCTGCGTCGCGGTACGAGGCGTCGAAACGGCGGGAGAATCCGGCCATCACCTTGACCGATGGGTTTGCATTGGCAGCGTCGACGACAGATTGCGCCTGTTCTGTTAGTCCTGCATAGAATATCTAACATGACAAGCTCACCTCAGCAAGATCCGTACTCAGCGGCTTCTCACAAAGCACATGAACGCCCTTGGCAATAGCGGCCAGCGACTGACTGGCATGGACATCTGTGCTGGTCGACACCCACACAGCCTGAAGGCCAGGGTGAGACAGCATCTCCTGGTAGTCTGTGTACGCGGTGATGCCAAAGTCTTTGTATTCTTGATTGCTGCGGGCCCATTCGATTTCGGATGCGTCGGTGCTGCAGACGGCGACGACATTGGCGTGGGGGGCTCTGTAAAGGAGAGTGTGGACGTGGCGTTTGCCCTGTATGATATGTGAATATTGATAATGAGGAGTATATTGGAGTTGGGATGTTTACCATTCGGCCAAGGCCAACGACGGCAATGTTGAGGCGGCTCATTGTGAGGAATTAGATGATATAGAAGAGTTGAATTGAGCGATGAGTTGTTGATGACATTGACGATGAGGATTATGGCAGCTATTTATCTTCATCTCGAGCTCTACATCTACGCTGAGGATACATGTTATCGGCGCCTCTTACCGTTTCTGGTGATGATCTTATCGATGCGATCAACAACATTTTTGCGACCAAAATTTACCTCATACAGTAGGCGCCGGCGTTTTACAAACTACCTGAACAGTCTATAGATATGGAGAAAACTATATCTGGTCATCGATTCTGCTTTTATATCTTCTTACATTTGTACCTCAACCTCGGTATACTCTGAATGCCCCTGGGGTTGAAAATATATCATCGAATATTTCCAATTATTTGCGTGTATAATATCTAAGTTTCTCTAATAGCAAATAACTGTATAACGATAGTTAAATGAATTTGTCCCACAAGGTAACCATTGATACACAAAAGCATTTAGACAATGGCGTGGGAGCGGCGCCTCCTTCCCAATGGGGTAATGCGGGGTTCCCCACAACCCCGCTCCGCATCTCCAGAAGGCAACTCTCACCGTCATCTTCGCACGCCGCGAGACAATTACAGAACAACGAGATAGTATCGGATTATGCAGCCATGGCTACATCTACAGGATCAAGTCAAGGCCCCTGCACCAATTGCCGCGGTAGGTCATGCACTCATTTCTGTATAACGTTGAACTACTGACAGACTGCAGAAAGACACGTCAGATGTACTCACCACGGCGCCTCTTACCTAGCCTGTATTAACCAATGTTCTAGGTGATAGACAAGGCCCAAAGTGCCAACGGTGTCAAAACAAGGGTTTAGACTGTCTTCCTGTTCAGAGAAAGTCGGTCTTTCGCCATGGGTCGGCGGCGAACTTTGAGGCGCAGTTTTCAGACGATCAGCCGTGGGTGAATAGCGAGCCAAGACGATGGAGATCATTACAAGATAGCTCTGTATCGTTGAGAGAGTCTAATTCGGTGGTGCAAGCTGCAGCACCTACCGGGCGTTTCAGTGTATGTCCTACGGTGTATGCAGGGTATGATTTGCCAGCATCTCAGGTGCATGAGGGACAAAATAGGACCAGCCATTCGGCACAGGCATCGAAGCGTCAGAGACCTGATGGGCCTGTTCCGGGGCTGTTTCATGATTCGCCGCTTAGTGTGTCGTCGCTGCTGTCGTCGAGTGATTCGGGGGTATATGTACCGACACTCAACGAGCAAGGGCACGATTGGGCGGTTGGGAATAGTCTTGGCCATTCTGAACTGACGACACAGGGCTCATCCCGTGTGAATGACAAAGTGTATATCATTCAAGAGGCTTGTTTGCTGCGATATTTCATAGAGGAAATATCACCATGGGTACGACACCGCCTATCTTGTTATCTGTATACTAATATTTAGTTCGACCACTGCGATGAACAACGACACTTTCAACTGGAAATCCCAAAACGGGCAAAACACTGTCTGGCTCTTCGCAATGCCATCTTTGCCGTTGCATCGTGTCACCTCAGCCGTCTGCCATACTATACAACACCACATGGGATCGTATATCACGGACAGCAACTTCCCGATCTGAAATCCTCCACAGCAGTGGAATACATGCTCAACTGCATCCCCGATCTCATCAAATTCCCCGAAATCCAAGACCCAAATGACCAGGAAAGTCTAATGGCGGCCGCAATCATCCTTCGCCAATATGAAGAAATGGAAGAAGAAATAGACGAGTCGCATATGCATCAGCGGGTGAACTTTCTCGCCATCACGCAGACGATTATCGACTCGATGATGTCGTCGCCGACTGAGCGGTCTCTTGCAAATGCGGCGTATTGGATTGCGATCCGACAAGAGGTATACTATGCTTTGACCAGAGAGCGCGTCCCGATTATGCAGTTTGGTCATGATGACTGGGGTAATGCGTCTGTTGCTAACAAGTTTATCATGTTTGCGGGGGAAGTCACCAAGTGGCGATGGGGAGGGAAGTCATCAGATGGATGGGGTATGTCACCTTATATCAGGAGAATCACCAACTGACAATATACAGACCAACTGAAAGAACTAGAGAAACAGCTGATGCACGACTACATGTCTCAGCTAATCCCCATTCTCGAACGCAAGGCCGATAAATCACAAGGCGAAATCTTCCCTACGGTCTGGTACGCCGTCGACAGCCAGGTAACAGCAGTCCAGCATCTGGAACTCGCCCGGATGATTCTCATCGCCGAGAATCCTCATCTCGAGTAGGTCAATCTCCATATACACGGTCAATACTGACGAAATAGAAACGCTGTATCTCCCCGCATCGCCCACCGAAAAGCCGAAGCCCAAGTCAGAGGCATGGTGTTGAATCTATGTGGAATTGCCTTGGGGCATTTGAGATGTCAGCCTGCGCTGGTGAATGCCGTCATCGCTATAACCCTTTACGGGGAATATTTCACCGAGCAGACAGAGAGAGAGGCGTTGATGGAGGTGATTGACCGGACGAGGAACATCCACGCCTGGCCGATGCGAAAGCCATACAGGATGTTGAGGGAGCGATGGGAGATGGTCGACAGTGCTTCTTAGCTGTGGATTAACAGTCTTACTACACTATGTCTAAAATACAGATAGAGGTCACGTGCACTCTAACCGCAGTTCGGAGTCTCCTTTCGGAAAGCCTCAGGATTTCCTAATCGGGGTGGTTCCTTCGGTCGGCAAGGATGCTTGATAAGCGTTTTTCGGAGACAAAGAGTCGGCGACTGATTTCTAATGTAGCCGGAATCCTTTGAACGTATTTAAAGATGTTGACGAGTGCTTATTTTCTTGGCCAGGAAATTTTCAACTTTTCCTGCAATTGGAGAAACCATGGCCCAGGAAAAAGATATCGAAAGCACGCCTGTTTCATCGGTCCCGTCTGATGCCGGTTTCGTTGTTTCTTTTATCGACGATGATGACCCTCGCAGTCCGAGAAGCATGTCCACAGCACGAAAGTGGTTTATTGTGGTTATTGTCGCCATGACGAGTACGTGTGTTGCGTGTACCAGCTCCCTGTATTCAGGCACATACGCGCAGATTGAGAAGGAAATGCACGTCAGCAAAACAGTGGCAACGCTAGGATTGAGCATGTTTGTCGTTGGTCTCGGATTAAGTCCGATGGTGTTGGCGCCATTGAGCGAGGTGTGTCTCTCTCACCTCCAACAGATGTATACTAACAAGATAGTTCTACGGCCGCAAACCCGTCTACGTCGTCTCGATGTTTTTCTTCGTCATCTGGATGATTCCCTGCGCTGTCGCTCGCAACATCCAAACATTACTGGTTGCGCGATTCCTCGATGGATTTGCCGGGGCTGCCTTTCTCAGTGTGGCCGGCGGGACTGTGGGCGATATGTTCTCACGAGATAAACTCCAAGCCCCGATGATGATCTATACAGGGAGTCCTTTGTATGTCTTTCATTATCTAGACTGTTGATGATGCTGATTGAACAGTCTGGGACCGGAGTTAGGCCCGATTCTGGGGAATTTCATCAATTACTACACCAACTGGTATGTATCTTCCTATACAATTGAACGCAGCTAATGAACAGGCGATGGTCATTCTATACCCTCTTGATCTGGGCATTTACGCAGTGGCTGCTGATCTTCTTCTTCGTCCCGGAAACGTATCATCCTGTTCTTCTGCGCAAGGAAGCACAGAAGCTGCGTGCAGAAACGGGGGATGAGCGATACCATGCGCCGATTGAAAAGATGGATCGGTCAATTACGCAGGTAAGGTCCCTCGCCACTTTATATCTTTAATCTAACAACATAGACAATTCTTCGCTCGTGTTGGCGTCCCTTTCTCCTCCTTGCCTTGGAGCCAATGTGTCTGTGTCTGTGTCTCTTCTGTTCTGTCTTGTTAGGAGTGCTATATCTCTTCTTCGGAGCATTCGGGCTCGTCTTCCAGGATAATCACGGCTTTAATCTCTGGCAGGTCGGACTGTGCTTTATCGGGATGATCGTGGGGATGGTTATTGGGATTGGTACTAATCCTCTGTACGTTTCTCACTCCTTCTATTTGATCAAACTAATTGAAAAGATGGCACAAGAAATACGTCAAGCTCGTCAAAGAATGCGAAGAACGAACAGGTATCAAAGGTGCTTCTGAGCCCGAGTTTCGTCTTCCCCCTGCGATTGGCGGTGCCCCGTTGGTTACTATCGGGTTGATGATATTTGCCTGGACGACGTGAGTATCCTCCACTGTTAATATGATAATGTCTAACTATCCAGATATCCCTCCGTCCACTGGATCGTCCCTATCATTGGAAGCGCCATATTCGGTTCTGGGTATGTCCCTCCCAGATATATTGAATAATCTAACATACACAGCGTGATAATGGTCTTTTCCGGCGTCTTCACCTTCCTGGTAGACGCGTACCCTCTCTACGCAGCCTCTGCACTCGCAGCAAACAGTTTCGCGCGGAGTATGTTTGCTGCTGCGTTTCCGCTGTTCGGGACGGCGAGTATGTCCCCTACCTTCTCTTGCGAATAAAGTGTGTGCTGATGAGATAGTGTTCCATAAACTCGGATATCAGTGGGCGTCCTTTCTTGTCGCGATGATTACGTTGGCTTTGGCGCCTTTTCCGTACGTTCTTCTTTCTGACGGGTGTGATGGTGGCTAACTTTGTAGGCTTGTCTTTTTTAAATATGGAAAGGAGATTCGCAAGAGGAGTCGGTATGCTGGGGGGAAGTAATTATATATGGTCTGATTGATACGTTCATGCCTAATTGTTAGATGACGTTATAGATAGATAGCCTTGATCTGAATAGAATAGAATATAATGGCATTTTACATAGCACACTAGTGTATGCTATTATCCCACCAAGACTGATCCAAACCAAGCAGATCCACTGGTATAGATGGGATATCCAGGTTATTCACGTCAAAGATATCAGACTGTGAAGTTGGTGAGGCCAGAGAATTCACCATCGATGCAAAATCCGGAGTAGGTATATTCTGCAAATCCGCCCCCTTCAGCGACTCGGACGGAGTTGGAAGCTGGTTGCTCCCCATGGAGTTACCAAATGACTTGGCACTCCTATCTATCATATCGTGGATATCTCTCACAGTCGCAGCGGCATTTGCAGCTCGCGTAAATCCAAAACTAGCAAATGCCTCGAATGCCTCAATGGCAAGGGTAATGGCTCTTCTTGCGGAGAACGTATACGGACAGACAGGATGAACAACCGCAAACCCGAGAACAGTGACGATGGCATCCCATGTATATTGAAACGAACGATGCCAGCCGGTCAGAATATCAGTTTCCGTGAGGACCTGATGGACAATGTTGATTGTTGCTACTGCGTGGCTTAATGCGAGGAGGGCGTTACCGTCGGTGGTATGCTTGGTGGGCTGCGATGGCGAAATAGGTGTAAGTCTGATGAATGGACGATAGATGTACATGACTAGATTGTGATAGAGGAGTTCCAACATGACTCGCTGTCGCTGGAGCCAGAGGGGGGCGTAGGTGTCGATGTCTAGGGGTGATTTGGTCGTGGAAAAGGCATCGCCAGGTCCTTTTCGGGAGATTTTCAGAGCGGATGGAACGGTCTTTTGCCATGTTTGGAGAGTGGCCATGTTGGCGTGGAGGATTGTAGAGCACTGCTGAATGACGGGGAGGTTTGTGTGGATGGATGTTTCTGTTTCTCTGGACATGAGCTGCGTGGCTTTGGATAGGATGTTGGAGGATATAGAGCGGACGCGCATGATCAGTTTGGCGTATTGTATTTGATACTCGAATTGAGTGACATCTTCAGATATATCAGGCTGGTCCAGTTTGACGGTCGCGTCAGGTGGATTGATCAGATATGGCCTTCCCAGTTCCAGGTTGAGTTTTGCATCGAGGAAGAACAGTGTCCACCATATTCTCCGTTGTAGCGCTTGCTGGACTGGGCATAGTGTTGTAGATTCATGGTTGAGGCCTAGGGTGTATGCGATATTCACAGCGATAGATAGATGGGACCTACACTGATCAAGGCAAGAGGCGTTGAGGAGATAAATAGCTGAATAAATTCGACACTGCAGACTAGAAATGGAGGAATCCCCATTCGATAAAAGCAGTTGGCATCGGTGATAGAGCCATTGCCCATCGTGTAGATCCGATGGACCATCAGCCATCAACCCAGCGCTGTATTGCATGCACAGTGCAAGAATGATATCCATCAGAGCAGAGGATTTGCGAATTGCACTGGGCTGGGAATTCATCAACCAGAGAGAGTCATGGTATGCCCTCAGTTCATCTTCATCTACGATAGGAGTAATGCAGTGATATGACTGCCAGAACTGGCCGAGCAGATGCTCCTCTTGATGGCGAGATAGATCTGTGCTGGATTGAAACGAGTTCAGATTGATGGCTGCGATGTTATTGCTGGATAACAAGGATTCAGCAAGAGACGAAGACTCGAGACAAAGACTCAAGCGATGGACGAAATAATTCAACGATGTAGGTCCATAATATCGATCCTGCATCCAGATTCCCTGCCAACTCCATTTTCGAGGCTCAATCACAGTTGAATCTTCTGGCGATGGCGGGGTTTTGAGCTGCTCTTCCAACTCTGCAACACGTGATCGCAGCCGTTCCAGTTCTCTGTATTCATTAGTTCAATCTTTATTATGGAATTGTATATTTAGAATACCTATAATCAGTAGCCTGCTCAGTTAGTCGCCCCTTGGTGCAGTTGACGCGGCGAGTGCGACAATTCTTGCAGGGGTGGTGGTCGTCGCATTTGATGCGGTTCAGACGGCACCAGTCACAGGCACGAGCGACATTTGTCCTTCTGGGACGAGATGAGGTTGGAGAGGGGCTGCTGGTTGGAGTGAGTGAGCTGTTAAAGGTGACAAACATGGTGATGATGATGGCTGAGATGAAAAGATGGACGGAAGTGAGATGGGGCGGCGGAGGATCGGGATCCCGGTCGGATGAGTCAACGTCTGAATAGCTTCATCTCTGGAGACTAGATATACTACACCGACAACATTTCAATTAATAGTAAATGTTCCATGATTCTGAACAAAATATTTGGATGTCTTTCTCTATAACTACAAACCAAAACATCGCTCCCTACCAGGCAACGTTCTTGTCTACTTTCTCCAGAGAATCTCCTACACCGAGACAGAATGTCTATCCCACCAAAACTTCCAGTCCATCTACAATGCCACCATCCCTTTTCTCCCCAGGGAACACAAGATCGTCTCTGCCATGAGCAAGTACGTCCATTCCGCCTTTTTCTTCGTCTCTCTCGACGCCCGCAAGGCCGTCGCCCTCTACGACAGCTACCAGTTGACTCTCGACGACGTTATCCATGAAACAGACAGACTCGACGGTCTATTTCTGCGGCTGGTCACCAAGGCGTAAATCCAACATCTCATGTGGGATGCATTCTTCAAGATGCTGCCCGATCTCTTCCAGTTCTACGGCCCTTACATACAAACGACGCTCTTCCACAGCTATCCAGGCTCGCTCAACTACCTATCCTACATGCGCCAAATTGGTGCTCAAGACCCCATCCAGGTCGCCATCTGTCTACCCGAAAGCGAATTCCCGCAGAAAGACTACCTCCCCATGATCGTCACGCTGAAGGCAGAGTTGGAGGATTTTGGCAGTAAGCTGAAGAATCTCTTCTCCTTCTACAAGGAAAGCGACACGGCAATCGATCGCATCAACTACCCCTCAACCAAGCCGCGTGGACCCGTCGTCCGCTGTTGGAGATTCTGTACGACATGGCTGACACAGCGATTGCGTGCCATGAGCGTATTTTCGTCATTCTTGAATCAACGGGGGATACGCGGCTTGCGCAGAGAATCCGCGATTTTTCCAGGGCACGGCGCAGTATCATCTCGCTAGTGGTCGGTATCGGATTTTATATGCAGTGAATATGGAGATGAAGATTTGCTTGCATATTACAAAGGAGTCGTACGGCAATGGGCATTCTCTAGGAAAACTCGAACCGGTTCATTCAAAGGAAAGATCCAGGCCAAAGGCTCTCCGATGTCTGCCCGTGCAGAACAATCACTGTATTACGTCTGAATAACTGCATATTCATCACCGATACATTCCTTGTGTGACAGCATTCCACGGCACGGAAATACAGGAAGTAATCACTAGATAGATCATCTTAATAGTGACTGCACAGGACCAGTTGTAATGTGGGCGATACGGATTCTATATTCTTGGCTGTCATCATGATAAGCAAATGCACCTCTATCAGCCTCATCCCTTCCAACTTTAATGAGTTACACAACAGACCTGGAAATGCACTAACTGTAAACGGCTTGAAAGTATGATTGAATAGGTTGAATCGAGTATCCCTTGCTTCACAACACCGTTGTACAATAGGGATGCTGAGAAGTGTGACATAGACTGCGATGTTACACAGCAGAGATAGCTTTATAAATACGCCAAGGCATACTCAAAGACATCCACAGCAGTCATCATGACATACAAAGTCAACACTCAGTCCAATAAGCGACTGTTGGTGGACGTCCTGCAGAATCCAGCTATCAGAGAGAAGCTATATTGTATCCACCCTGTCTTGAATGATCTTAACAATGGTTGGAGAGAAATCACCTATGGAGACCTTCATCGAGCAGTCGATTATCTGTCGTGGTGGATTACCGACAGACTCGGGCCTGAGGAGAAGCAGACGGTGGGATATCTTGGGGCAAATGATATTCGATATGCAGTTTTCGTACTGGCGTGTATTAAGACTGGCCATGTGGTATGTTCTTCCTATATAAAAGAAGGACATATGCTTATGATATAGGGTCTGCTGCTGTCTACACGCAACTCACAGCAAGCATTCCGCCATCTCTTCGACCGGACTGAATCTACAAAACTCCTGTTCACTGGAGATAAAACACGACTAGTCAACGACATCCAAAGCAACAGAGCAGAAAATGAAAAACTAGAAACGTTTGAAATCCCCACATTACGTGACATCTTCGCTGCCTCCCCAGAACCATATCCCTTTGACAAGAAATACGCCGACGTCGAAGATCAACCCGTCATCATAGTCCACAGCTCCGGCACAACAGGCTTTCCCAAACCCGTCTACATCACGCATGGATACGTTGCAACACTCGACAATATGAAGAATCTCCCTCTTCCACCCGGACGGAAGCATGGCCTATTCACCTTCTCAGCTGGGCAGCGCCGACGACTCAACACAAGCCCGTTCTTCCACTTTGTTGGCATCGTGGCTCTGTCAGAGTGCATCTTTTTCGAGACCCCACTGGTGGTCTGTCCTGATCGACACATCACCATCGATCTGCTGCAGAGAATCATGGATGAAGCCAAGCCGGAATGGATGCTGACCACGCCATCGTTACTAGAGGACTTTACAAAAACACCCGAAGGCCTCGAAGTCCTGTCCAGATTCCACCGCATCGACTATGGTGGCGCGCCCATGCGAGCTGAGTCGGCCAAGATCCTCTCCAAACGCGTCCAGCTACAGACTGCCCTGGGCTCAACCGAAACAGGATATACGGGGACGTTGTTCTGCGGAGGCGAGGAATCTGATGTGCTTGAATTTAACCCGTACTTTGGTGTGAAGCTGGAAGATACGGGAGATGGGGTTTATGAAATCGTCATTCCACGCCAGGAACATCGTGACTTTCACGGCATCTTTCACACCATGCCAGATCTCCAGGAATACCACACAGGCGATCTGGTGATACCGCATGGCGCTGAGGGGAAATGGAAATACTATGGCCGACGATACGATGTGATTGTCCTCAGCAACGGGGAAAAGTTCAATCCCATCGAGATGGAAAAGATGGTCGAGACGCATCCACTTGTTTCCAAGGCTGTGGTTGTTGGACAAGGACGATTCGATGCTGCTCTATTGGTGCAGCCGCATTGGAATGAGGTTGGAGATGACGCAGATTCTGCTATTCTGGAGAAGATCATGCCAGCCATCGACAAGATGAATACTATTGCGCCAGGACATGGACGGGTACTTCCGAATCGGGTTATCCTTGGATCAAGAGAGAAGCCATTCAAGGTATCCCCAAAGAACACGATTCAACGGAAGATGATACTCGCAGATTATAAAGACGAGATTGATCAGGTGTATACGAATAACGAGATCGCATTGGTTGCTGAATTACCGCGGACTACCGCATACGAGGATATCCGCCGATTCATCCGCGCGACAATATCCCATCTGGCGAAGATAGAAGATATCAATGAAGAACAGAGCATCTTCACCATGGGACTAGATTCACTGCATGCTCTTCAGCTCAGCCAGACTCTGCAAACTGCAGCTCGTCATCTGCAGCCCAAGGAACAATCAGAAATAAACAGCCAGCATATCTACACCAATCCATCTGTGAACCAGCTATCACAGTTCTTCCATAGCCTGGTTACTGGCCATCATCCAATTTCTCCTAAATCCAACAGATCATCAAAAATAACAGACCTGATCGACCGCTTCAGTCGAGGTTTCGGCCAAAAACACACCGTCCTCTTGACCGGCTCAACAGGCTCACTGGGCAGCTATATCCTGCATGAACTCCTCCTCGACATGTCCATCGTCAAGATATACAGCCTCAACAGATCACCAGATGCCGACAGACGCCAACTCGAAAGCTTCACTTCCAAAGGGCTATCCATCCATCCTTCACAGCTCAACAAAATCGAATACGTGCACAGCAACCTCGGCGAAGAAAACCTCGGTCTGGACGAATTCACATACAAAAAGATGACTGCCTCCGTCGACACCATCATCCACAACGCCTGGATGGTCAACTTCAACTACGGCGTCGAGGCATTCGAATATCCCCATCTAGCGGGCGTGCGTCGATTAATCGAATTCGTTCTGGAAAGTCCCCGTCGACCTCATCTACACTTTATCTCATCTGTTTCTACAGCAGGCGCATGGAACGTCGATGACAGCCCGACCATTCCTGAGAACATCGTGCATAATCCCGACATCGCCCTACGACAAGGCTACGGCGAGTCGAAATACATCGCAGAACGAATGTGCGAAGCTGCCTCCACACAATGCGGTATATCAACCTCCATCCACCGCGTAGGCCAACTAGGCGGACCAACAAGCAGAAAGGGAATGTGGAATAAACAAGAATGGGTACCGTCATTGATTCACTCGTCCAAGACGATAGGCAAGATTCCAGAGTCGTTGGGGGCGCTGCCTGTTGATTGGGTTCCTATTGTGAGTATTTGAGTGTTCTGATGAAGATGTGTGCTGATGGTATAGGATATGGCTGCGAGGATTGTAATTGATATCGTCCATACATCGCATGGAAAGGGCTCCTGTGGCGTCTTTCATGTTGTGAATCCTTCGCCATCAGATTGGAGCTCGCTCATTCCGACTATCCAGCGATTTTGTCATGTCACACCTATTTCGCTTGAGGATTGGATCAACACTTTACAGTCTGATTCAAGTGGCATCCAGGATAGGCCTGCTCTCAAACTACTCGACTTCTTCAAAGGCATTCAAGGTAGTGGAAAAGGACAACCTCTCTTCGAAGTGAAACAAAGCAAAGCAGCCAGCAAGAAGATGCGAGAACTCCCACCCATCGACGGCGCCATTATGGATAACTGGATGCGACAGTGGGGGTTCAAATAGCTGAAGCATTCTTAATACATTCATATAAATCACTCGTAAAACTCCTTTACCATAAGCGCATCCGCAACTCCCTTGTCATGCCCAAATATCAACTTCGCATTAAATAGCCTCTCCAACCGCTTAATCATATTCAAACTCCTCACCCACGCCGTATGGTCTCTCGCCAGTCCGCCCTGCGGATGTGCAAGTTCGTAATTTTCCTTCACGTGGAACTGGTCACTCGTCCAGATAAACGTCCCGTCATACTGGAGGTTAACCTGCATAATACACAATCCTGGCGTATGGCCTGGTGAGTGGTGCAGCGTGATGCCCTGAAACAGCTCAAGCTGAGACTCAGTAAAGGTAGTCCAGTTCAATCGTTCCAGATGCATGTATTCGCCTAGGTAGACGCCCAGATCTGCCTTGGTGGCTACGGCCCAGCAGGCGTGTTTGAATTCTTCTTCGTGGACATAGATCGGGATGTCGGTGTCGAGAAAGTGTTCTAGTCCGCCCGCGTGATCAAGATGCAGATGACCCATAATGATCGCCTTGACGTCTTTGATGTCGTTGCCGGTGTTTTTGATGGCGTTGGGAAGCCGTTGTTTGTCCGTGTAGACGGTGCGGGCGAAGATGTCGGTTATGGGGGCGCCCACTTTCTACTCAGGTAAGTATATACCACCACCATGAAGAAGTGTACATACTACGTCCAAATCCTCCGCATATCCGGTTTCATACAGAATCAACCCGATACCCGGGTATTCAATCAACGCAGACAGAATGGCCATTTCACGCCGTTTGTTGACGGGATTCTTATCTTTTGTTGTGCTCACATTGGCGCCTCGGAGAATCCTATCTCATCAGCTTATATTATATCGATGGGCGTCAGCATATTTACCATGAGTCGTCAGCTTCCAGAGTCCCCAGGTCCAGAATGTGCATCTTTGTCCCGGTTGGGCATCGGAAGGCGGGGATGCCAGCGGCCACAAGCAGGTCGGCAGCAGACATTTTGGATGCAGATGGGATTAAGCTTCTATGCCAGGAGAGGGAGAATTATTTATATTCTGCAGTCATCAAGAGGGGTATCTGGACATGGGTTGCATTGCGGGGTAATCCTGAAGCACAGAGTGCAAATCAGACCCACAATAGCATCATTTTACTATAATCTCTCTCGGCCAAAGGGATCTGCTTTGTAATTATGCATATCGTGTGGATTTCCCTTCCAACTTCTTGATTCTCCTCATCCTTCGCCCTCTATTCTGCACTTGCCTGGCGAGCCTTCACCCGGCCGTCTTCTCCCCCTTTTCCCCTCCCTTTTTGTTTTGGGTCGCAAATTCCGGCTGAGCCCTGCCTGTCTCTCCACCGAGACCACCAGGATCGTCGTATTCGTCCTGCCGATGACTACGGGAGTATTGTTTGCAATGGATTAGACATGAACTGACCGATCGTAGACTGTCCAGCTAGTCATTGAAGGTGATGGAGAATACCAACTGTCCGTCTGCCATGCCATGACACCAACTACAGACCAATAGAAGACGAATGCAATAAGCTCTGTAATTCCAGGTTGCTAGATCACTCTGCCAGATGCAAATCCCCCGCACTCTCCGGCAAAATTGGCTCCTCATTAAACGCCTCGGAATCCGGAAACTCGAGATGCATCTGCGTATTGACAGCCGCCTTGAGAGCGACATTTTCGGCCTCAAAATCCAACACATGCCCGCCCGCCGTGCGGTCATCCGATAAAAAGTGCAGATGGAACCCCGCCACCGCAACACCGTTCATATACGGCGGGGAGTAAAAGCCAAACAGGGTACCGGTGATGTTCTCGTACGATTTCGTGACCTGTCGCTTGGCGAGCTCTAGCAGCGGCTCTTTGGGTCGGTGCTGGGGTCCGCCGATCCGGTAGGTGATGGAGTTGAATTTCCCGTCGATGCGGACGGCCATGAAGTTGTTTTGCTTGGTGGGGAAGAATGGGTGCATTGCTTGAGTTAATTCTCTCATGCTCAGCGTGGAGAGCTCCTTGGTTAAGGTGGGGTTGAAATCCGTTGCGACGACCATGGGCATGCGATCGTCTGCGTTGAGTCTGTGCAGTTTGCCATCCGGAGTAAAGTGATAGGCTTCCCCGTCGAGAATGATGATTTCGCCATTCAGCTCGCACACCGTGCCCAGGCCGTGGTTGCAGGCTGAGAGGATGTCTGATGCTTTGACACCGTCGGAGGAAAAGCCGTGCATGAGGGCGCTGAAGACGCCATATTGGTGGATGTGGTTCATCCTGGCTTATTCTCCTTGTTTGATGATGGCTGGTGCTCTAATTTTGAATTACTATGTATGATGATGGTGTTGGGAGTATCAATTGCAAATGGAGAGAGAGAGAGAGAGAGAGAGAGAGAGAGTGTGTGTGTGTGTGTGTGTGTGTGTGTGTGTGTGTTTTGAAGTGGGGGAAGCGGGGAGTCGATTATCCGAACTGTACGAGGTCGTATAGTAGATCACCCTTAATAGAGCGAGTGGAACGATATATTCTAGACTATATTCACATCTTTCAGTCCTTGAGTGCTTGTCTTCTATTTGTATATACACGGTCTAACTATATTCCCGGATCCGATATATGCAGCGGCCCGCTGTTGGGAGTTACAGGTGGAAATGCGGCCGTAAACAGCCTCAATATTGGTTATTTTCGGCCTTGGTTTCACAAGCCTCACATTCTATTTGTAATTATGCATTATCGTGTGGAGATGCTATATGGACATTTTAGATGTTTTCACATGGATGTCTCTGTATATGCTGATATGAAATTGTTTGAGTTGTGTCTCGATATCGCTGGGGTTGGCTGGGGGAGGGATATCTTTTCCTGATGAATTGATTTGTGGAGATCAAAATCCCTGCTGCGAGTCGGCCATGTCAATGCTGTGATTATATCAGCGTTGTTCTATATAGAATCAAACATTGTAGACATGCGGTGTTTATGCTCTACGTGGTTCAATATTTCAATGAAAACTTCAAGCATGTTAATTCTTTCTTTTAGAACTGAACTCTGCCAGTATCTCTCATCAGGCTTTAATAACGGCTTAGCACCTGCCTTGAGCAGCAGTAGTTCAACCTTGAGATGTCTATTCTCCAACGTCCATGATAGTGGTGTTTGGCCAAGTCAGCTTTTGGGGTCTGGATCAACGCATTTTCCAAGGAGCTTCACTACCATACTATGCCCCTTCCATGCAGCCCATAGTAGTGGTGTCTGTTCGTAAACACCCCGAGACTCAGAGTCAGCACCGCACTCAAGTAGCAGCTCTACTACAGCCTCATGACCCCTCCCTGCAGCAATCGATAGTGGTGTCTGGCCCAAGGGACCGTCTTTGGACTTAACGTCAACACCATTCTCAACCGTCGCTCTACCTACCCCCTGATGTCCTTTTTGCAGCCCATGAATCGGTGTTTCAGAGCGACCTGTGAAATTTGGATCAACGCCTTGTTCAAGAAGAACCTTCATAACCCTGTCATGTCCATTTTGTGCAGCCGTCAAAATGAGTGTCTGGCCAGAGGGATCCTTGGAGTTTGGATCAATGCCCTCTTAAGAACAACTTTCACCACTCCTTCCCGTCCATGTTGTGTCACCAGCAGCATTCCCATCTGTCCCGAAATTGTCTCCACATTAGGGTGCGCGCCTTTTTCAAGCATCATCCTCACTGCCTCCTCGTCCCCATACTGCGCAGCCCATAACATTGGCGTTTCTCCAAAAGAATTCTGCTGTTCAGGGTCGGTGCGACTTCCTCCTTTCGCTCCTTCCCAAACGGAGCTCCTCCACATATGCCGACCACCAGAGCGAGTTGGATCCCCTCGAAACTGGCGCGAAGATACCCGGCCGCGGTCGCAGCGGCAACCTTTCCCATGTTTGGCATATGGACCAAAACAACATTATGGTAACCGATCACCCCAGTGGAGTAGGCATTTGTGTCTCCTGGTGCCTTTCCATATATTCTGTCATCATATTGCCTGTCAAATAGCGCACCAACAACGCTGGCCTCTAGGGGTAGTGCGCATATAATGGCGATTTCAAAATCCCATCGATCTCGCGGCAGAGTCCAATTTTTGAAATCTAGCTTAAATGCGCTGGTGACATTGACGTTATCCCCATTTTGCAAACTATCCATTGTTTGATCCAAATTTCGCTCCTCATATTCCTCCATCTCCGCGGCTTATCTCTGGCGACAACTCCCTTTAATAAAGAGACAAGCGTTCCGGACCCGATCCTTTCGCTATGCGAATGCTGAGCCAAGCACGCGGTATCGAGTCACCAGCGGTTGTTTATCTCCCTATAATTTAGAAACTGTGGGGATGTAACAGAAAATGTGCGGGATTTTGGAAGGGCAAGACGAGGTCAAGGCTGGCCAGCGCCTAGTCGCGTCAAGACGAGGCTGGCCAGGTGGGGGCCAAGCCCGGTTTGGTGAACACATGATCGCAGCTATGTCTTCTGCGTGGGAAATATATGAACTCGATGGGAGATGATGAGATGGATGTGGATGTCTTGGTCGAGTTTTGGGATGGAGATGTTTGTTATTGTGTTGGATAGTGGGGTAAGCGTGTCTGACAGAGTACTAGAATGAAAGAAATTATGGGACCTTAGAGTAAGGAACATTCTATTTATTTGCCTGAGACTAGTCTTACAGCACTACAAACGATAAGATATTCTTCACATAGACTGCCATATAGTAGAAATTGGCAACAGTCTCTATCAGTAATAATATGAAGACTGACATTCCAGCATCTGCAGTGGAGACGGCACTGTCGGGTATTCCCCCACTTCCCCTCACTTGATCAACACCACAACCTCAACGCTCAACATGGCCAACCCACGAGCTTATTTCGACTTGGGCTCTTTCCACAGAAAGATTACAACAACCAGTCATGAAGCTCAAATATGGTTCAACCGTGGCCTCGTCTGGTCATATGGCTTCAACCATGGAGAGGCAGCCAACTGCTTCAACAAGGCGATTGCGGAGGATCCTGCCTGCGGCATGGCATACTGGGGACTCGCATATGCCCTAGGTCCCAACTATAATAAGCCGTGGCAAGCATTTGATGAAGAAGAACTGAAAACAGCTGTTGAAAAGACTCGTCGAGCAGCTCAAGATGCGAAAGCCCATATGGGCACTGCGACACCGGTCGAAAAGGCGTTGATCGACGCGATCCGGCTTCGATACCCCGAAGGCCAGCCATCAAAGGACTGTTCCGGATGGAATTCCGGTTATTCGCAGGCAATGCGCACCGTTTATTACGCTTTTCAAGACGACCTAGACGTGGTAACGCTATACGCGGATGCACTGATGAATGAGACACCATGGGAATTGTGGGATTTGAAGACAGGAAAACCAGCTGAAAATGCGCATACATTGGAAATTAAATCTATCCTTGATCGTGCTCTTACTCGAGATGATGCACGTCGTCATCCGGGTTTATTGCACCTCTATATTCACCTCATGGAAATGTCTAGCACCCCAGAACTCGCCTTAAATGCAGCAGACCATCTCCGAGGACTCGTCCCTGACGCCGGACATCTTCACCATATGCCAACTCATCTAGATATTCTCTGCGGTGATTATCGACGGGCGATTGCTTCCAACTCTGAGGCCATTCGAGCAGACGAACGCTTCGTTGCTCGTGTAGGACCGGTCAATTTCTATACCCTCTACCGAGCGCACAACTATCACTTTCGCATATATGCCGCCATGTTTGCCGGGCAGTCCAAGGTAGCTCTGGATACGGTCTCGCAATTGGAATCGTCTATCCCGGAGGAATTGTTGCGCATTGAATCCCCGCCGATGGCAGACTGGTTGGAAGGATTCCTGGCGATGCGCGTGCATGTCCTTATTCGATTTGGACTATGGAATGACATTTTGGATATTTCCTTACCGTCTGATCAGAAACTATACTGTGTTAGCACGGCAATGATCCACTATGCCAAAGGCGTTTCACTGGCAGCGACAGGAAGGGTGAAAGAGGCAGAAACAGAACGAACTCTTTTCCATCAAGCACTGAAATCAGTACCAGCAAGTCGCACACTATTCAACAATAAATGCGTCGATATCCTCGCCATCGCCAACTCCATGTTGGATGGAGAACTCGAATACCGTCGGGGAAATATCAATGCAGCGTTCAATCATCTCCGGAAGTCCATATCATTAGACGACAATCTACCATATGACGAGCCTTGGGGATGGATGCAACCAACACGGCATGCGTATGCGGCACTTCTACTTGAGCAAGGTCAGATAGAGGATGCAGCAGCCGTGTATAGTGCTGATCTGGGAATGGATGATACATTGCCTCGTTCGCTGCAGCATCCGAATAATGTCTGGGCACTCCACGGGTACCATGAGTGTCTACTGCGACTCGACCGAAAAGCAGAAGCGCAAATTGTGAACCAGCAATTGAAGCTGGCGATGGCGACAGCCGACGTCCCGGTCAAATCATCATGTTTCTGCCGACGATGTTGATCTCCCTTTGCTTACGTCTACATGGATTTTTCGTAGCATAGGACTATCCAGCCGCAAAGATCATCAGTCAATCTCCACCGTTGACCTCTCGAACCGCCCGATCACAACAAGCAACGATACCTTCCCCTTTCAGACGTGACGAAATCGAGAAAAGCGGACGAATTTGAAGGATATGGTTACTCGGAGGTTGATCAGGAGAAAGTGCCATTCCGCCGATCACATTCCCAAATTAGCAATCAACATCGAACGAGTGCTCGGTGATTAGAGAGTGGACGATAACATGGTCCGACTTTATTGTTATTTGAGTTTGTTTAGAATCAAGCTACAGGATTTATGATTTCGGAATCGTCGTCATCAGCACATCGTCACTTCCGCAGTTTATCCGTATTTTCTTAGCAGAAAATTAATCAGTCCTTAGTAACGATTTTAATGCCCTGATTAATTCTCCTCAACCCCATGAAATAAACAGCAATGATCGACATTCGCGACGCTAACTGAACATGGCTAGGCCGGTAGTTTATTTTTGGCAGTGGAGCAAGCTCTTCTCCGCAGGTTTACGCCATGGCATACGACACCACCAGGCATCCATTTTGACAGCTTCACATCCAGCCACAGACAGATATGACGTCTGTTTTCAGAATAGGCCAGTGTCTGTCTGGAAAAGTGGGAGCATATACCATCCATAAACAAGTGCAGGACTTTATTTGGCTAGCTAGGTATGTCATCCCTGCAGTCAAGGGTCAGGCTGACTTGATTTATGAATAGTAACAAGCTTGGGCAAAATGTCTTGATGAAAAGTGCACATCATCCCCGTATTGCCAACGAGAGGAATGTCCTTAAGCTTTTTTCAACGTCGAACAGCGTCACTCCGGCCTTTGGTAGATGAAATTGAAGAGCCGGGTGGTCCGACTACAATTGTATTGAAGCACCTCGATGATGACCTCCACGATGCTTCGGCCGCTAAAAGACTCACTTCTTCTGAGATAAAATATGTATCGAAGAAGATTCTTGAAGGGCTGAAGGTAATTCATCAGGATGGATATGTGCATACAGGTATGCTTCTCATAGGTTTACAGTAGAGTATAAGATTCTGATCGAGAAAATAGATGTGAAACTAGACAATGTACTAGTAAACTATGTACCTGAAGACAGCGGTCCTCGATTCACCAATGTCCAGCTCGCAGATCTTGAGAACACCGTCCATGTGGAATCCAAGTTTTGCAAAGATCGGGATGCTATTGGTGCACCTCTCTGGCGTAGTCCTGAAGCTCAACTTGAGCTTCAATGGGGACCAGCAGCTGATATATGGGCGTTCGGATCAATGGTATTGCATACCTCACCTCCTTTATTTCATATGCTAACATCCGATGTAGGTTATATCCCTAATTTGGGGCGATAACTTTTTCATCTTCAAGCCTGATGTACCGCGTGGTCATGATGGATATGAGTTCAAGATTCTCGAAAAGTACCATATCTACTTTGGGCCGTGCCCACCATCATTTGTCGACCTCGCTGACGATGAAACCTTGGCGATATTATCATATATCATGGACAATATTTCTCGTGAAAAACTGAGGCCTTTCTCACAGGCTAGTCAGCGGGAATTTCCAAAGACAAGGAGTTTGTGTTGAAAATCATGAAAATCGATCCGAGGGACAGGCCGAGTGCAACGCAGTTCTTGGAAGATGAATGGTTCAATGGACTGTGAAATTGTGTCTTTTAGTTTGATCCTGTTGTTATTCATATTTGATATATCCAGTAATGATTTTCAGTAGCAATGTAGGCGCCTGTTCGTATTCCAGCGGATGGAAGACATGGCATCAATTACTCTGATCCAATCATTTAGCGATCAGATACTCGTTTTAATGCAGGTGCTTCCCTTGTAATCTCTCCATCACCTCTCACGCAGTATTTAATCATTATGGCATCTCAATCCTACCAGATTAATAAAAAACAGCATCCCATCTACGATTTAAACCGAAGTTTGCCTATCTGTATGGTCTATGCCTTCAATAAACTGTTCATCACTAACCACTATAACATTATGAAGGCAATTTCTCTCATCACCGACCCAACGTTGCTCGCATTATGGAAAGAAGCCCAGAGCAATCCAATCAGTGAATCGGCATCCGCGGCAGTCTGGAGCCAGCTTTACAATAAACACATTTTTACTGAGAAAGACTGGATCGTCGCCTATGAATATCCATCAGAAAGTATCGAACGTCGAGTCGACATCACTATCCGATATTTCACGGGAAATGGACAGCAAATCACACTCTTTGCCTTTCATGAACCTGGTGCTCTGAATGCAACACCGAAGAATATTCAAGCAGCCGAGGATCAAGCGCGCAATGCGTGCTTGAGATGTCTTGACAAGCCAGAGAACCATAGTATAGAGCGTATTTATGCAATCTCGGCTTTTGGGACACGAGGACACGCATGGTATTATGATAGAGGGGAGAATAACTTGAAATCGCTGTGTGGATCGGCAGATTACATTGAGCTGCACTCCGCCGATGCTGATGAGCTTCGGAAGGCTTTCGACATAATGCGGGCTGCCAGGCTTCGTATGTAGCTGAAGATATATGCTGTTAGAGCAAATCATGTCTTTAGACTTAAGTCGTATGCATCGATTCTGTTACCAGGATGTCCAAACCACCGGACGATAGTTCCTTGGGAAGGAATATACTGCCATCCATGACCATCGTTAATAGGTTCCGACCGTACCTCTTCGACATTGTGAATGTAACTATTCTTATTCACAACACTTTTCTGCATGCGAATGGGTGGGCACAGTGGAAGCTGGTATATGTTGCTCTGATAGACTGCGCACAAAGATATTAGCAGTCCTCATGCGCCCAAATCTGACAACCTCACTCTCCACTGCCATCCTTGCAGAAAATTCTTCCTCCGGTGACCGTAAATTGTCCTTGGTTGGTATCTTTTTGCGGGTAAGTTGATGGCCCTATGGCGAGTTCAAACAACCGACCGAGAATCCGCGATCCTATTTCCGCGCGCCTCCAGCAAAGTAGACACACACAGTACGACGTATGAATCATTTGCTCGTCTCCAGAGATAGAAGCTTTTCCGTATCCGTCAAGACAGTTTGTTGTTATTTTAAAAAGCCTGACGCTGAATCCAGCCTCGGTCACATGATCTTCCTGGTGGCAGCATGAGACAATCAGTCAGAGTCGCGATGTTCCAGAAAGCAGATCACGATCGAAACAACTAGCTGTCTGGAGCTCAGCTAACGTAGATCCCATTAATGAGACCAGTGTGATGGGCCCGGGAAATAGACTCATTCCAGCAAAGTCCGATGGTTTCAGCGCCCAAAATTGGGTGTGTGCGGGATAAAATCATATCCACCACTGAGACAGCAGCTGCACAGCGATCTCACAGCGATCTATATTTTCATCCAAAGCCATCATGTATATTTCCATAATCCGCATCATCTGGTGTCTCAATTTGTCTTGGATTTCGTAGTGCTGGGCTCGTAGGGCATCGTAGGAAGGTCTCGTGGGTATTCGAGTCGGATAAGCCGATCGAGGAGGGGAGGAGAGCAAACACCGGTCTGTCGAGAAGCTCCATCGTTAGTAGAGTAAAGTAAATGCTTTAGATTCAAGCTCAATAAACAGACGAGGCCATTCAAAAATCAGTCAGCTGTAGAGTAGCGTGCAAGTCGCATTAATTGGCAAAGATTGGTGAGGGGCAGTTCTCAAGATGCTCTCGTCTGAGTTATCTACAGGAAAGAAAAAGAGAACAGAAAGAGGACAGACTTTGGGCGACTCAGGCATCCAGAAAGAAGGAGTGGGTCCTTTGGTTGTAGTCGTAGTCGTAGTGACTGGATATCTTGGGATGACAACACTGGTTATTCGCATGGATTTGATATCGGAATTCTTCTTTATGACCATTTAGATTTATTTTATATACTTGAGAATATGTAGAAACAATCAGGGAGTGCTTCGTGTTTTTTCCGATGGATAAATTGTCATTTTTACCAGTGTTGGTGGTGAACATATTCGATCGCATCAAATATATATATCTGTGTCCATCCATTATAAAATGCCACAAACGTCAACGAAAACACCGAAAAGTACTTTAGTTGGCCTTCAAAGAGTAGCATCGAGGTTATAGATTTCAATATTTTGCTAATTCCACAGGTTTTTGTCCTGCAATAAAGACTTGTTGTTTTCATTCCTACTTTGTACACTCAGACTTGGTCTACGTTGATATCAGATGATATTAAGACAATGCATTAATTATGCAGAGAGTATCTGATGAGACATAAACATTATTCTTAATTGTGAATTGTACTAGTTCTATGGCGATCTCATGGCATCTACAGTGCTTCAAAGACATGATGATGCTATCCTCAACACTTTTCTTAATGCTCTAGTTTGACCAAGGGCACAGACAGACATACGACCGTTCCTGAAGCAACAGCAAAACATCTATTGTCCAATCCAAAATCCTTCTACGTGTCCCAATATTCCCTCCCAATCTTCCAACTTGATATTCCCCTATTGTGGACCTAGATATCTCGGAGCGTTGACCGAAGTGCACGGCCAAGGTGGCCTGAGAGGAAGATGCAGTAAGACGAAGTAATTCCGAGAGAAGGAGCGAAAAGAATGGAAGTTACTAGAAAGACTTCATTTAGAGTCAGATCCCTTTCCATCCCTTGGTCTAGATTGGGCTGTGTGGAATATCTCACCGGAAGAGAAGGAATACCATCAACCACTGGCTGCCAGCGCAACAGGGAGGCGCATCGCTTTTCTCTCACCAGATAGACAGATAGAAGGAAATTAGATGAAGAGACTGAGAGAAAGGGGATATCCACGACTACCCATTCTGTTGGTTTTCTCTCCGGCTCCCCCTGAAGCCAAGCTGGCATGCATCAAACTATTTCCTCATGGAAAACCCGAAAGTCTCGCCCCCAGCTGGTGTCCACTAGAAGTATCCATCAAGCGAAAAAGATTTGACTGAAAGGATTACCTACCCTGTGAAATTCGGCGTTGAGTTGCTAAATCTGCCAGAGTACTCATCAGCTATACACTCATTCTCGTCACATCTTCATCATCTTCTGCATAGAGCATACGTATGGTGTGTAGGGCCAAAACGTGAATGGTCACAATATCAGTCCATCACTACTGCATACGGACAGTTAAATCGAGTTTCCCGAACGTAGACATATTTCCCGATGCTTTGCCGCCGTTGAGATGCTGGTTATTCGTCCGCCTAAACGATCAGCACCCGGAAGAATGAATGCATTGAGTGATTTCTTACACATTGGTTCGGTGCAGACTAGCCACGCACAGATGCAGGACCAGCGCCGAGAGACAGGAGAGTTCACAGTTACAGGATGAAGGAGTCGGCAGTCGGCAGTTGATGTGATGGTGTGGTGGATCTCCCATAAGATTCGAAAATCGATAGATGCTTTGGCTATCCACTCTGCCTGCTCTCAGCCCCTATGCTGCATGTGAAGCCATCCAGAATCCTTGTCAATACGCGTTCTGCATGGAGTCGACAAATAGCATGGCAGTGAGATGATCACATACAACTGGACCAGTCGCAATTGAGACACCATGACGCTGTGATAAAAATACCCCTGACTGGTAAACAATAACCTCAAATTAGGGCACTGGATAGCCTGAAATTGCGGTCCACCAAACCTTGAGCTCAGCCTCTCAGCCACCATCTGTTTTCCGACCACCCCAGAACCGCGCCGGTTTTCCATGATGTGATGGATAAATAAAGGAAGATCGACACGCCCTAAAGCTTTAAGCTATTGCTGACGACGTGCGGCACTGCCAATGGGCGTGAGTAATCGGGCTTATTTGGTGTTGTTATTGGCGGTGTTATTTGAGTGGAGTTGCCCGGCCGGGGGAAGATCGGCGGCCGCGTGTGCGATGAAGTCGAGATGGAGAATTGTTGGGTAAGGCTGATGCTGTTGCGACAGTTGTCTGTCATGTTCATTATTCCATGGTTATCTGTCGTCAGGAACAGTATAGCTGTACCTGTTGGTAGTGTTTGTTTGTTGTTGTCTTGAATATTGGCCACTTGAAACGGTCAGTGCTAAGCGTGCCTGAAAATGGCCGACCAACAGTGAATAGCGACAGATCTGGAGCTGACGAAGCCAAACGACCCGGCGCATTAAGTCCGAGTGCTGATCGCCACCTGGAATGGACGAAGAATATCGCCGTCTTTTCTCATCACAGCCTCGAATGATCGAATCACCCCAGATTTTGATCCACTGCTTTGGTCGTCATTTCGGAACTGCTTTCCCCGTGGATGAGTCCATTTCTCGACATCCACTTTGGCTTCCATCCTGCGCTGCTCGCGAGTTCTCCGGCTGACGACACCAGCCTAATTCTGGACCACGTCAAACCGGTCGTTATGCCATGCTCTGAACAAATGACGCGACAAGGAGTACCTCGAGGTGGACGTCGAAACCTATAAAGAGACCTCTTGACCCGTCCAATTCTGTCTCTCATCAACAACTCAATCAATCAATCAATCAATCAATCAGTCTTCCAATCTTCCAATCAATCCTTCTCTTCAGTCAAGATGAAGTTCAACAACGTTCTCTCTGCCCTCATGGTTGCCGGCATGGTCGCCGCCGCTCCTCCTGCTGAGCGTATGTCTTCCGTTCTCTCCCTGAATAGCTTCATTACTGACTTTCAACTCCTAGGCCCAACCACCGACCTCCAGGCTCCTCCCCCGCCGCCAACCAACCTCCCTCCTCACCACGACAACGACAACGGCAAGCGTGGTGACGTTCCCCCTCCTAAGCCTACCAAGGGTCAGGCTCCTCCCCCGAAGGACGATGAGCACGACCACGACAAGCGTGAGGATGGCCCTAAGCCCCCCAAGCCCACCAAGGGACAAGCTCCTCCTCCCAAGGACGACCACGACCACGGCAAGCGCGGAGATGCTCCTCCCCCCAAGCCGACCAAGGGCCAGGCTCCTGCCCCGCAGGAACCCCCCAAGGACCACGGAAAGCGTGGTGATGCTCCCCCCCCCAAGCCCACCAAGGGTCAGGCTCCTCCTCCCAAGGACGACCACGACCACG